AAACACAGTGAAGAAAGGAAACCTTTCCAACAAAGAGTGCCGAGAAAATTGAATAGCTACATGCAGAAGAAAAAAAATAATGCCTGTATCTCACCAGTTAGAAAAACCAACTCAAAATAGATTAAAGAACTGTTTATGCATCTGAATCAGTGCCCATAACCTTGTACTCATCCAGATGGCTGTGACCAAAGGGTGCTCGGCAGACATATGGGGAGGAGTAAGAATGCTAGGCCCTCACACATGGCCAAAAAAGAGGACAGCTTCCAACTGCTGTAGGAAACAGGTTGGTGGTAAAGGAGATAAAAATATGTCCACAAAGAAACCACAGATGAATGTCCACAGTAGTATGATTCACAACTGCCCAAAGGTAGAAATGGCACAAGCATCTGAATGGATGAATGGATCCAAACATTCAGCCATGAAAAAGGAAGGAGCCTCTGACACATGCTACAGTGTGATTGACTTTGAGGACATTATACTCAGTGGAAGAACCAGATGCAAAATGTGGTAGTTTAGTAGGAAATGTCAAAAGCTGGTAAGCCCAAAGATCGGATGTAAGAATGATGGTTTATGCAGAGCTGGGGTGGGTGACATATAGTTTACAGATAATAAGACATATTATACTCTTTAAAAAATGTAATTAGAAACCATGGAAGAAAACTTAGGGGAAAGTGTTTCAGGACATCAGAATCTGAAAAAATGTTTTGGACAAGATCTCCAAAGTGTAGAAAACAAGAATAAAAACAAATGGTATGTAAAACTGAAACCCCTTCACACAGCAAAGGAAACAATCGTTGGAGTGAAGAGATGACCTACAGAATGGCAGAAAATACTTGCAAATTATGCATCTGACAAGGGGTTTAGTGTTCAGACTATATAAGGAACACAAATAGTTCAGTAGTGAGCTGGCAAGACGGCTCGTCAGGTAAAGGAAGAGTAAAACTGACTACTTGAATTTGAGTCCTAGAAGCCACAATGGAAGGAGAGAACGGACTCTCCAAAGTTGTCCTCTGACCTCCATACTAGCACCTTAGCTTACATGCATCTTTTCTGTGCGTGTGTTGCAAGACCCAGCCTCAAAAATAAATAAGCAATTTCTTAAAACTGAATATCTGTTATCATTTGTTAATCATATTTCCACCACTGTGACAAATACATATGGTAAACTAGTAAGGAAGAACCTTTCATCCTGCTCATGGTTTGAGCAGTGTCAGCCCACAGTTCTTTAGCCACTCTTACCTTTGGACTTGTGGTGAGGCAGACCTTCATGGCAGGGAGCATATGGGGGCATAGCTGCCTGCCTCATGGCAGGGGAGAAGAGAGAAGAGGAACTGGGGTTCTGATAACACCTTCAAGGCCACACTTTTAGTGTCCCACTTCCTGAAGGTTCCACTGTCTCCCAGGAAAACAGTTACTGGTATACCCAGTAACCCAGTGGTCCTGCTTCTGAGCCCAAGTTCTTGCTTACATTAAGGGAAAATGTATTCATTTACAGTTTTTCCCACAACTGGGCTGAGAGCCATTCTCATTCAGACTTCACCTTTTACATTACATCATTAATTGTACATACATATGGGCAATCATGTGATGTTTATATAAAATATATACAACTATAATATTTAAATCAAGTTAAGCATATTTATTGCAAAAATTTATTTCTTTATAGTGAAAATGTTCAGAGGTCTACAGAGCAAGTTCCAGGACAACCAGGACTACACAGGAAGAGCCTGTTTTGAAAAACAAAACAACAACAACAACAACAACAAACTCCAAGAGCCATGAAATATACTAATACAGACTTAGCTCTGAGTCCCAGTTACTGGAGCTGAAAGACAAACCATTCTCCTGGCTTTGGGGGCCAGAGCTTCTGGGTTCTATGCATCATTCTATTACTGCACCTTTAGATTCACTGCTCTTTGAATGATCTGTTTTACATTTGTAGGTGGTAGTAGTAGAAGTGTTCACCTGTGTGGGCAAATGTGGAGAGCAGAAGTTGACATTGGCATGTCTTCCTCTATCACTTTCTACAGTCCTGCCTCATACCAAATCTCTTGCTGAACCTGGATTTCATTGTCTAGATTAGATTGGATGGCCAGAGAGCCCTCTGGGTCTACCTGTCTCCACTTTCTGGTGCTAGAGTTACAAATGTGTGCTGTGCTGGGGTTTTTATGTGGGTGCTAGGGATCTCAACTTCGGTTCTCATGCTTGCACAGCAAGTACTTTACCAACTAAGGCACTCCCCAGCCGCAGTTGTAAATTTTATCCAGAATTTTCATTTCAGATTTTATAGTTTTTGTTTTCATCACCAGAATTTCCATTTCTTCTTTATATTCCACACACACACACACACACACACACACACACACACACACACACACACGCTGTTGCCTATAGGCAAGGTTGGCCTTAAACTTGACATCTGGCTCAACCTCCTGATTGTTATCCACCAGATAACAATATCTACATATGTGTTTCATATTCATGTTTCTTTTGCATGTTATTTTCAGAATTTATAATGTTACTCTATATTATTTAACACCCTTGTCTAATTCTATCACCTTTTATTTTTGTATTTGCCTCTATCAAAGGATCTCACTGGCATATATTCACATTTTCTTGCATCTTTGTATCTCTAGTAAGTTTTTAATATATGCTAGACATTGTAATTTTATGCAGATGGGGGCCGTGTTTTATTGTATTGCTTTAAAGAATATTGGACTTTTTTAGCAGGTAGATGAACTATTTCTAACTAGTTTGATCCTTTGGAGGCTGTCATAATCTCTCTTATGGAGGTACTTCAGTGGATGTACATTGCTCTAGTTCTACGTCATCTTCATTTCTAAGGTGTGGCCTTCTATAGTCTCTAAAGAATACCCATGCAGTTATTGAGTTTTCTCCTCTCTTGCTGGATGGAATTGACTGAGTCACACTTCATGTGAGTTCTGTAATTTGGGAGATTCTCATAATTTTTCTTTTCTTGAAAGTTTTTTGTGTAGTCGGAAGTTTTCCTGGGCCCTGCCTGGTCCCACAGCCACTCAGACCCAAGTAAACACACAGAGGCTTATATTATTTACAAACTGAATGGCCTAATGGCTCAGGCTTCTTGCTAGCTAGCTCTTACAACTTAACTCAGCCCATTTCTATTAATCTATGCTTTACCACACAGCTTCACGGCTTACCAGTACTTTCACATCTTGCCTCTCCTGGCAGTGACTGGCAATGTCTCCCCTGACTCCACCCTTCTTTGTCTTGTCTTCAGTTTGAATGTACTGCCTAACTTTGTCCTGCCCTGCCAAAGGCTCTTGCAGCCTTATTTATCAACCAGTCAGAGTAACACATATTCACAGTATGGTGATATTTTACTTGTATTAAAATGTTATTTGTATGTTAATAAATAAAGTTGCCCGGGGGTCAAAGCTATTAGCAAGCCATAGGAAAGCAGGGCAGTGGTAGCGTACGCTTGTAATTCCAGCACTTGGTAGGCAGAGCTGGGTAAGTCTCTGTGTGTTCAGGGATACAGCCATTATTGGATACACATGCCTTTAATCTTAATACCAATCATGGAAAACCTGGAGGCCTATACAGACAGGCTGTGAGGAGGCGGTCATGTGGTTGGGTTTACAACCAATGAGAAGGCAGGACAGGAACTCTATATAAAGACTTTAACACAGGGGTAGCTCTGGTTCGGAGAGGTAGGACCACCGCAGGAGGAAGGGTAAGGTTTTAGCTCTTAGCTCTGACCTCTTGGCTTTCTTCTTTGCATTGGTTCTGTGTTTCTTATTTAATAAGAAGGTTGGATACATCTACATCACAGCGTACAGAAAGACATCCCACAACATTTTTGCTTAAATTTTTTTTTACATTTATTTACTTGTGTATTTATATATGTATGTGCATGGGCACACACATGCTACAGCACATGTGTGGAACCTCGAGGACAACTAATGGGAATGGTTTTTTTCCTTCCACCAAGTGGGTTGTGGCGCTTGAACTCAGGTTGTCAGGCTGGGCAGTAAATGACTTTACCACTGAGCCATGTCTCCAGCTCAAAAGTTATTCTTGCTCAGCTTCATAGAGTTCATGTGTGTAGATTGACACTTAGTCATGGACTCGAGCTCTCTGTATGCATTGCCCAGGAACTGATTTGCTTTGTTTTTGCATAGCTCAATCCTCCATGGGACTCTATTTGACAAATTGAAAGTTTCTTTATCTATTCTGATCTCTTTCTCCCCATTGCAGCAAGACAGTTAGGTCCCCTTGGGCTCTCCCTTCTTGTACAAAACTCTACTATTCACTTGCAGGAAGGAAGCCCATGTAATGGTATAGATTGATTAATTTCCCTCCATTTCTCAGAGGTATAAGACTATAATCCCAGATGTTCTTTAGTTATGTACTCCCTTTATTTTGTTCAGTGTTATAGTTAGAACAAGTTTAAATAGCCCTTATTACCTTATGACCATTGTAGATATTCTCTTGATGGTTATTTTAGTGAGAAAGGAAGAGCGAGTCATAAAGTCAGGGCTTCTACAAAGCAACCAGGAAGTAGAGGAGTCAGGAATTTGCTTTATGATAATGTCCAATATAGAGTGTATAGAGAAGCAGGTGCCATCCTGGAAAAAAGTTCAGAAAAACTCAGGAAGCCTGTGAGGAAGCATGTGTAATGGCCCTAGGTACCCTGCCTTATACCCACTCCCATTTACCTTATTCTTAGGCCATTGCTGTACCTTCTGCTTTCCTGGTATCAGGAATCTTCTAAATAAGGAAGCTACTCTTTCAGCACCACTGATGTAAATACACATATACGAAAGATTCATTTGGGGCAAAAAAAAAATGCTGACATCTGCATAAATGACGGGCACTTAGCCCTTTGCTGAGATGTGGGAGAGTATGAGAAGGCCTGGAAAGGCCTGCAGCCCTGAAGGGCTTTGGGGAATCATTTCTGCCATGGTGGCTAGATTTACCCTCTGTACCTCTTCTCCTCTTTCCCCTTCTGTCTGCAGTTGGGATGAGGTGCCTTTCCTCATGCATGACTATGACCTGAGTAGAACAACCGATATCAGAGAGGTCCTACCATCATCTGCTTATCAACATACTGCCAACTTCAACTGGACATTCCTGTCAACTCTGAATGCTGGCAAATGGTTCGTACAGGTAGGACTTACATCCTCTGGTTCTGTGAACTTGTGTGGAAGCCCTCCTCTGTTTAGGTTCATGTGCTGCTCCTGGAGATAAAGGTGAAGGATGAAGGCGTATAAGAGCATACATTGTCCCTCCTAGTTTAGGAGCAGGGCTCAGACCACTCTATCAGCATTGACTAGAATGTTGTCAGCATTTACTAGAAAGGCTGATGATAAACTTGTAAATTCCACCTTTACTGTTCAATTTATTTTATCCAAGCATTTCATAGTCTTTAATAGTGTGTTTGCAAGGCACATAGCATTTCCCTAGCTATTTTGAATATCTCATAGTCTTCATGAAGCAGACTAGGAAACATTTATTCCTCAGTTCTTGCTATTCAACAAATATGTGTTAAGTACCTACTGAGTACAAGACACATGGAATATAATAGTGAATAACCCAACTGGAGTATAAGAAATATACTGACAGCCCAAAGGGAACAGTGTGATAAGTGCCAACTAGAGTAAATCTCTTGTTGTTTCAGAAGCATGTAAGAGCAACTTCTGACTTAGTCTAAATAATGAGGATGGGAGATTCTGGAAGAAGATGGGCTAATTAAGGGAATAGTAAAATATAAAGCATATATTGGATATGATATAATTTTGAGTCACCTTTTTCTTGAGGAAGTTGGAGAATGCATATTTTACATTAAGGTACTATTTATGCTACAGGGAGATTGTTACCAATGGGAACCATGGTGATGATAGTGATGTATTTCAGAGACACATCACACTAAAGCCAATGTGTGTATAAGGAGGCAGGAAGAAGGATGAAGGAAAGAACAGGAAAATAAGGGCAAGGGAGGGAATAGTTGTGAGAAGAATCAAAGTTGTGCAGAGGGAGATTTGGCGATGCTGAAATAACAAGTTAGAGTGAGTATAATTCCCCTTTGATGACTTAAAAGAGGTAAAGAGCTTGATGAAAGGTCAAGACTACTGTCTCAAGATAAAGAAAGTAACTTATATTTTCCAGCTTGTCTTATGACTGGGGAAAACTCATGAAGCCTACATTCTACTCAACCGGATATATACATCAGAGGCTTTGATTTTGAAAATAACCATCTTACTAGGATAAACAGCAAATACTCATTCTAAGGGCTGCCTGATCATGTTTCATGTAAAAAACAGTGAGGACTTAAGTAAAGAGGGACTTATTTTTACAGACTCCAGAGTCACACTCTAACTGCTATTCATGTAAGAGATAGCTGGAAGTAGATTGTAACAACCATGTCTCCTCAGAATGTTTGTCCCTGTAGGAGGGTGTAACCTGTGCTATTTCCAGGAGAATGAGATAACCCAGGTGTGGTGGAGCATACCATTAATCCCAACTCTTGGGAGGAAGAGGCTTGGGGATCTCTGTAAGCCAGGGTACAGAGTGAGACCTTGTGTCAAGTCTCAATCATAATAGTAATGATGAAATTATTACAAGTTTCTATATGTATGTAGTCTATGTGATGTGTCTCCTGCTTCTTTTTTTTTTTTTTTTTTTTTTTTTTTGGTTTTTCGAGACAGGGTTTCTCTGTGTAGCTTTGCGCCTTTCCTGGAACTCACTTGGTAACCCAGGCTGGCCTCGAACTCACAGAGATCCGCCTGGCTCTGCCTCCCGAGTGCTGGGATTAAAGGCGTGCGCCACCACCGCCCGGCGATGTGTCTCCTGCTTCTTAAATACTTGAGTACACAAAACTTTAAATGCTCCATTAGCATGCACATTGGGTTTGTTAGTCATAATTAATGTTTTTATCAATTCTTTTTTACATTTCATTTATTGTGTATGTGTGTGTGGAGATCAGAGGACAACTTGCAGGAGCTGGTTCTCTTCTACCATGTAGGTCTCAGAGATCAGACTCAGGTCATGGTTGGGGCCTTTTGTTCTAGGTGCCTTTACCAGTTGAGCCACCTTGCTGGCCTGGTTAATGTTTTAACAATGCACCTTCTACGTGAAAAGGCTCTTATATATTGGATGCATACAACTTTGCGCCTAAAAGTCTTATTCGGACTTGTAGGATTAAACATAGACCTAAAGATGAGCCAAAGTTTCATCAAACTGAGATGTTTGATGGAACTGTAGAGTTCATGAGTTGATTGGGTGGTATTTTAATTAATGGGTAAGTTTTTTGGGTTGTTCTTATTGGAACTTTACGGTCCTTATTACCAAAAGTTAACCATAATTATTTTTCATGGTTTGATACCATCTGGGCCTGGAGTTTTCTGGAAGTTTAAGTTGTGTGAGTGTGTGTGTGTGTGTGTGTGTGTGTGTGTGTGTGTGTGTGTGTGTGTACATTTGCACATATAGAGGACAGAAGAGAATGTCAGGTGTCCTTCTCAGTCACTGTCTGCCCTATTCCCTCGAGATAAAGTCTCTAACTGAACCTAGAGCATGCCAATTTTGTCTATGACCCCAGTACTCTGGAAGCTGAAGGAAAAGATGGAGATCGGGTGCAGAACAAGACCCTGTCTCAAATTTTTTTAAAAAATTAATGAAAATGGGTATCTCAGAGGTAGAGTGATTGTTTACCACGTGAAAGGCCCTGGATTCAATCCCTGAAATAAAACAAAAACTGAAACCAAAACAAAAAAGAAAGAGAATGTGTATTCTATAACTATTGGGTAGAATATTATATAAATGTCATTAGAGGCCAGGTGGTGGTGGTGGCACACACCTTTAATTCCAGCACTCAGGAGGCAGAGGCAAGCATATCTCTGTGAGTTCAAGGCCAGCCTATTCTACAGAGTGAGTTCCAGGACAGCCAGAAAAACCCTGTCTTGATAAAACAAAACAAAACAAAACAAAAACTGTCACTAGATCCAGTTGAGTACAGTGGTTAAATTGTCTCTGTTCTTATGGATGTCCTACCTGTTCATTCTCAGTTACTGACTAAGGCACGGTGAAGTCTTCAACTGTAATTGTTGGTTTATTTTTCTTTTCAGACCTGTTAGGTTTTACATCATTTGAAACTCTGTTGTTAAGAACATACACATCTAAGATTGTTATTTCTTCTCAAAGATGTGCATGCCCTAATTCTTGGAATTTATTAATATGTTACCCAGCAGGGTAAAAGGCTTCTGCACCTGTAATTGAGGTTATGGGCCTTCAGGGGAGAAGATTGTACTGATTTTCCAGATGACCCCTATCTGGTCAGGCTAGTACTTAAAGAAGGCTTTCTTAGATGTGACCAGAAAGATTTTACCAATGGAGAGAGAGAGATGAGAGGTGTGAAGTGTGACATGGATTCACCATCAACCACAAGCTTTGGAGTTAGAAGAAAGAGCCTCTGAACCAAGGACTACAGATGACCGCTAAAGGACAGAAAAGGCCCTCAATTTACAGAAGTTCCCCAAACCGCAGGGAACTAAATTCTGCCAATAATGGGACTGAACATGGATGTTCTCTAGAGACTCTGGAATGGTGTAGAACTTGGTTGACACCTTGATTTAAGCCACATGAGATCCATAAAAAACTTCTGATCTATAAAACAAACAAGAAACAACAGGAAAATGGTCTGTGTTCTTTTAAGGCATAGTTTGTGGTAGTTTGTTATAGTAGCAATACAAACTTGATCATGGTCAGGTATGGCAGCGCATGCTCTAGTCCTAGCACTCAGGAGATGAAGGAAAGATCACCAGTGTAAGGCCAGCCTGAGCTACAGTGAGCCCCAGTGAGCTGGAGCAATACCCTGTCTCAAGAGTGAACTAATCATGATACGGCTCTCTTCATCCATCACAGACAGAAAACACCTCAACTAAAGAAAAGCTCCTCAATTCTATAAACACTGGGTCAACGTGAAAACTCCTTTTTTTTTTTCTTCTTGAGATAGGGTCTTTTTATATAGTCCTGGCTGTCCTCAAACTCACAGAGATCTGCCTGCCTCTGTCTCCTGAGTGCTGGGATTAAAGGTGTGGGTCACCATGCCTGGCACGAATACTCTTTCAATGTAATTTACCATGTAATTTACCATGGTAATAATCTAAAGAAAAACCATGTGATCACTTAAATGTGTGTATCAAAGCATTCAATAAAATTCCATTTATGTAAAAAAAATCCTCATGTGTGTGTTGCTGTATGAGCACCTGTGTGTACACATATGGCAGCCAGAGATTGTGTTTGGATTATCTTCCCAAAGCAGTCTCCGCCTTACCTGAGACAAGGGTTCTCATTGAACCTGGAACTGGCCAGTGAGCCCGGGACCCTCCTGTCAATGCCTCCTCCGCACTAGGATTAAAAGTGTGCATTGCAGCCGGGCGGTGGTGGCGCACGCCTTTAATCCCAGCACTCGGGAGGCAGAGGCAGGCGGATCTCTGTGAGTTCGAGGCCAGCCTGGGCTACCAAGTGAGTCCCAGGAAAGGCGCAAAGCTACACAGAGAAACCCTGTCTCGAAAAACCAAAAGAAAAAAAAAAAGTGTGCATTGCTACACCTGGCTCTTTATAGAGGTCTGGGGATCAGAACTCAGAATCTCATGTGCTTTATTGACTAGGCCATCCCCCCAGTTCCTATGATGAAAACCTATTAATGAACTAGGAGTAGAAGATAAAGAACTTGAAAAAACCTTCAAGCAACACCATTTCCCCATTGTGAGTAGATGAACGATGGCCTCCAAGTGGGGATTAAGCAAAAGTGCCCCTCTTCACCACTCCTGTTAGCAGCACACTAGAAATTCTGTACAGTGTATTTGATAAATAAAAAGAACTGAAAGGCAAACAGACTAGTGGATTCTGAAGAGAAGAAAGCAAACTCTCTATTCACATACAACCTCATTCCCTGTGTAGAGTTCCAAAATAATACATTTAGAAAGTTCCTAGAACTAATAATTTTACTAAGGCCATGGGATGTAAAATCTATAGGCAAGTATCATTTGTACTGCTATAACCCTGTAATGAAGAATTGGAATTTCAAATTAATAAAATAGGAGTATACTGGCACTAAAAATTAATTATTTGTGTATAAATATAAAAAAGTCACATGTGCATGTGGTTTGTATATGGAAAAGCACAAAAGAAAGAATCCAAAGATGTAAACCACTGGAGAGACACATTCTGTTCATTAATCTAGACTCAGTGTTGTTACCAGTTTGATTGCTAGCCGCAGTATAATCCCAGTTTCAAAAGCCAAGCAAACCTGTACCAGGCTTTTTCTTTTAGGCCACCAATCAGCTCCCAAATCATAAGAGGGAGACTTCTTATTAGTTATGAATGCTCGGCCTAGCTTAGGCTCGTTTCTGGCTAGTTCTTTTAACTTAACCTGTTTCTCTTTGTCTACCTTTTGCCTCCGGGAATTTTACTTCTTTTCCCCTTCTGTATATCTTTGCTGCTTCTGATGTCTGGCTGGCTGGTGGCTGCCTGGCTTCTGTCCCTGTCTTTTTCCCTCATTCTCTCTCTCTCCTGTTTATCCTCTCTGCCCACCAGCCTCGCCCATCCTTTCTCTGCCCAGCTATTGGCCATTCAGCCCTTTATTAGCAATCAGGTGCCTTAGGCAGGCAAGGTGAAACAAATGCAACACATCTTTACATAGTTAAACAGTGCAGCACAAACAAATGTAACACACTTTTACACAGTTAAAGTAATATTCCACAGCATAAACAAATGTAACACACTTTTACACAGTTAAATATTCCACAGCATAAACAAATGTAACACATCTTTACCCAGTTAAAGCAATATTCTACAACACAAACCTATTGTTATTATTAGCTTTTTAGCTCACAAAAGTCATGTATTAAAAATGAGCTGGGGAGATAGCTCAGTCTATAAAGTTCTTGGGGTACAAGTGTGGGAACCTGAGTTTGTACATCCAGCATCATGTAAAAAGCCAGATGTGAGGGTGACTATCTCTGCAGTCCCAGCACTGGGGAGACAGAGACAAGAGGATCCCTGAGGCTTGTTGTTCAGTCAGTCTGGCATACTCCAGGGTCCGTGAGAGATCCTGCCTCAAAAAATAAGGTGGAGAGAGATTTGAGGAAGATGCTCAGCATCAACCTCTGGTCTCCACATGCACCCATTCCCCCTCCACCCCTCACCCCTCCATGAATATTCTCATCCACACATGCACCTATACCTGCACACATGTCAACACACCTAAACATGTCATACATATGCTAAAAATAATAAAAACGAATTGTGTATACTTCTGGTGTATAATAGTTTTTGTTTGCTTGCTTGCTTGCTTGCTTTTGCAGTGCTGAAGATCAAAGCTAGGGCCTTATGTATGCTAGACATGTGCTCTACCACTGAGCTTCATGTCCAGTCCCAACAGGCTGCTTTGAAATAATGTCTGCATATGTAATGGATAGATCAAACTAATTAACCTATGTTTTACTACACATAATATTTTTGTGTATGATGAGAATGATTAAATTGTGCTCTAGCATTATTATTTCAAGAATTAGCAAGTTTTTAAGCTATAGTCAGCACATATCAAAGCAAAGTTCTTGAAATTATTAATGTCTTGATGAAAATTTGTATGCTTTGACTAACATCTCCCTATCACACCACTACCACTACCAATTTTTCAGTAATCTCTATTTTATTTTCTGTCCTTATTAGTAAAACCTGCTTAGATTCCACACATAAATGAAACTAGCATCTGTTACTCTGTGCCAGGCTTATTTCACTTAGCATGATGTCCTGCAAGATGATCCATGTTATCTCAGATGACATAATTTCTTCACCTTTTAAGACTAAATAGTATTCCAGCCATTGATGGGTACAGATTGATTTCATGTTTGTCTATCCCGTATAATGCTCCTAATAACATGGGGATATAAATATCTTTACCTTTCTTGGTTATATCCTATTTGTCCTTGGATGTTCTGTTCTGATAGGCTTCAGTCTTTGGTGCCTTTTGGTTTTGGTGCCTCTTGATTGTGGAAGTTTGTCTCATTCAACCTTCAACTTCATAGATTCTTTTTCAGTATATCCAGTCTACTAATAAGCCTATAAGATACCTGTTTAATCTTCAAAATAATCCTAAGGGCTGGTTGGGGTATCACAGATCTATAATCCCAGCAGTCAGGAGGGTTATAAGTTTGAAGCCAGTCTAAACTACATAGTAAGATCTTGGCTCAAAAAAAAAAAATCCTAAGAAACACATCGATTACTATGTTGCTTTCCTGTTTTACAATTTGGGCTACTAAAACTAAGAGTATTAAACAAGGGTAGTATCGATTGTTAACTTGACAAGATCTACAATTACCTAAGAGATAAACATCCTGACATGGCTATGAAGGATCATCTAGATTAGGTTAGCCTATGGGCATGCCTGTAAGGGATTATCTAGATTAGGTTAATTGAGTTGGAAAGAACTACATTAACTATGGGGAGCACCATTCCCTGGGCTAGGAGAAAGCTAGATGCGCACTGGCATTCCTTGCTCTCTGCTTGCTGACTGCAGACACAATGTGACAAGCTGCCTCACGTGACTTCCCCCAATGGTGACACAGCAAACCCTTCCTCCTTCACATTGCTTGTTGCTAGATATTGTGTCTAACAATGAGAAAAGGAATACAGAACATTGGTACTGAGAAGTGGGGTCCGTTGCTCTGACCATGTGGTCCTCAGGCCTTTGGAACTGGTTTGCAGGATTGTGGAGAATTTTAGTACAGCCTAGAAAAGCTTTTGAGCGCTGCAAACAGAGCTTCATGGGTGATTCTGGTAGAAGCTTGGAAGACAAGAATGGGAAGAGAAACATGGATAGTGGAGGCGTACCTCATGAAGTTTCGGGGAAAAACAAGGACTTTATCCAAAACTTGGCTAGAGGCCATTTATGTGGTATGCTGGCAAAGAACTGCCTACATTGTGCCAGCATCCCAGCATCCTAAAAACTTGAGTAAGGTTGAATTTAAAGATGATGAGCAGCAAGAAGCATACTGAGTGAGGATTTTTTTTGTTTTGTTTTGTTTTTCGAGACAGGGTTTCTCTGTGTACTGAGTGAGGATTTAAACTGTGGTCTAAGATGTGTATGAATACATCAAGTCAGAACAAAGACATAAATTTATAGAAGCACAGTAATGGGCCATCAGAACTTCTTGCTGTCAAAGTCTCCTTAGTTCAGGAATATTTAAGAAAAGCTTCAAGAAGGTGAAGCATTTGAACAGGCAGAGAGTAGGATTTTAGTGGTTGATATGGTGAACAAATGAAGTGGTACAGCTAGGATTAAACCCAATGAACCCTGAAACCAAAGCATGCATTCTTTCCATTATACAAAATTGTGACAGCAAGATCCTATGTGGTAAGACTACAGTATGATAGAAAGGGGTGGGTACTGTGAGTTACAGAATAAAAGGCTAAAAAGGAAAGTTAAGAACATGAAGAGCCTTTGGTACATGTAAAGAAGTCTAGACTATCAAAGAAATCCTTCCAAACCCTAGAATCACCAGTGGAGATGACCTTGTATTTCCCTTGTGCCTTAGAGTTCGTATGTCAGAGGGCATAGTGGGTTGAGGGTAATGGAGCAATATGGAGGCAGAACCACAGAGCAGGAAACCTGGGGGGTACTTTTGACCGAAGCCAATGTTTTCTTTGATACATTTATTTTTAAATATTATTTATTATTTTAGCATAAGCCGTTTTTTGGCATGCCACCTTTATCAGAGTCTGATGAAAGAAGAGCAAGCAGCCAAACAATTCCATCGCTGGCTGAGTTATTGGAACTTGCCAAAAATGAAAAAAAGTTTGTGATATTTGATCTTTTCGGCCCTCCACCAAATCATCCTCTCAGAAAAAATTTTGTTCGAAGAGTAGTAAGGGTCATCCTTGACTCCAAAATTGAGCAACGTCTGGTATGTCTTTCTTAGTATTTATGGCAAAGGTTGGGAGGTGGGCAGCCTGTCCAGGAGCACAGGAGTTGAATTCAACCTACCATGTAATTTTTCTCTGAGATCTGTAAGTGATTTTGTTTCCTTTGGAAATGGAGATTATTGCCTATACAGCTAGGGGTGGCAATCTGAGAATGATCTAGTTAAAATTATCCCCGTGGGGGAAACATTGAGATTGTTTGCTATTCTAAACCAAATATAGTATTAGTGCATTGTGAAAGAATGATATAGAAGTTGAGGAGACAGCTCAATGCATGACACACTTAGCACACAAGCATGAAGGTGGGAGGTGAGGTCTTCAGAAACCTGGTAAAAGCTGGACAGGCATGGCAGCCAGCAGTCATTCCAGCTCAGGAGGCAGAGACAGGGCAGGGCAAGCTTGCTAGCTAGACTAGCTGGAACTGGCCAACTCCAGGTTCAATGAGAGACCCTGTCTCAAAAAAATAAAGTGGAAAACAATGGAAGAAGAGAACTAGTGTCAACTTTTGGCCTCTACACATATGCACGCACATATGCACACATGTACATTCACATACTTGCATATAATAATTCTGATGTGACCTGCCCCATGGTCAACATAGACCTATAAGGCTTCATGACAATACAGCTTTGAGGACTTTAGCTTTAAAGAATGATCTAGAAAGACCAATGGTTCTTAGTTGAGTAGAGATTTACTCCTCATTTTTGGTTTTTATTTTAGAATCACTCTCTTTATTTGCAAATTTATTTTTTAAATCACTTAGTTTCTCAAAATACAGCAATGTTATGAGTAAAATAAATATGTGTCTCTTTGCAAATGGAGCTCTTTCCACAGATGAGTTAGTCACAGCAGCATCCCTGTTACCAGGAAATACCTAAGTAGTTCCTCTCAAGGATGGCTTTTGGCATCAGCAACTGGAGATGGTTCTTTTTATTATTATTATTTATTTGGGTTTTCAAGACAGGGTTTCTCTGTGAAGCAGTCCTGGCTGTCCTGGAACTCATTCTGTAGACCAGTCTGGCTATGAACTCATAGGATCCACCTGCCTCTGCCTCCCAAGTGCTGGGATTAAAGATATGCACCACCACTGCTTGGTGGAGATTGTTCTTTAATGTTCATATCTACCAATTTTTTTCTCTGCAAAGTATCTAATTCATGGTCTTGCACATACTAGGAAGGTGCTCTACAATTGAGCTACATTTCTAGCCCTTCATTTTTTTTTGTATGAATCTTTTTATATGCTTAGGGCCTTGACCCTTACTGTTACCTGAAGGATGGGAAAAGCCTGGGAAAACTCAATTCCACAGCAGCCTTCCCCATTTTTAAGAGTTTGTTAAACAATAATTCGATTGCTTCACCAAGGGCTAGAATCTTCTCTGCTTCCTGTAGACTGCTGCCAGTGCTAGAATGGCGCTTCACTCGTTCTCCCTGGGCTATTTGTGCCAAGACAGTTGGCGACCCACTGGAGGACTCTCTGTTTCTCCTTGCAGATATTTTGGTTGCCAGGTCACGACAGAAAATATGTCAGGTCCGTGGCTCCTGGTTTTCAGCATGTGGGTCGTTTAAGAACCCTTGAGGAGCTTGCAAATGAGAATATGAGTATAATAAATGTTGACTATAAGAGGTTGTTCTACAGTGGGTTGAGGTAAGTGTTTGACCACCCCTCCTGGCATCATTGTTGCCATAACATTTACAAAATATCAATTCTACCCAAGTTACTTAACTTCCTCTTTCCTTTCTGTGGTTATCATCTTTGAATCCTCTGCTTTCTCATTGCTTCTTCTCCCTTCCTTCTTTTGCCAACAAACATTTACCATGTGTAGAACATGCTCCTTCCTTGTACTCTAATTCCTCACCACTCAATACATATTTTAAAGATCCATTTTATTTTATGTGTGGGTTTCCTTGTGTGTATGTATATCACATATGTGCAGTACCCACAGAGACCAGAAGAGGGCATAAGATCCCTTCGAACTGGGGTTACAGGTGTTGTGAGCCTCCACATGGCTGCTGGGATTTGAACCAGGGTCCTGTGAAAGAGCAGACAGTGCTCTTATCAGCTGAGCCATCTTTCCACCCTCTCCACACATATTTTTATACACTTGGTATATATGTTTTTTGTAGCTAGAGTTTTCCTGCCTGGCCCATGGTCAGGAGAAATCTCTGTCACCCGCCAGTCCCACAGCCGCTCAGACCCAACCAAGTAAACACACAGAGACTTATATTGCTTACAAACTGTATGGCCATGGCAGGCTTCTTGCTAACTGTTCTTATATCTTAAATTAATCCGTTTCTATAAATCTATACCTTGCCACGTGGCTCGTGGCTTACTGGCATCTTCACATGCTGCTTATCCTGGCGGCGGCTGGCAGTGACTCAGCCTTCTACTTCCCAGAATTCTCCTCTCTCCTTGTCCTGCCTATACTTCCTGCCTGGCCACTGGCCAATCAGCATTTTATTTATTGACCAATCAGAGCAATTTGACATACAAACCATCCCACAGCAGTTTTTCTCTGCACTTTTGTAAGGTTGACTAAGATTCCATGTTTAAGTGAGATCATACAGTATTTGTCTTTCTACCCCAGGTTTATTTTACATAGTATAGTGTTTTCCAGGTTCATCTATATTGGAGCAGTGAACAGAATTTCTTTTTTTCAAAAGTTGAGTAGTATTCCTTTGTATATAAGCACCTTATTTTCTTCATCCATTCATCTATTGGTAGATACTTTCCTTATCGTGGCCAGTGTGAATAATGTGACTGCAGTGAAGACGGGAATGAAAACAGCTGCCACACTTTCGTCACAAGTACCCTTGATACTGCACACTCTGTCCTTCCATCCTTTCCTCCCTAACCTCAAGTCTCAACCCCATAGAATGGCTATAATGTTGTTATTTCAAGAAGGAACAAACTCCTATTATATGTAGCCTTTGGGGACTGGTTTACTTTTTCACTCATCCTAATTGTCTTAAATTTTATCCAAGGTGTTTCTTTTATCCATAATTTGATCCTTCTTGTTGCTGAATAGTGTTCAATGGTGTGTATACCAAAGTTCAGTTAATCAGTTACTAGCAGAAGGACATCTGATTATTTCCATCTGTTTGCATATGGACTTTTATGCAAGCAGTCTTGATTTTTCAGGGATAAATGCCTGTGATTTCAAATTCTGGGTTATAGTGATTGAATGTTACATAAGAAGCAGCCAGACTTTTCCAGGAAGACAGTACCATTTTACATTTCTGCCAACACCATGACCCAGAGTTTCTACATCCTTGATAAATTTTGGTGTTTTCACTTTTTAATCATATCTACTCTGATGGGCATGTAGTAACATCAGTTTGCTTAAACATATATTCTCCAAAGGCTAATGATGTTGTGTTTATTTGCTCGTGGGTCTCTTAATTTAAATTCTTTTTCTTTATTATTGAATCTTGAGAATTCTTTTCACCCTTTGTTGGATAGGGTTTGACAGCATTTTTCCTGGAACTGGAGAGATGGCTCAGTGGATAAGAATGTGTATGTACTGCTCTTCCAGAAGGCCCAGAGCTCCAGCCCCTATGCTGGAGGCTCTAGGGGATTTGACACCCTCTCTAGGCTTCCATGCGCCTCTGCACACAAATCAGGCACACACATACATAAATAAATAGATAAAAATAAATCTTTATAAAAAGAAGCACGAGGCTGGGCAGTGGTGGTGTACTCCTTTAATCCCAGTACTCGAGAGGCAGAGCCAGGTTGATCTCTGTGAGTTTGAGGCCAGCCTGGTCTACAGAGTGAGATTCAGGACAGGCACCAAAACTACACAGAGAAACCCTGTCTTGAAAAACCAAAAAACCAAAAAAAAAAAAAAAAAGAAAAGAAAAGAAAAAATGGAGCACGTTCTCCTAATCTGTGATTTACTTGTGGGATCTTCGTAACAGGGCACAAGGTCTCCACAAAGCAAGAGCAGTGTTTCTATTTTGACAAGGCTAGCTCCTGAGTGCTCAATTCTGAGTGCTCCCTTTAAGGAAGTGAGCATTTAGTTCTGACCCAACTCTTTGCTCAACTCCAGACCTGACAGTTCTTCTATGTTTTCTATAAGATATATATATATATATATATATATATATATATATATATATATATATATATATATATATATATATATATACACATAGCTTTGGAGCCTTTCCTGGAACTCCACTCTGTAGCCCAGGCTAGCCTCAAACTTACAGAGATCCGCCTGGCTCTGCCTCCCGAGTGCTGGGATTAAAGGTGTGTGCCACCATGATCTGGCCAAGATTTATATATATATTTTATAATATTTTTCTTTTCTTTTCTTTTTTTTTTTTTTTTTTGGTTTTTTCGAGACAGGGTTTCTCTGTGTAGCTTTGCGCCTTTCCTGGAACTCACTTGGTAGCCCAGGCTGGCCTCGAACTCACAGAGATCCGCCTGGCTCTGCCTCCCGAGTGCTGGGATTAAAGGCGTGCGCCACCACCGCCCGGCTAATATTTTTATTTTATAATTAACTTAATTTCACATATCAGCCACGGATTCCTCCGTCCTCCCTCCTCCTACCCCCAGCCCCTCCCCCCAATCCACCCCTTATTCCCCCATTCCCACCTCCTCCAAGGCAAGGTCTCCCCTGGGGAGTCAGCCCTGCCTGGTAGACTCAGCTGAGGCAGGTCCAGTCCCCTCCTCCCTACACCAAGGCCAAGCAAAGTGTCCCAGAATAGGCCCCAGGCTCCAAAAAGCCAGCCCATGCACCAAGGACAGGTCCCAGCTCCCCTGCCTAGGGGTCTTACATTATATACTCAAGCCTGCAAATCACCCTGAATTCATTTTTATACATAGTGTGAGGTTTGGTTGAGAATTTAATATTCTTTTGGGAGAGTGCCTCTGGTCTTCCATATCATTTGTGACATTTGTTGAAAATCTACTCTTCCACTCACTTAACTTTGACAGCTTTGGCAAGGGTTATTTGAACAAATTTGTATAGGTCTATTTCCAGAGTTTCTATTGAGGACCACTAACTTATATGTCTGTTCTTGCTCTGGTACCACTGTCTTGATTACATGGTTATATGTAGCTTTCACTTACTTTTTGTCCAGATTGAAGTATGTTTTCCTCAGCATATAGGAAACAGGGCAGCCTGGACTACATAGTGAGTTTGAGACCATCCTTCACTACAGAGTGAGACGATGTCACAACCATACAACCCCCACCAAAGATTGAATTTTCCTAGAGTTGTGACTTTGTATATGCGCTTGGATCAGCTGACCTAATTGCATAAACTAACCTTTGCTGGCCTTCCTAGGACTCACACTGACGTTAAGAGATCAGCTTGGGAAAAGCTGGCAGCTCTGCTCCAATGAGTGTTCAGTCTATGAATGAACATCACTCTGTTGCCTTGTCTTCTTCGATTTCTCCATCAGTATTTCATCATTTTTAGGACCGTATCCTTAATGCTTCTCTACATTTTCTTGGAAGTAATTGTTAAGGGCATTATGTTTTAAATTATAGTTTCTACATCCCTTATTCATATTTAGAAACATTGAATTATGAGTTATAGTTTCAAATAGTACAGAAAAGTAACTTTTTACTACTTTTCCCCTTTAAGTTCTTTCTAAAATTCTAGGTGACCTGTAGAACTTTCTTAGAGGCAGTTCTTATCTGCGTGTAGGAATCTGGCCACCCCTCCAAAAGGCATAGTTATTATCTTAAGTCTATGCTCTGATGCACAGAGCTTGCCAACCTAGTGTATGGCAGACATATACTTTCCAGTGTGATGCTGGACCAGGGTTCAAAAGGACTTGGGGACGCACTTGCACTTGATCTTATTAGCCCACTGGCCAAGCGGCAGCAGGTGTGTTTTCTGAGAACTCGAATATTGAAACAACAACTAGCCTTACTTTGCTAGTCCTTCCTTTACTTATTCTCTTCCTTCTCCATAGGTCAGGCAAAAGGTCCACTGACATGAAGTGTCTTATGAAAAGCTGGGTTTGATTTTCCCACGCAATTCTTGTTTTTAAAAAAGTTCTTTATAGTTAAATGTTAAAGCGTTCATCACACCAGTGTTTACTCTCTTCTTTCAATGAATACTTATACTTACACAGCTAGGTGTTGAGCTAGGCCTGGACACACAGAGAAGGATGGGGTGACAGTAGTTTCTGCTGTAACTCACTTAAATCAAACCAAGAAAATGGTAAGTGAGCAGGTCCTCAGTCAGGGTGGGGAGTGATACCCGAGGTGACAGATAACGGCTTGCAGAATCAGCCATTCGGGAGCCAGGTGCTCCTCTGCAAATTGGTCTTCTCAGCTGTAGTTTGAAATTGGCTGTAGTGGGAATATTTGCAAATTTGTAAATGTTGCAAAGAAGGATTTCCTGTCTGCTCTTGTTCCCCAATTCTTTCTCTTTTTCTCTTTCCATTTTCTTTGTTTTGCTACATCCCACCAGCCCCATCCCTTTAGGACATTTTGTTCACCAGCGTTGTGCTACAACCAGGGCTGCAGGGGCAGGACTAGAGCAGCCCGTACCTGAGCCTAGTCTGTCACAGTAAATCTTAGGCTGTCCTTGGAGCAGCTGTTTGTCCAGTGGTTTAGGCAGTAGCTTTTCACAAACGTGGTTATTCCCCTTTCATTATTAAGAGTACAACTGAGCTGAAATCCTCTGTGGGCTGTTTTTGTTCCAGACACTATAAGGCAGCTAAAATCCACATCAATGTGTACACTGTCAATGAGCCTTGGCTCTTCTCATTGGCCTGGTGTTATAGGATCAACTCTGTGACCACAGACAACATCCAGGTCCTGAATCAGCTTAGTCACCCTCTCTTCTTCATGGTGAGCTGCTTGTCCAGATCACTCAAAGCCTGGTATGATTGTGCTGTGTTCCCCTACCCCTGGGTAGTTCCCTGTTAAACTACTTCTGAATAGAGACATCTGTGAGTAATGGAGATGTGCCTTCTCCCTTCTTCAACCAGACTCTTCTGGGCTCTTTATTTATTGAATCTTCATAATGCGCTTTACACGCTGCATGCAATTTAAGCTCCCGAATTTGACACTGTTGTTATTATACCCATGAGGAAACTGAAGCTCACAGGTGTCTTGGTCCATGTTCTCATGATGTAAGATTCACAGTGGGGTCTGACTCTAGAGCTTTGTTATTGTAGGCTTGAGCATGTGCAAGCACATTCACACACACACACACACACACACACACACACACACACACACACACACACGAGGTATGGGAGCAACAACAGTCACAGGAAATACTATGGGAAGAAAGCTGGGACTATAAACACACTCTACCACCCCCACTAGAAAACAGTCTAGGAATTGAAGAGCTGGCTCAGCATTAGCTAGAGTGCTTACTGCTCTTCTAAAGGACTTAAGTTCCTTTCCCAGCACCAATATCAGACAGCTTGCAACTGTCCGGAAGTCCAGTTCCAGGGGATTCAGTGCCCCCTCTGGATTCTGCAGAAGCCTGTATGAACACATGTGGCAAGAATAAAACTTTTTTAAAGAAAAGTTTAATTTTGCTCCTTTGAAAGTTAAGCATTAAAGTGGAAACACTTAAAGACTAAACAGCACCAGCTTCTGTAGCATCAAGTAACACTGGATGGGAGCCATGAGGAGAGGGGGAAAATCAAACCAGAGATTAGGAAATCCGTGTGAATCAGTACAGGAGACAGAGCTCCCAGAGTGCTGGGGCAAAGAGTTGGTCTTGGCAGAGTCTTGAGGGGCAAATGTGTGAGTCAAAGGGAATTACATATAGTTCAGCATTTCTGTGAAGAATGTTAAGTCAGAACAGTGGTGCCAGGTGCTGGTTCATAGACCAGTTGCTTCCCTGTCACTTGGGGCTGCTGAACCTGATGGTTTTGATCCCTTAGGTCTATAGGTAGCACTAGAAAACTGCATTACTGAAGGCTTTCCAAACAATATGGATGTGAGCTAGATTTTGGAGAACATGTTACAGAAACAGAGTACAAGATGTCAGATGGCATGGCGTGGAGTCCTGGGTCCAGAACAGACTTGGTGTGTGACTTCTCTGCGATTGCTACAGATGTCTACCTTGATAGTCAAGGCAGATGAAGGGCATGGCACCTTTTAGCCCTGGCAGATCCCTTGCATGTATTGGGTGACTGTTAGAATAGCTGGAGAGAGTCTCGATGTCCCCACTTCCTCTAGGCCCTCAGCCTGAGTGATGAGCAAGGGACTTCAAACCTTCCAACCATCAAGTTTTTCGACTTTGTTTTATTTATGTTTTGTAGACGCCAGGAAACTATACATTCATATGGCTTTTCATGGTTGCAGCTTCTGGGATTATCATTGGCTTTGTATTTTGTTATCACTGGTAAGTGTATATTTATAATTCTAAATGAAAAGTTTCTCTAAGTAAAAGTAATAAATGAGTTCTTACAGAAAATTGAGAGAAAGGTTATTTTCTTCTGAGGCCTTCCATGGTGAGGTGGATTTGTAGTCCAAGCCTCTTATTTCACTCTGCCTGCAGCCCCCTCCCTCACCCGTTTTTCAAACGAGGACTCTCACTGGATCCCAGTCAGCATTTCCTATCGATTCAGTTGATCTGGTGAGAAAGAGGAGGGACTGAAACTGTCCAGAACAAGGGCCTCTGTTCCCTCCTGGTAGGAACTGGCAGGGCAGGGCACACAGACTAGGAGCACTGGGTTGTAGCCCTGGCTTCATGTCTTAGTTGAGGGGTGACCTTGAGAAAAATTGATTTTTCTTTCTGGACCATACTCTTTTTTATGTCTGCCTAGAAAATGACATTTAAAGAATCCTTGCAGGCAAAAGATACAGGATTTTGGTTTAGTTTGTTTTTAATATTTTACTATTGTGTGTGTGTGGGGGGGGGTTGTTTGGGCTGCATGTGTGTCTGTGTGCCTCCTGTGTGCCTCATACCCACAGAAGCCAGAAGATGGCATCAGATTCCCTGAAACTATAGTTACAGATGGGTTGTGAGCCACCAGATGGGTGCTGATAATCAAATCTGGGTCCTCTGGAAAAGCAGCCAGTGCTAAGAGCTGACCACTGAGTCATCTCTGCAGCCCAGGATTGTGGTTTTGAGATGAAAGAGAGAACTAACAGCCCAGAAGAGGCATGAAAGTCAGGGTAGACTGTGGTTCTTCAGAGCGATCATTCTGATTGGCAGCTCACCTTCTAAGGGGGAGGAGGCACAGGCGCCTCAGGTGAGAGCCTGGCTGAGAAATGAGTCTCTTCTGTCACCTTCTAAAGGGGAGGAGGCACAGGGGCTCGCTCGCTCAGGTGAGAGTCTGGCTGGGTAATGAGTCTCTTCTGGCCGCTGCCTCGATGGTGCTGTCTAAAGAGGCCTCTGAGCTGACACATGGTATGCTTCCTTCTAGGATAAAAGAGCTTAAAAAAGAGAGGTGGCTGGAAGAGGCGACTGCTGCACCTACAGGTAAAGTCAGAAGCCTTGCTCCTTCCTTCCCTCTGTCCCCATGGCCTCTAGAAGACACATCCTGCTCTTCAGGTCCCTGATGAGAGCCGAGGGTGTGTGGGAATTGAGAGTTGGGGACCAGGGAGAAGCAGAGAAATTTAGTCAGTCCCCTTGTTCTTCAGTTCCCATCTGCAAACTCAACCAAGCACCAGTGGAAACCAGAGTGAAGCTGTTGCTGATATGGTAATGTAGTTAGGCCTGTGAGGTGGGCTTGTGGTTATTGAACACACAGCTTCTTGTCGTCAGTCCTCATCACTTCAGAATGCGGTGCTTTCCAAAAGCAGCTTGCTCTCCTTATTTTACCATTGTGCAAACGTCAGAGAGTGCATTTAATAAAAACCTCTGTGTGTGTGTGTGTGTGTGTGTGTGTGTGTGTGTGTGTGTGTGTATTGCGCCTAGGGCCAAGATGAATGAAACAGTATGATATTAAGTAAATTATGTGGAAAAATGATGTAGGTAGTCTTGAGACTTGACAACGTGAAATTTAGCTGCCTGGATTAAGTAGCATGTGAAAATAACAATAAAATACATAAATATGACAGTGTAGCCATGTGTTATCATGGCCACAAATTACAAACTATACCTGTTATGTAGCTGGCATCCTCACAACTGTGTACTAACTACTCTGTGCTCTAAGTCAAGATGACATCAGTGTCACTAAATAAGAATTTTCAGTTCTGTTGTGACTTTTTGTAACCAGTTCAACTCATGATGACTGAAACATCCTAACAAGGCACATGACTGCATTTCCTAAACAACATAATGTAGCTATTTATACAGCATTTACATCATTTTGGCACTTCAGATCATCTAAAGATGATGTAAAGTATATGGGAAGGTGTGCATGGGTTTATATGCATCTTACAGAAGAGATGTGGATATCTACACTTTGTTTCCCTAAGGAATCACAGTACCAATCCCCTGCAGACACCAAGGGACAGAACTATATAAACTAGAATAGGTTCTGGAGAACTCTTCACTTCAGACTGCAGATGTCTAAGCACATATCCCTGGGAGACTTCTAGAACACATGTTTATTTGCTCATGTGTTTGTATGTTCATGAGTTACATTATTGGGTACCTACTTTGTGCCAGGAAAACCTAGAGCAATTGAAGAGAACTGAAAATGCTCTGTGCTGGGTAGCCCAAGAGAGAGCAGGGGCTGTCCCATTCAGCCAGCGAGGAAGCAAGCAAATGCTGCAGTTGATATGAATGAACCAGGCGCCCAGGTCCAGGGCAGGGTATCTACCATGCCTGTGAGGGCCAAGGGTGCTTTATTGGGCTTTATGTGCATGGTGGATGTTGCAGAGTACATAAAGAACACTTTACAGGCCCTGGAATGTTGGGCTGTAGTCTAGTCTCTGCTGCCAACAATAGGAGATGACAAATGAGTTCAAACAGGGAATGATAAAGCTAGATCTCTAGGAAAGGATGGTGTTAGGTCTCAAGAAATTCCTTTACCCAGAGTCTGGCATTTAGACAAAAGCCAGCATTCCCTCAGGGACTGAAGAAGATAATGCCTAGCTTGCTAAAAATAGTAATTTTCTTTATCTCTGGCAAAAGGGACATATGGCTCTTCTGTTAACCTATGCCTGTAGTGCCTATTAGCATATCAAGGTCTATGCTCTGACTGCTTTTTCCCTCATATCTACAATGAACCTTCTCCTCAGCTATTCCTAGGAGCAGTCATGTCCCCATTTTTTTTTTCATTCAGATAGAAAATGTTTATTTAGGAAAATATTTCAGGAGAAAACTAGCTTAGCTGAGGTGGTTAAAGTGTCGTTGTGACAAGAATTTCCATCCAGGTTTCCCCAAGCAGAATGGGAAACTTGTCAGAGAGAAAAATGTTCTGAACCTCAGAGGAAAGGCGTCGTCCCTTGTCCTTTTCATTGGAGCCCACTAGGGGAGAAAGGAAACTCCCAGCCCACTAGTGTGGCTTTTGTAGTAAAAGCAGACAAGGCAGGAGCTCTGTCGTGGCACTTCTCCAAGAGAAGGCAAGGGACGAGAGCAGGAGAAAAGGAGATGCCCACAGGGGTGCAGCAGGCCAGAGGCGCAGCAGGCTGCGGGAGCCAGAGAAACATGGAGGTGCCCTTGTTGAAGGCCTAGCGGCCAGAGCCCAGAAAGATGAGCGAGGCAAACAATTAGAAAGCAGGCAAGAGGTAGGCAGCAGCTCAAGAATATGACTCTAGAATTTGGAATCAAATTATGTGGTGGCAGAAGCCAGCAGAAACAGACAAATGACTCATACATGCCATAGGAGAGTCGGGTCAGCAGCTTGCTTTGGAGTGACCAGTCCTTTGAGAGGGAACTCGTTTATGCCACTCCTGGGTTTCAGCACCAGAGGAATGAAGAAAGGAAATAAAAGGAAGGAAAGTCTGCTCCTAGGTATGGTTTATTGTAGCTAAAAGGGAGAGAGAGACAGGCAGAGACATCTGGGAGAGTCCAGAGTGAACATGACCCTGAGCCAGGCCATGTGAGGAGAGGAGGGAGGGGAGAGCCAGACCAAGACAAAAAAGCCAAAAGGACCAGTATAGCAAAATAGCTCGATTATATAGGAAAGGGCAGCAGGGGGAAGGGCAGCCCAGCCCCTGGGTCGGGAGCAGGGTATAGCAGCCAGGAGGGTCCTGTAATGTGTAATGTGTAATGTGAGGGATGCTGGGAGAACCTGGCAGCCAGGTCCACTTCAGTATGTTAAATAGGCACCTCAGCCATTTGCCCCAGGTTTGAAACCTATCACTGAGGAAGTTAGATAGGCCCAGCAAGGGAGGGGAAGGGAAGTTGGTGTTTAGTTCTTAGAGGCTGAGTAATCTCACCATGAATCACTAATTTTAGAAGCCACGTGTGATGGTTAATTGTTCTTGTCAATTTGACAGGATTTTAGAATCACCCAGGAAGCACACCTAGTGTGTGCCTATCAGGGTGTGCCTATGAGAACATTTCCAGACAGGTTTAAGTGAGGGGGAAACCCACCCTAAGCATGGGCTAGGTGCCCAGATGGAATAGAAGGAAGTAAAGGAGCAGGAAGCTGGGTGGCCATCAGCAACCATCCCGCTCTTCTTGTTCCCTGTGGTCTCAGTGTGGCCATCTGCCTCATGCTCTCTTCGCCACACCTTCCCAGCCATGATGGACTGTCTCCCACAAACCATGAGCCAAAACAAACCCTTCCTTCCTTGACTTCCTCTGGCCAGGTATTTGAACCATTAAAAACAGCATTTACTTTAGATTTATTTTCTACTCACCTTATTTTCTTATCAGCATTTCAATGGAATGGGCTCAAGTTAAACTTGGTAATTTTTCTAAGGTATGAGTGCAACCTCTATCATTCAGATTTACACAGTTCTTAAAATAGTTCATAGGTACAGAAACTAACTTACCTGATCTAAGCAGAAAGTAAATGTAATAAAAGGCCATTTTGGAGCTCCACGACATATCCAGAGGATACAGGACCAAATACAGAGTCAGAGAAGAACAAAGACTGGACAGAGTCAAGACATTGGCAAAAACCACAGCCCAGATCATTCTTGGCTGAGGAACAAAACAGAGTGTCACAGCCTTCTTAGACAGGTCTCACCCTGGAGCCCAGGATAGCCTTCAAGTCTTGATCCTCCTGACTTTGCCTTCTGAATGCTATAACCACTGATGTGAGACACCAACCAGGATGCCACATCTTACATCACAGCTACTTAAAAGATGCCACCTCTGCCCTCAGAGGGCATCTGCTACCTCTGTCTTCAGTTTCATGAAATTTCTCAACTGTTCAGGTTTTTGGTCCTTTGTGACATGCCTATTTTTTTCCTCTAGCTGGTTTTTGAAATTGTTCCTTTTGTGACTGATTTTTGGTAATTAGACTATAATTAATCTCTGTGTGGAGGACACACATACAAATACAGATTTGTATCCTGCTTAGGATTTGCTGAAAATTTTGTATCTATCAGTATAGTTTTTTTTTTATCAAATTGGATAGATTTTTAGTATTTTTGTTTTGTTTTGTTTTGTTTTTCGAGACAGGGTTTCTCTGTGTAGCTTTGCGCCTGTCCTGGAACTCACTTGGTAGCCCAAGCTGGTCTCGAACTCACAGAGATCCGCCTGGCTCTGCCTCCCGAGTGCTGGGATTAAAGGCGTGCGCCACCACCGCCCGGCGATTTTTAGTATTTTTATTTTCTCCAAAAACCTGTTTCCCCCTCTTCACAGGTTCTAATTGCAGTTACATGGATTTTTAGAGACTGTTAATCTTTATTTTTAACGTATTTAAATTTATTTGTTTTATTCAGGATAAATTCTATGCTGTGTGCATTAGTTCCTTTCTTTCTCCCCTTTTTTTTGGGGAGGGGGGCTTTTAAGACAGGGTTTCTCTGTGTAGCCTTGGCTGTCCTGGAACTCACTCTGTAGACCAGGCTGGCCTTGAACTCAGAGATCCGCCTGCCTCTGCCTCCCAAGTGCTGGATTAAAGGTATGCACCACCACCACAGCCACCAACGTCCGGCATATTAGTTTCTTATTACTGACCTGCTTCCATCACATAGCTCGCGTTTTCCAGAAGTCTATGTTAACAGAACCAATATTATATAGTAGTTTCCATCTAGCTCCTCTCATTCAGTGTAATCACTTCAGATTTTCCATGCTGGCTGTGTCAGTAGTTCTTTCTTGTGCTGTAGTTTGAATGTAGTTTATTCTCTAGAAGTTATCATATTGATTCTCATTATATTGGGGTTAGAAGACAGTGAAACCTTTAAGAAAGAGGTTGATGATTGAATCTCTGGGGGTACTATCTATCATCTATCTATCTATCTATCTATCTATCTATCTATCTATCTATCTATCTATCTATCTATCTTTCCATCCATCCATCCATCCATCCATCCATCCATCCATCCATCCATCCATCCATCCATCCATCCATCCATCCATCTATCTATCTATCTATCTATCTATCTATCTATCTATCTATCTATCTATCTATCTATCTAATCTATCCATCCATCCATCCATCCATCCATCCATCCATCCATCTATCTATCTATCTATCTATCTATCTATCTATCTATCTATCTATCTATCATCTATCTATCTAATTTATTTTAATGTAGTACCAGTAGGGTGTATTTTGTTACAGCAGCAGCAGAAACCAAAATTTAGTTATCTGGTCACACATTAACAGACATTTAAGTTGTTTCCAATCTGGAGACATAAAAACGTTGCCATGAGTGTTTGTATATACTGTGTATCATTGTCAGACATAAGCAAGTCTGAGAAGGTGAGGAAGCTTGCAGGAATCAATCCTTTCTTTCCACCATGTGAGTCTTAGGATTGAATTTAAGTTGTCAGCCTTGGCAGTGAGCAGCTTTACCCACTTTGCCTTCTTGTTGGCCTATCAACTTCTACTATTCTTTTTGTGCACGCACACATACACACAATAATAATAAATATATTTTAAGGCATCCTGGGGTTTTATCTGTAATTGTGTCAAAATCTTACATCAGTTTAGAGAAGCATGGTATCTTAATTGTATTCATTTTCACAGTGCATGAATAGAGTGCAGTTGTGGTATCTGTAGGGAACTGAAAAATACCAAAATCCTTGGGTGCTCCAGAAGGTCTTAGTGTTTTGAAATAGCCCCTCATGCCAGGCGGTGGTGGCGCACGCTTTTAGTCCCAGCACTCGGGAGGCAGAGGCAGGTGTAGCTCAGTGAGTTTGAGGCCAGCCTGGTCTGCAAAGCAAGTTCTAGGACAGCCAGGACTGTTACACAGAGAAACCCTGTCTCAAAAAACAAAAACAGAAACAAACAAACAAACAAACAAACAGAAACAGCCCCTCCCATTCTCTTGTGTCCTTTAAATCGTCTCTGCATTACTTGTGACATCAAGCACCGTGTAGGTAAGATGTAGGGAGGATGAATAGTTGTCATGCTGTGTTATTTATGGACAAAGGAGAAGAAGCCTGTGCATGTTTAGTACAGGCACGGTGTTTTTAATGCAGTTGTCTCGTCATCTAGTGAATGTAGTTTATCTAGTTGAAACTACAGTTGTGAAATGTAAAGATATTGAAGGCTGGATATGCATCTCTTTATTTACTTAGACTTTCTGAAATTCTTTTTAGCAAGACTTTGTGATTTTTACACCTTACATAACTGTAGCATGAATCTTAAAGGGTCTTATTAATAAAATCAAACCTGAGGCCAGTTATTGGGGTGAAATGCTGGAAGATCAGAGAGACAGAACAAGCCACAGCTTCCTCACCTGGCCAGTTCCTCAGCTGGTCTTGTTTCCTCAGACTGGAAGCCTCTGTGTCCTCATCCCAATGGCTCCCAGCTGAACTGCGCTGCTAGAAGCCTGAATGCTTAACCAGCCAAATGCTTAACCAGCCAAATGCTTCTAGTTCCTGGTCCTCACGCCTTATAAACCTTTCTGCCTTCTACCATCACTCCCTGGGATTAAAGGCTCGCTTTCTGGGATTAAAGGCGTGAGTCACCATGCTTGGCTGTATCCCTGAACACATGGATTTCTGCCTAGCTCTGCCTCCCAAGTGCTGGGATTAAAGGCGTGTGCTACCACTGCCTATCCTCTATGTTTAATATTGTGGCTGTTCTGTCTCTGACTCCAGATAAGCTTATTAGGGTGCACAATATTTCAGGGAACACAATACCACCACATAACTATCAGATTTATCTCTAAATATTACATTTTATGCTATTGAAGATGATATTTTAAAATTATAATTTCCAATTTATTGTTGAGTATCTAGAAATGCATTTGATTATCATCCTCATATTCTGCAATCTTATGAAGTTAACGTATTAGTTCTAATGAGTTTATTTTAGGTTCTAGTTTCCTACATATGTAGTCCATGCCTTCTATAAAATTTCACTTCTTCCTGTCTGGATGCCTTTGTTTTCTTTTTCTTGCCTTATCACATTGGCTAGAACTACAACTAATTTGTGAGTGGTAAGAGTGGATGTCCATGCCAATAGAAAAGTCTTTGGCATGATAGAACCTGAAGTTTTTCCATAAATACCCCTTATCAGGTTGAAAAAAACCTTTTCTGTGACTAATGTGTTGAAAAAAAAACATTCATGAATGTACTTTGGGTTTTTCAGTACTTCTTCTGAAGCTGCTGATACGATTGTTTCCTTTTTAAGTACTTTGTTCTCTTTTAGTGAGTTGCATTGATTTGTCCAATGTTGAAATGGCCTTGTGTCTTTGGAACAGACTGTACCTGATGTATGTGGATTTTTATTTGATAAAGTTTTCTCTGGGGTTTTGTGTCTGTTTCCATGAGCAATATTGTTGTGTATTTTTCTTGTAATTTCTTTGTTTTAATGTTAGCTGCTTAGAACGTACTCTCTGCTCTTCTGTGAAGCCATCTATACCTGGTGTTTTCTTCATAGTAAAGTATGGGATTATTTCTTCAGTGGTCTGTATCTTTCAAGGACATTTTAAAAACATTCCAAAAACTCAGATTAATTAGCACAGAATGTTTTAGTCTCCTTTTGTATATTTATATTTTATGAGTTCTTTCTTTGTAAATTTAGTGGAAGTTTTGACACAGGGCCTCGCTATGTAGTCCAAGAGGGGCTCAGACTCCCAACCCTCCTTCCTCTGCCTCCCGAGTGCTGGGATTATCGTAATTGTTGCTGTGCTCAGTTCTTATACTCTTTTAATATCCGTCCTATCTGTTCTAATTTCCTCCAATTTATTCCCAATATTGGTATTTTATGCCTTTTTGGTTTTTTTATTTATCAGCTTAGCTAGAGTTTAATCAGTTTTTTTTGGGGGGCATCCTTTTAAAGACTCAGCTTTGGGTTTTGGTTTTTCTTTTATCCTCATTATTTTCTCTATCCTGCTTTAGGGTTGATCGGCTCTTCCTTTTCTAACTTCTTTTCATTTATTTTATTTTATTTTATTTTTTAGTTTTTCAAGACAGCATTTCTCTGTGTAGTTTTGGTGCCTGTCCTGGATCTCACTCTATAGACCAGGCTGACCTCGAACTCACAGAGATCTCCCTGGCTCTGCCTCCCAAGTGCTGGGATTAAAGGTGTGTGCCACCACTAATTTCTTAAGGTGGTGGCTGGAGTTGTTGATCAGAGACTTCTTTTCCTACAGTCTTTTAAAATACTGCTTCCATGATCCCGTTGCTGCTATAGTTTGAGTGTGAGTGTCCCTCTAAAATTCCTGTGCTTGGGACCTATACCCAGTGTGGTCATATTGAGAAGTGAGCTTTTGGAGAAGAGATTAAACATGAGCACTTCACCCTCACGGGAGGCTTTGATACTCTTAAAAAAGAAGCCGAATGTGGTGCCCTCATACTTTTCTGTCCTTCTGTTCCCCCCACACCTGCAAATTCAGGGTTATTTAATTTGGAAAACATAAGAGAAGGTGCCACCATGGAAACAGAGGTCCCTCACCAGAAGCCAGAGGTGCCACCCATTTCTGCCAGTTCAGCCCCCAAAGCTAAGAAAGGTAAGTTTCTGTTGTCTATAACCTTCCTGGCCAGTGATGTTCTCTTACAGCACTGAGAAGGGACAGAGACCACTGTGGGTTCATTTTTATTCATTTTGATGTCTTTTCTAATTTCCTTTTCCTTAAAAAAAAGTCTGAAAATACATTACATTTTACCTTATTTATTTATTTATTTATTTATTTATTTATTTATTTATTTATTTATTTTTGGTTTTTCGAGACAGGGTTTCTCTGTGTAGCTTTGCGCCTTTTCCTGGAACTCACTTGGTAGCCCAGGCTGGCCTCGAACTCACAGAGATCCGCCTGGCTCTGCCTCCCAAGTGCTGGGATTAAAGGCGTGCGCCACCACCGCCCGGCCAAATTTTACCTTATTTATTACATGTGTTGGGTGTGAGTGTGCATGCCCCGCAACATGCTTGTGGTGGCCAGAAGACAGCCCAGGGTAACGGTTCTCACCTCCCATCATGTGTGTCCTGGGGTTGAACTGAGGTAATCAGGTGGCCCATACAAGTTCTCGTTCATGCTTCAGACACCTAAAGTATTTAGTTCTGCAGAACCCTGCAGCCTTTTCAGGGCTTGTGCCCACTTGGAGGAGCTCCAAGATTGTCACACTGCCATACTTCCCCAAACAAAGAGCCCAGACAACACCAGGCTTTCCTTCCACTCAAGTTCTTGCTACAGAGGACTGCCTTGAGACCTTGACCCTCCAGATCCATGAAGTGGTCATGCGGCTGTGCTGCAGCTCCATACTCAACCCTGAAGCCCTGGAGGCATTGGGGCCCCATGTAGAAGCCCCCAGCAAATAGTCACATGGCACCCTCTATTGTCCTGAAAGCAACCAGGTGACCCAGGCTTGAGAGGGTCTGTCCTCTAAGACCTGAAAGCACCCAAATGACTCTATCCACTGGAGGCCCCTGAAGGTAACCAAGAAGACCTTCCTGAACAGCATGTCTAACACTCCACCCCCTTACAGTTTTTGAGATGCAGTTGAACATCCAGTTCTCAACTTAGCCTACTGTTACCTGAGCAGGTTAGCATGGAAGAACCTTAAAGTCAACTTGTGTAGCCCTTGGATACCAATATTCCTGCTTAAGAGAACTGTATCTAAGCTATTGTTACAATCCTACAACCTCTTCATCCCAGGCAGAGATATCCGATGTCTGCAAATGTGGATTGCAGCCAAAGAAGCTACACAGGTACAAAGCATCCACAATGGATCAAAGAATGAAGTCTATTTTCTATGAAAGCCACTGTTACAGGCTAGATGTGGTAGCATATAGCTGCAATCTTAGTATTCAGGAGACAGAAGCAGGATAAGTGCAACAAGTTTGAGAGCAGTGTGGTCTCTATAGCAAATCCTATGTCAACCAGTCAACCAGTGCTATATAATGAAACGCTGTCTCAAAAAACAAAACAAAACAAAAAGCCACTCTGCAGTGTTGATAGAGGCAACTATTGACCCATCACATTCTTTCCTGTAGAAATATAAGAAGGATGATAAAACAATTATACGACAATGTAATTCCTCAAGATGTACAAAGTAACACTTAGCAACAGACCCTAGTGGAAAAGGAAATAAACAGATTACTTAGAAAGAATTCAGAAAAGTGAGCTTAAGGAAACTTAGTGAGATAAGAAGACAGTTTATGATATGAATGAAAAACTCATCAAGGGGTATAGCATGAAAAAGAATCAGTAAGAAATACTGGATCTGAAGAACTCAATAAATGAAATTTAAAGCATGGTAATGAGCTTCAACATAATTGATCAGGTAGAATAAAGAATTTCTGAGCTTAAATAATCCAGTAATTTTTAAATGGAGAACACTTTGTGGATTTATGAGACAGAATTATATAAGCAAACATACATTATAGGTATTTCAGAAAAGGAGCTAAGGGAAGGCATAAAAACATCTTTTCATTGGACTGGAGCGATGGCTCAGCAGTTAAGAGCACTTATTATTCCTTCAGAGGCTCTACATGGTGGCTTAGGACATCCATAACTGCAGTTCCAGGGAATTCAGTACCTTCTTCTGGCCTCTGTTGTCACGGCGTGCATACATATATTCAGGTAGTCACATGAATAAAATAAAAGCTAAAATATTTTTAAAGAAATAATGAAAAATCTCTTCAGTAAAATAAATTGCTAGAAACTTTCCAAATCATGGGGGAAACTGTCCATAAGGCCCAAGAAATTCAAAGGACACCTTAATAAATTTGACAAAAACATCCTTTCTGATTTGTATTATGGTCAAACTGCCAAATGACCAAGACCAAAAAACTCTAAAAGCAGTAAAAGAAAAGCATTAAATACCTTAGAAGATTAACAACAGACATCTCAACAGAAACATTAAAGGTTGGAGGAGAATGGGATATGTTCAAAGACCCAAAGAAAAAAATATCAAGTAAAAATAGCATGGATCTGGGCAGTGGTGGTGCACACTTTTAATACCAGCACTCAGGAGGCAGAGGCAGGCCAATCTCTGTGTGTTCAAGACCAGCCTGATCTATATATTGAGTTCTAGGACAGCCAGGGCTACAGAGAGAAAACCCTGTCCCAAAAAAACCAAGACAAACAAACAAACAAAGAACAGCATGGGTCAACAAAGCTGCCCTTCAGAAGTGAAGGAGAGACACAGACCTCCCAAGACAACTAAAACCTGAAGGCATTCAGCGTTATTAGACCAGCCTTATGAGAAATGCTAACGGGAGCCTACAACAGAAGCAAAAGATAATAACCATCACAAAAATGTGCAAAACTCAGCAGTGGAGTAGATGCACGAAAGAGAAAGGAAACCAAGTCCCATGAATACAGGAACCCACCAGAGCACAAAGATGGACAAGAAAGGAACAAAGGATATACAAAACAACCAGAAAAGTTAACAGAACAACAGAAGAATGTCTTTAATTATCAGTGATGACCTTGAACGCAAATGGATTGAAATCTCCAATTTAAAGACTGACTAAATAGATTTAAAAAAAATCAAACAAGGCTCTCTGGAAAACCAGCTGGTGCTCTTACCCACAGAGCAATCTCTCCAGCCCCTGGAAAAACAGAGATACACTGCCTATGAGAAATTATCTTTACTGGTAAAGAGATGCATAGGCTGAAAGTGAAGGGATGGAGAAGGACTTACCATATAAGTGGAAACTAAAAGGTGAGCAATTATGTTCCATCAAACAGACTACTTAAACAAATACACTAAAAAGAAAGTCACTTTTTAACAATAACAATAGTTACTAATTGTAGTCACAGTAACAATAATATTAACAGTAACAATAATAACTGGATCAATTCAAGAAAAGGAGGTGTAATCATAAATGTATATATGTACCCAGTGCTGGAGCAACCGATTACAAAGAGCAGACAGTGGTTATGAGAGAGGATGGACTGCAGTCCACCACCACCACACATTCATCTATGAACAGACAGATCGTCCACACACAAAATCAGTGGACATTAGAATTAAACCCTGTAATAGACTGAACAGACCAAGGAGTTGCAGAACATCATGTCCCACAGCTACTGAATATGCCTTCTTCTCACCCACACACAGAGCATTTTCAAGGATAGCTCATAAAAGTTAGACAAAAACAAGTCTCAACAAAATTTTTAAATTAAAATCGTAATATATATCTTCTTTGACATCAATAGAATAAGACCAGTAATTAACAAGAGTAATTTTTAAAAAAAGGAAAGAAAGAAAAGCAATAACAAGCAAACCTAAAATTAGTAGAAGACAAGAAATAACAAAGATCAGAGCAGAACTGAGACTAAAATACACAAATAATCAGTGAGCTCAAATTAGCTTCTTGAAAAGATAAAAGACCCAGTTTTTAAATTCAACAATGAAAATTGAAACATCATAACTTAGCATCACAGAGTGAAAGGGATCATTGGGGCAATAATGGACAATTATGTACAGCAAATTGGGATAACTAAAACAAACAGACTTCTGGGCACAGGCAACCACCAAAATTGAACCATAAGGACATGGAAAACCTAAAACAATAGTGAGTATTGAGACTGAATTGGAAATGTAAGTCTCTTGTATTAATTCACTAGTTGCTGTGATCAAATACCTGACCAAGCAAAAGCCTTTAATGGAGGAAGGGTTTATTCAGCATGTGGTTCAAGGTGATGCAGTCCCTGTGGGCAGGGAAGGTGTGGTGGATGCAGTTTGAGGAAGCTGGTCACGTTGCATTTCTGGTCAGGAAGCAGATATTGATGAATTCTAGTGTTCAGCTAGCTTTTTCTTGGATTTGCAGTCTGAGTCCTCAACCCATGGCATGGCACCACCCACATTTAGGGTAAGTCTTCCTACCTCAGTTAACCTAATTTAGATAACCCTTGACAAACACACCCAGAGGTGTGTTTCCAAGGTGATTTGAAATCCAGTCATGTTGACAGTAGAGATTAACCATCACATCTCCAAAGGAAAGTTGGCGGCTTAATGGCTTTACTCCTGAATTTCATCAAACTTCTGAAGAACTAATACAACTTCTTCATGAACTATTCCAAAGAATTGAAAGGGAGGGAGCCTTCCAAACTCATTCTAAGAGGCCAGCATTGCTCTGAATCCAAAGATAGACCAGGCTACAACAACAAAATTCAAAATACCAATACCCCTGATTAACATAAATTCATATTGGGGTAATCAACTGCTCTGTGATTGGATTGGAGGCCAACTCCACAGAAGGGAATACACACCTCAACTATAAACTTGGTCAAAAGCCTATGGCTGAGGAATTCATGGGTCCAAAGGAAGAACATACTACCATTATTTCCCGAGATGGATAGATGCTGTCAATGTCCTTCTAAATACTTAGTTTATATCACTAGACTAGTGCCACCCTCAGCCTGGGGAAGAAAAATTAATTTTTTCAGCAGGCAATAGTTAATGTAGAGATGCAAAACTGGTCAAAGTGCTGACAGTAAGTGACTGTTAAGTGATTGCCCCTAAATGGGACATTTGTCTCAACCCCTCAAGACTCAGAAACATCAGTGAAGAAGGATAGGAAGAATGTGAGAACCAGAGGATGGGGCAGAGAGCTGTGAAATGCTGTCTTCTGGACCTGCCTCCCCACTGCAGTCCAGAACTCGGGTAGCTATGGTTACCTTGTACAAGACCTACACAAGATCAAGCCAGTCAGTAAACATTCCGGCACGTGTAGAGAAGGGACTTAGTGGTTCCACCCATAGCTGAGGAGATATTGACAATTGATGGCTAATAGGGATGGAGGTGTGACTTCAGGAAGGAGGCCAGGCTCCAAGGAATGGCCCCAGCACCCTTGCATATGCAGGCAAGACTAATTGGCCTCAATGAGCTATTTTTAAAAAACAGAAGAGAACAGTAAGTTGAGAGGAAGAAGTATTGGGGAGGGTCTGGGGGGAGTCTTATGGGGAATTTGGGTTGGGTATGATTAAGATACTTTATATGCGAATGAAATTGTCAAAGAATAAATAAAAATATATTTAAAAAGTGAACTATATCTGAGTTACTACCTATAGATAGGTAGTTACTATGACCTGGCTACATACCACATACATGTATTAAAATGCCACTGTATACCCCATATATACTATTTTGATATGTCAAAAAACTGAACTTGTTTGTTCCAAATATTAGAGGATTTTCCAGATGTGTTTGGGGGAATTCTTAGTGGAGGCTTGGGTTGAAGCTCAGGTTTTTTTCTTGCTAAGCCCACATTCTAGTCCTGAGCTATACCCACAGCTCCAACTTCTCCAGACATGTTGCTGTTGTTTTCTAATTTAATTTTATATTTCCAGAGAATATACTTGGAATGATTTTAGTATCTATCCATCTATCTGTTTGTCTATCTTTTTTTTTTTTTTTTTTTTTGGTTTTTCGAGACAGGGTTTCTCTGTGTAGCTTTGCGCCTTTCCTGGAACTCACTTGGTAGCCCAGGCTGGCCTCGAACTCACAGAGATCCACCCGCCTCTGCCTCCCGAGTGCTGGGATTAAAGGCGTGCGCCACCACCACCCCGCCTGTTTGTCTATCTTAAAGACAGGATCTTTTATGCCTAGAATATAGCCTACCTTTATAGATTTTTCTCTGTTTATATGAAAATAATGTGTTTTGTAATTGGACAGGGTATACTATGAATATTAATTAAGTCAATAGTAAAACAACCTTCATTATTTTCAGTAATAGTATTATTCTGAAATCTAATTAATATGATACTAATAGAAACCCTGACTTTTCATTAGTGTCAGTATGAGCTATCTTTTAGAAGCATTTACCTTTATCTGTGTTTTTAATATCTAAAATGAGCATCTTGCAGGAAGCATACAGTTGGAAATGAGCGTCTCTCCTTGAGTTATTACATTCTTCTTTATTTAGGTCCCACAATTCCTTACTATATTGTTAGCTATTAAATAACTTTAACAAGTATTTTCTTTATACTTAACCCATGTTTAAAGTTGATTTTCTACATGAAGGTAGATCTGAATTCCCTGGCTCCCCACTATTAGTTTTTCCATCAACAAAGTAGAAGAATGTATTTGGCCTCTAGTATGTGACATTTTTCTGGGTATTGGGAACATGATGGTAAGCAAGTCAAAGTTCCTCCTAGAAACTCCTATTTTTGAGGGATAGATTGAAACGGGGCCTCACTCTGTAGCCCAGGCTGGCCTCAAACTTGTAATCTCTCCTACCTTAACCTCCTAAGTGCTAGGAATTTAGGAGTATGACATCCCAGCTGGCCACTTGAAGCCAATGTCAGTCCCGCCTTCTGAGCACTTCCCTGGATCACACAATCATTTTTCTGTGTCTGGAGGAACTGCAGGGTTATCTGTAAAATTTTCACAAAATTGTGCAGGGATTGGAAATTTAGAATAAGTCCATGGTGGGTTGGAAACAATTCTAACATACAAGCAATGACTGAGCTCACTATATAGCAAACAAAAATCTGGAGGATGACAGCCGAGAAATCTGTTTATCTTTTCTCTCACCCACAGAACTTAAGGAAACAAAGAATAAAAAAGGAAAGTTGTAGAAAAACTCTGGCCACCTTCCGGCCATCATGGAGCAAAAATCAAACCAAACTGAGATAATCAAGCACTCTACTTCACAGCAGTCTTCAAAGAGGAGGCTCTGAAACCACCAGATTTTCCCCAGTGAGAGCACTGACCCATTAGGACTTGCCAAGAAGAACCTCAACCATCAGTATCTCCCCAAAGGAGATGTTAGTGTCATACCACTAGTAACCCCCATGGGAATACTATACTTCAAGGGCTCCCCAAAGAGGACATTGCTCTGTCAGGGCTCCCCAAAAGAACCTTGAACCACCAAAGTCCCCTAAAAGGGATGTGAAATCACTAATGCTTCCCCCAAAAAGACCGTGTCTTCCAAGGAGAATATCAAACAACCAGTGTTCCTATAAGGAACAAAAACCCTCCCAGTTCCTGTTTAGGGGCTCACTAAGCAGAATCCTTACTGAACAGCACGGTAGCCCAGGTATAGCTAACGCCTCCTCTCAGGAATCTGTTTATGTGCTATACTTCTCCTCTATCATGTCTTCCTTCCCCCACTGGAGAAAATTTAACCTCACCCTGCCCTGCCCTCTTCTTCTTCCTCTCTATGTCTAAGTATGGTGATGGTAGGGTGTGGTCAGGAAGGCTCACACAGGGGCCATTGAGGTTTTCAGGAGCAACACTCCAGCCCAACCTCTATAAGGAGTGCACCTCAGGAGACCGGCCAGGGCAACCAATGATGCATGGCCATGAACCTGGAGCTGGTTGCTCTCTGGGTTTGCAGGTTGTCTCATCTTATACTTCTGTTGTGTTTCCTGCTGAAGGAGTGGCTGGTCACTTGAGCTTGTAAATTAATAAAGGCAACTTCTCAGGAAGCCAGTGTGTTGTTCGCTCCCCTCTGTGGTCACCCAGGCTAATGAAGACTGTGGAACTGGTGCCTTAGTGATATTTTCTTCAGCCATGGAAGGAGAATTGGCATGGACATGAGCTGGGCAAAGCTCTCAATCCCACCCTCATTTTCTGATGTGCGTGCAGTAGGTTGCTTCCTAATGTTTACAATTCATGCTCCGGCCGGGCGGTGGTGGCGCATGCCTTTAATCCCAGCACTCAGGAGGCAGAGCCAGGTGGATCTCTGTGAGTTCGAGGCCAGCCTGGACTACAGAGTGAGTTCCAGGGAAGGCGCAAAGCTATACAGAGAAACCCTGTCTCAAAAAAACCAAAAAACAAACAAACATATAATTCATGCTCCCATAGCACTAAATAAACAGCCTTGGCCTTCTTAGGAAAACAGAGCTGAGAACAATCATCGGAAGTCCCTCTGTCTGGGAGCCCACTGTTGGAAATAGTGAGTTGAGTTCTGTGATGTGACCTTCACCCAGTGTTAGCAACAGTGAGTTGAGTTCTATGATGTGACCTTCACCCAGTGTTGGCAACAGTGAGTTGAGTTCTATGATGTGACCTTCACCCAGAGTTGGCAACAGTGAGTTGAGTTCTGTGATGTGACCTTCACCCATTCATACTCCCCCTGGACCTCACCCTTCTGCCTCAGCATGATGATACAGGGTAAACTATCCCCTCAACTTCTCCCTGGGCCAGATTTATCCTGGTTAACCGTGAAGCCATGTGAATGTTGTAGGGCAGGCCGCCTCCCTCCTCCCCAGCAGCCACAGCATCACTCCATAAAAGGAGGCTGCTTGGTCTGGGACCCCCATTTGTACAGCCAGCTGCTCTAGCCTCACGTGTAGTGCAGCGATCAGGAGCAGCACCCCTGGGGGGGGGGCACACACACAGGCAGGGCTGGCCTGGATGCTTAAGGTGATGTCTCAGAGAGATCCTGATGGACGTCCCAAACATTACGAGCTCAAAGGGATTCTCACTGTCACATCTGTAACTACTCACTCCAGCCACTGTCCTGTCTGAAACCCCTGCTCCAGATCTACCCAGTCCCTCCCAGACCTTACTGTTTCGTTCTGGTCACAAAGCACCATCACAGGATGTAAGCATTTCACCCAAGGAAGTAGTATTATTCTTAGGTATGTCTTGATAAACCAAGGAGAAACTTCTGGAACAATGTGAGGGCCATTCTGCCTCCACTGGCCCTAGTTAAGATCCAGGAAGTGATCCCTCTCCTAGACTCTACCCTCTACACACACACACACACATACTTTTATACACATACACACACACACACACATACTTTTATACACATACACACACACACACACTCACACACACTTTTATACACATACACACACACACTCACACACACTTTTATACACACACACTCACACACACTTTTATACACACACACACTTTTATACACATACACACTTTTATACACACATACACGCACACTTTTATACACATACACACACACACACACTCACACACTCACACACACTTTTGTACACATACTTGAGCTTGCCCTTCTCTGACCAGTGTCCATCATTTTCCCCAACCCCACCTGGTCTCAACTGTTCTTTAAAGACTCAAGGACAGCCGGGCGGTGGTGGCGCACGCCTTTAATCCCAGCACTCGGGAGGCAGAGGCAGGCGGATCTCTGTGAGTTCGAGGCCAGCCTGGACTACCAAGTGAGTTCCAGGAAAGGCACAAAGCTACACAGAGAGACCCTGTCTCGAAAAACCAAAAAAAAAAAAAAAAAAAAAAAAGACTCAAGGACAACTTGGCTTAAGTATGCCAAAACCCAAATGCAGAGCAGCTTGGTCAGGCAGATGGAAGAAGTCGCTCTACAGGCCACTCCCCTACAGGTCTGTATCCTGACCCCACGTTCTCTCCCGCAGCAAAGACCAACACAAGACCAGAGGGTAAGACACATGCTTTATGCCCGCAGGTGGTCAGGGAGATTTTAGCAGGGACCCGGCATGTAACTGTCACACCCAGAAGTGATCCAGGTACAACCAGGAGGCTTTGTCCAGACTCAGGAGGTAGTCTAGGAGGGCTTCCTGGAGCAGATGACAATGAAGGAGTCTTCCAGGCAGGCCTCAGTGGTAGTGCTCAAGGCAGGGGCCAGTGCTGAGGACTCTGATCCCAGTCTCCTGAGTTTCAGAGCATCATTTCAATGCACATATGGTTAGGTTGTTCCTAGGATGGAGACAGCCGAGTTGTCCTTGAGTCCTCTTCCCATCAGTACACAGAAATTCAAAAGAGGTCACTTGACGGAGCTGCTGTGAATCAGGAGCCGTGTCCAGGGAGCACAGGCTCTTACACCAGGAGACCACAGCAAAGCAGGGTGAAGCAAACCCAGGCACCAGAGGAGGGTGCAGGGAAGTTCTGACCTCATGGCAGACAGGTCAGAGCCCAGCAGATGTGGCCAGCCGAGCCTCCCTACCTAGACGGCCAGGGCCTGCGCCAGCACCTCTTCCGTTCACCTGGCGCTCCTGGAGTTCCTCTGTTTGCTCATGGCTGTGAGCATCTGGCTGATGTAGGAAGTCAAGAGATCATCCATTTTGTAGCCCTGGAACCAGGGGTGAGGAAGTAATCAGGGCCCATAGAGGAACGTGCCAGCCCCTCACACACATGACTCTTAGGACGCTGTAGCGGGCACAGTGCAGAAACAAAGCAACTCTGTCCCCATCGATACACTTGAGGAACTGGGTTCATCTTGCCATCGTGAGCCCTGGGCTCGTGGTCCCTGTAATTCTGGACGCCCCCCTCCAGGAGTGACTGCGAACACTACCAGTTAAGCAGCATTTGGAAGTGTGGCTCCTCTAGGAGGAGGTCTCAGTGCTAACAGCTCCTCTGTTACACTTGGGCTGACAGCCCATATCTACCTGCTCAATCTCCAGATACTAAAACAGCAGCTGAATGAGCGATTTGTTCCTCCACCCCAGAATGAGCACTTTCCCCAGACTAGGCTCCAAATAGACCCAACCAGGATAGGTAGGGACCCATGCCAGGCACTAGGAAGTGCTCTCACCAGTGATGTCTCACAGAGCAGTTTGCTCCCACGGACCAAGTTCCCAATGGTGATGTGGAAGTAGGTGTTGCCGCTACTCCAGTTGGAGATCTTGGTGAAGGGGTGAGTAGTCAGAATGTCCTGGGAGAGCAGGAAGGCACACAGCTGCACAGCATGGCCCTCTGGCTTCAGTAACCCCTGCTCCAGCCTGCACACACCCCCGCACAGAAGTCTGGGCCCTCACACGAGGACAGGAACAAGAGGGAGAAGCCAGCTGTGTGTGGAGCTGCCAGGGAGCTTCCCTTCCATGCCTTGCCTTGGACACCCAAGGAAGCCCTGGAGGCTGCTGGGTGCTTAGGGCCCAATACAGAAACTTAAGTGGCCTGAGAGCACTGGCCACTGTTGGTCTGAATGAGATAGCCCAGGTGAGTTTAAGGAGAAAGTGGGACAGAGAAAAAACAGAAAAGAACCTTGGAAGGACACAGTATACTTGGAATGTGTAGAGCAGAAGCCCAAAACTGTCTGCAAAAGGGTGACGAAGCCAGAGAGCCCATGTGACCACGCTGCCATGCAGCTAGTGGAAGATGACTGTCATTAGTGATTTTCACCAACTGTTCAGGAGCACAGCATGGGGGCACATAGTGGGACTGGCCTTTCTAGTGCATGAGCACAGCTACTCCTGCATATGATGCACTATTTACCATCGTGACCGGATGGGCAGAGAACATTTTGGAAAGAGGTGGCAGTCTGTGGCATCCAGTGACACTGAGAAACTGAGCATTAAAAAGACTTTGTGGAACTTAGCAGCAAGAATTTGATGGTAAGTTGAAGGTTACAGTTTTGGTGGAGCAAATGAACAGGTCAATGGAGCAAGCACAGGCAGCCTTTCGAGATGGGTACCCAGGGGCTCTGCAGTGGGGACAGTGGATGAAAGGGCTTATTATGCCTGGGACCTTGGTTGGTCCCCCCGACCCTGCACTCTCCTGCCCTGCTCACCTTGGTTCTGGGATCGATGAGGCTGACCCCGTACTTGTTAATGGCAATTAAGAGAATCTCAGGGAAGTTTGGTTCTGTAGTTTGCTAGCAAGGAAAACAGAGACACCGTCAGATGGGGGTTCAGAGTTTGGAGACAGGCCTCAGGCCAGCCTCGCCAGGACAAAATCAACCTGGCCTGCTGCCTGTGTGGAGCCAGAGGCACCAAGGCCCTGCCAGTCCTGCCGTGACCGCCTGGTTTCTGCCTCTGCCCACAGCTCACGGGTCCCCAGCAGAGGTTCCACCCTTTCCCTCTTGCTCTCCTGGGAGGTTTTGCTATGTCCTTTCTCTCAATCCAAAAGTTTCCCAGTGGCCAGAGCAGCCATATGGTGCTCTTGTCCCAGTCCCAAACCTCCAGGGCCCATTGTCCCCTGAGGAGACCCTGACCTTCACCTGCTTGCCACCTGCTCTCTCCACCCTGAGCCATGCTTAACCTTTTTCATTTCCTGCCCAGATCTGAGCTCTCAGGCCTGTGGGCTCTGTCTACACAGGGCCCTTGGCAGAGGATTTCCTGGAAAGCCCAGCATCGCCTGCTCCAGGAAGCCACCCTAAACTACCTCCTCACCCTGGGCACAGCCTCCTCCTCACCCCAGGAACAGCCTCCTCCTCACCCCAGGCACAGCCTCCTCCTCACTCCAGGCACAGCCTCCTCCTCACCCCAGGAACAGCCTCCTCCTCACCCCGGGCACAGCCTCCTTCCTCCTCACCCCGGGCACAGCCTCCGCCTCACCCCGGGCACAGCCTCCTCCTCACCCCAGGAACAGCCTCCTCCTCACCCCGGGCACAGCCTCCTCCTCACCCCAGGAACAGCCTCCTCCTCACCCCAGGAACAGCCTCCTCCTCACCCCAGGAACAGCCTCCTCCTCACCCCAGGAACAGCCTCCTCCTCACCCCAGGCACAGCCTCCTCCTCACCCCAGGCACAGCCTCCTTCTCACCCCAGGCACAGCCTCCTCCTCACCCCAGGAACAGCCTCCTCCTCACCCCAGGAACAGCCTCCTCCTCACCCCAGGCACAGCCTCCTTCCTCCTCACCCCAGGAACAGCCTCCTCCTCACCCCAGGAACAGCCTCCTCACCCCGGGCACAGCCTCCTTCCTCCTCACCCCGGGCACAGCCTCCTCCTCACCCCAGGCACAGCCTCCTCCTCACCCCGGGCACAGCCTCCTCCTCACCCCGGGCACAGCCTCCTCCTCACCCCGGGCACAGCCTCCTCCTCACCCCGGCACAGCCTCCCTCCTCCTCACCCCGGGCACAGCCTCCTCCTCACCCCGGGCACAGCCTCCAGATCTGCTACCTCACGAGGGCCCACTATTACAGTACAAACCACCCTCCATCACTCTTGCCTATATGTATGACCATCTCTCTTGGTAGGCCAAGCTTCTGGTCCTTCCTAGTGGGTCAAATTAAGAAAGCTGCTCCTTTCTGTGCCAGATGTTCAAGGCAATCACTGCCACCTTCATTCCAGTCTCTGCTGTCTCACTCCCAACCCTTTGCACCTTCCTGCCCTCTGAAGATCTCCTGAAGACATACCTTCACCTCGAAGAAGGCTGAGCCAAAGGTGGGCCACTTGAAGATGAGCTTCAGGAAGGCTAGCTTGGCCTCCTCTTTGGACTTCCCTGCATGCTTGTTGAAGTAGGCGATGATGGACTGTGGGGGAAGTGAGTCAGGTGCGCCACTCACAGCTCTGCTTCTGCCTGTCTACACTGTCAGACCCAGGCATGGCATAGACAGTGTTGCCAACTACCGTGGTCCCCACTTAACACAGCCAATTGGCTTCTGACCCACCCCATGCAGACAATCCGGAGGGTATCAATTAAATTCAGGTCACCTACAAATCAGGATGGGACAAACTAATACCAGAGGACCATGAAGTCCTTTGGGTGGGGACCAGAGAATGAAGCAAATAGGGATGGAATAAAGGGTGCCCTCATCACACAGGAGGGGCCTTCCCCTTAGCTGCTGGCCAGAACTTGCTGCCCCGACTCCTGGGATACCCAAGGTCCCACTCTGGGAGGCCCCATTCCCACTGCTCTTCTGTGTTTACCCGCTTCCAGTCATCAGGTGAGACCTGCCGGATGAGGTCCTGGGGCACCAGCTCCCTTAGCAACTTGGGGATGCTAGGGAAGTAGGACTTGTCCTCTTCAAACTTGACCCTGTAGATGAGCGCGCCCAGCTGCAGCACCTCCTCCCGAGTGCACTTGTGGTAGCCTCGGAGATACTTGGGCAACTCCTGCCAGAAACAGAGCAGGTGGCAGGCATGGCCAAACCAGAAGAGGGGCTCCTGCAGTCCCCCTACATTTGGGCCCAGCACTTCCTCTGCCTCAGCTGACCCTGCTTCCTCACAGGAGATGCACAGGACAGGAAAGACGTTTCACAGTCTTAACACCTGGTAGTTTGAAAGCAGAGCCATGTTGGAGCATTGTCTACCGCCCTTCCTACAGCCAGTGAGCTGGACTAGTGGATGAACCTGAGGCAATTCCACATCCCTCCTCTCCTGGACCAGGCACCCCGGGTTTGAATGAGGGCAGTCCTTGCTCCCAGATCGTCATGCTCGGCACCACAGCAGCCACCATCCCCTTCTCCACCTCCCAGGAACCCTGGCTTGTTTCTCACTCAAGGCTAAGCAGGCTGCAGCCCAGAGCACTGAGCAGCAGTCACACAGAGTGGGAGCCCAGTTCCTCCAGCTGTGTGACCCCAACTGTATCACTTGGACTCTCTGTGTTTGTTCCTCCAAAATAGGAACATGCTGATTTTAAGGGGTTACATGGAAGGGCAGAAGGAATGAAAGGCAGACGCTCTGCCTGAGAGCATCCCTCCAGGTTTCCTGTCTGACAGTGTCTACAGAGCCCAAGAAGGCTCGGATGGACTCAGCCACACCAGCAAACACCTGCATCCGGAGGATTCAGAGCATGGAGGAGCCTGAGCTAGCAAGGACAAGGACCACAGAAGAAGACTCAGTCAAGCCTTCAGGACTGGAAGAGGATGAGACAAGGTCTGAGTTCATACAACTGTCTGGAGACTCAGTGGTCTCAACAGGTGGCCTTTTGAAGCAGCGGCTGTAAGGCTTGTCTGTCAAAGGCACTCTCTAGCCTCACATGGAAGCCACCAGGCCAGTGGCCCATGAAGCAGAGGGAACAGAGGTCACAGTGCAGCTCACCTGGTAATAGTGGAAGATGGAGTCTGCCATGGGGTCCTTGCCTGGCACTGTGGTGGTCCACAGCTTCTTCATGAAGAACACCTGGTAGGTGAGTGAGGGCACCATTCCTATGGCACAGGGCAGTTGGTCACATGGAGTCTCAGCAGAAAAGGTTCCTTGACTCTACCAGCCTGGCACCAGCCCCAGAGGAGTCCCTTACATGGCTAACCAGTGGGCTTTGCAGCCTGGCCCAGAGCCAGCATGTCCCTGTGTTCATGCTTCTAGCATGGCAGAGCCCAGCCCCTTACCATCCTTGATGGGTCGTGCTTTCTTTATCCAGTCTGTGAGGTGTCGAACAAAGTCAAAGAAGAAGTCATTCTCAGGGACACTGATGACCTGGGGATGAAGCCATGGCAGTGCATTGGCTTCGGTTCTGATTTGCCCACCGATATTCCTGTCAGCTACTTCTCTGGAAAGTCTCCACTCCTGGCCAGCGGGGCTCAGTGTGTCAATCCCACCCACACTACCTGTGCCTAGTCAGCATCTCTGGAACGCCGGCCTCCTGCCTGGAATGGCATCATCCCACCTAGTGCCTGGCACACCAAAAACTGCCCAGACCCAAAGCAACATGGCCAAGAACAAGATCTAGTCTCAGCCTCAATTGTCTCTGGCATCTGTGTCCAGCTCCTCCCACAGGCTCTGGACCAAGGACCTTGTAGACATTGTCTCTGGGTCCCCATGTTCAACACAGCGACAGTCACAAAGTGAGACAGAATGAACACACAGAGCTGTCAGTGATCAGTAGAAGGGGACATCCAGTTCTCCCCTCAGGATGCTTGAGGAAGCCTTCCTTTGGAAGGTTTTACAGCTGACTTATGAGACCTTTAGGGAGAGCACACCTGGATCTGGGTCCTGCAGTGTGATCATGGATAAGTCACCTAACCTCTCTGATGAAGCAGTAACGGGCATTCTACCCTCTGAAGGTTAATTCAAAGGTGAATTTGCTGAGGGGACAAAGTCAATGAGCCCTGTGGGTTCAGAGCATGGGGCACCTGGGCATGTGACTCTCAGAGTTTTGCAGCTGTGTGTAGTGCCTCAGAGGACAGAGCTTTAGGGGCAGCTGTGCCATGTAAGGGGAGCTTTCTTGCCATGCAAGAAGGAGGTGGGCAGTCTGATACTCCATGCACCTGCCTCCTTCCTCCTCTCCACCCCCTGTAGGTTCCTGGGGTCCCAGGAAGTCTCCAAAAGTTGGGCAGACCCACCTTGTCTGCGATTTTGACAAAAAGGCTGAATCCCTCGGAAGATTTGAGCAGCAGCCTGCTGGCGATGTTCTGACAGAAGTCCTTGGCCTTGGTGCTGGACTCCACCTCAAAAGCCTAGGGGTAGCACTCACTTGACTTCTGCAGGGCCCTTCCCACACCTCTGCTCTCCTCCTACCCACGCTCCTCCAAGACCCCTGCCCTATTGGGTTGCCCTGGTGGATCCAGAGCTGCATGTAGAAAGCAAAAGGCCACTCCCACCTGGGTCTTCCCAGATCTCATTGTCGCTGGCCCGCCCAGCAGGACCAGGCCTGGCAGGACCAGGCCTGGCGCTGTCCTCCAGGTCCAGGCCTGGATAGTGAGAACAGAGGCAGGAACTCACAGGCAGCATATGTGTCTGTGTGTGGGGGGGGGGTGGGGGGTGGGGGGGGTGGGGGGGGCGACTTGAAAAGGGAAAAGCAGCCCAGACTGTAAGAAGATGTGAGAGGGGGTGGAGTTTGAGGGACAGAGGAGAGATGGGATGGAATACAGGTGGGAAGGATTCTGGGAAATTTCTGAGTTTGCCACAGAACCTCCTGTGGCATCTCTGAGTCTCCGGGATCCAAGTTAAGATGTCACACTCAGAACAGGAAGCCTGACTGTGGGGGCAGAGGGGTGTCTGTCCGTCGGCTTTTGGTCAAGTCCTGGCTCTACCCGAGGGCAAGAGAATGAGATGTGAAGGTGCTGGGTTGTGTTAGCGACACCATGTGCAGGCTGAGGAAGCTTGACGCTGTCGTTCGGGTGTCAGACCCACGTGCAGGGCCCCTCACCTCATCAGTGTCATCGGGGAAGTAGACCTTGTGGAAAATCTGGGTAGTCTTGTGCTGGATGGCCTCCACCTCCACCAGATGTGGAGGGTACTTCCGGGACCCATTTCTGAAACATGGAGGGAGAGGGAAGGGTAAGCATGTCCATCAGGCTGGGGATGAGAGGAAACGAGAGACTGGCCCCAGCCTGAACCCCATCTTCATGCCCAACAGTGGGCTCCGTCATGTGGCCTCCCAGAGCCCCGAGTTCCCACCCCAGGACGTGGGACAGTGCCTGGAGCGAGGGGAGGGGAGCGAGAGCGAAGGGTGTGAGTGAGCTTGGCAGAGTCCACAGTGGGGCCCAGGGCCCACCTTCCCAGTCTCCAGGAGCCGCCGGGCTCCCCGGTGTGGCCAGCACGAGCTACAGCTGCTGCCACTGTGAAGCTGGGGAACTCAGGGACAGGCCCCACACTGAGTGCTCATGTCCTCACCCCCAAGGGTTTGCCCTACAACGGGGTGTGGCCAGATTGCCCCCCCCACCTCGGACCTCCCCCCCCTCCCCCCTCCCCCCCCCCCCCCCCCCCCCCCCCCCCCCCCCGACCTCAGCGCTTTCTGGAGCCGCTGCAGGCAGTCGAGGGCCAGAGGACAGTGCTTGCGGGACTGCAGGAACCGCTGCACGTGGGGCAGCAGGATGTTGCTGGGTGGGAAGAGGCCTGTGCACAGCCAGAGAAGCTCCCAGCCCCGCTCTTCGCTGTACCTGTGAGAGGACGACCAGAGGCAGTTACGGGAACCTGCGCATCCTGGAGCTACACCTTCTGTCCAGGGACCAGAAGACACGCATCCATGACAGCCAGAACCAAACAGAGCTACTCAGTGTGGCCATGCGCCCGTGCCAGGCCATACAGTCACCAGTCCACGGGGAGACAAGAATGGAAGCCCACAGTTGCTCAGCACGTGGTCTGGGTCAGCTGAGATGTCGTCCTCACATCCCCAGGGACGTGGAAGTAAGTGCAGTGTATCCGCTCACTGAGCTCCTAAACTCGTCTCTGCTGTTAAGCCAGACCCCCCCCCACACACACACACCGTCAGGCACCCCTTGGTTTACTGGACCTGATGGAGCAAGGAGGTTTGGAGGGCTCTGTACAAGGTGGTATTAATGGAGGCTTTGAGAGCGAGACCAACTCTGACACACAGAGATGAAAGGTGACCCTGCCCAGGGGAAGGCCCTGGCACTGTGAAGAGATCTGATGTGTTCGCTTCCAGGGTGGACCTTGCAGAAACGCGGAGTGCAAAGAGAGGAGAGTGTGTTCGCCATTCTGATACAGATGGATATGCTATTCCAGTCCCAGAACTAGGCTGTCACTACCTTGGGGCGGTCTAGACTTGGATCGAGGTCTCTGCTTCCTCTGAAGGGGAGCAAGGCCAGTATTTCAGAAAGTAGATCACACTAAGCCCCAGCTGCAATCTGTCTTCATGCGTCCTGGCCCCACTGCAGAGAATTCTGCACTTTACACACAGGCCAGACTATCTAGGGACTGACCCCTGGTGACACATGGTGTCTTACACGGACAGCTAGTCCCAAAAAGAAACAGCATGTACTACAAAACTCAGCTCTCGGCAAAATGACGAGTGTCCAGCTAGGCATCCGATGTGAGCCGGACACAGGTGTTTCATAGGGTAAGGCCATGACTTTCCTTTTAACTACCCTAAAAAGAGCTTCCCCTCTCCCGGGTGTGAGTCCTTTGGGAACTCGGCCACTGTCACCTTGCAGTGTTTCTGTAAACCTTCCCTTGCTTATTCTGTCTTGGTAAATTCTTTCACCCACCTCTATCACTGGCCTCTTCAGATGCCACCTGACACAGCATTTGGGTGGGTGGCCTGTACGGGGGTGGGGTGGGGGAGGGGGACAAGCCTTGCTTTGTACACAATTACAAGGCTTCCCCTTCCCCTACCCTTCTTCCCACACTGCGACAATTGCTGCTCTCCGAGCAGGGAGTGACAAGGTGTTTCCGTCTGCAGTCCCTGCTCCCGTCCAGCCTTCCTGATCCACCCTGCTCACAGACATCCAGGTTTTCACCACTCCTGAACATCAAGTCCCCTGCCCCCTCAGGACTGACTCATGGCCAGGAGCAGCTTGTGAGTTTCCCTGTTGGGGCTGCTCCAGCCTCTGGGTTTGGCTTTGGAGTGAGGCTGAGTTCTACTTCCAGGAGTCAGAAAGATGCCCTGGTTTGTCACAGGACCCTGCACTGCAGGAGGAATGTCACTTGGGCCTCACTGGACTTACACTAGGCTCATCTTCCTTAAACCCAGCCATCCCTGATCCTTCCTTGGGGCATATCCAAGCCCTTCCCCCTGGGCAACTCTGCTCCCCCGACTCCTCTCTTTTTTCCCTTCTTCTCTCCCTGCGGGGCTTTCTCCTCATGGTCACTCAGGAACTCCATATAAGGAACTCATGGAGCAATTAAAGCACCTTCACTCCCTCAGAGAACATTCCCTCCTCAGAAGGAATCTTTCTCCTTCACAAGGTGACTAACAGGGACCTCTGCACCACCTTGGTAAACATCACTTCCCCACATCAGATCTGTCCCAAATACTGCCTGCACTGCCATCATTTACTCAAAATCCTTTACCTTCCCTAAGGAAGTCAAAGAGTCCATATGGCTTTGACCTAAGCTGGCAAATGTTTCTCACCCTAACAACGACTTTCTGTGTGTCTATGGAGAGTTACCTGCCTTAGCATGTGCCTGGCTCGGCTGATGAGGCCCAGGCTCTTAACTCAGTCACAACCAGCTCAGCTTCACTGTGGCACCTGATACAGATTGAACTGGTCAAATCAGGCCACCACTGTACAAGACAATGGGGAAGGGGCTGCTGGGACTGTATATTCACTTGTCTAATAGAATGATGACAAAGGTCCTTTTCACATATCTTAACCATGACAAGATGCAGGAGGTAACCCAGGGATCATCCTAGAACCTCACCGTCCTCAACTTAGGCTAGCAGAAACCATTGGCAAGTATTCCAGTCTGGACCCCACGGGCCACAACCATCTACAAAAGCTAGACCAGGAACCCAAGACTCCTTTCCCCCACGTTACCAGATATACCCTTCAAGATATTTAATAACCAAAAAGGGACCTCAAGAGCTAGAAAGGCAACGCTGGGACATGAAAGGTATGAATGACAAGCTCGCTTATTCCCTGCCCACCTCAAAAAAATGTGAGAGCTCCATTCAGAACCTATGCCTACGTGTTTTCAGTGTATGGGGACTTAGTATGAATGCTCCTTTTCTGCTGGCATTGTGACAACTAGGACATTTCAGTCAGTGTACCCAAAGCCACCAGGCTATAAGTCTTCCCTAGGACTATGTCTAAAATGTAGATTGGGGACCCTGCAGAAGCAATAACATCTCCCTCTCTCTCTCTTGAGAAAGGGGACAATCCCATCCTCCATCTAAGGATCTCACACTCAGGACAAACCTGAAAAGGGACAAGTGGCCTTGATTTTGCTCCTAGACTTGAGGTACTTAGTGAAACGAGATGTCTCTCTCCCTCAGAGGACCAGAGTCCCTGACACTACCTGGGCTCCCATGTAGTTCTATCGATGAACTTCAGATAACTCTAGAAGTGGCAGGGACCCAGACAACAATTGTTATAGGTATAGAGCGACTTTCTCTGCCCCGAACACCCTTTTGGTTTGACCTTCCAACTCAAATCCTCACTGGTTCTAATGGCAAGCCCCAGTCAGCCTACTGTATGCCCTTCTTAACATGTATGATGTATAAATGCATCTTCATCCATTCCCTCCTGGTCCTTCCTAGCTGCCCTGTTTCCTTCCTAGCTAGGGACTTCGTGTTTAAACTCTAGACTCATCAAAGACTTTTTGAGACCCTTATCCTAACAGTCCCTGTCCTGTCATGTCCCTAAAGACGCTCCCTATAATCTCTACTAGCCTCATAGCCCAACAAGTTCCCACATAGTCTGGGATGTCTCCCCTCCTGACACTAGCAGCCACTTCTGTTAGAACAATAGCACTCAGAGACTCTCAATAACTTTCATTAAAGGAAAGTCCCAATCGCCTTAAAAGCTTCATGTGCAAAAAAGGCTTGTAGACTCCCATTTATAAGTTGTCACACATTATACAACACCCCTATCGGCATTTAAAGTCAATTGGGTTCTACAGAATGGTCCCCAGTCTGCCCTAGGAATGGAGCCATAAATGAGGCTGTGGTCCCAATGCACACCATAGTTCCCAGTCCTTACACTCTCGTGGGACAGACAGCCTGAAACCCCTCCTTGGTAACAGTGTTAGACCTTAAGGATATTTTCTTTCTCATCCCACCCACCCAGACCCTCCATTCTGGTTTGCTTTCAAATGACAAGACCCCTTCACCCAAGTTATTCAATAGCTTACCTGGACTGCCTTACCTCAGAGGCTCCGGTATAGTCCCAACGTTTTTGGACAAGCTTTAACCAAAAGACCTGCCATTCCTTAAATCTATGCTTTGGGAGCAGCTCCTTAAGTACACTGACAATTTATTAAACTGCAGCCCACACAAAGCCACCGCAGATCAAAACACTGTCCTTACTCTTCAAAAACTAGCTTTATGTGGCTACAAGACTTCTTCAAAGACCAAATCTCCTTTCAACAGGGCCACCGCCTAAGCCTTACCTGAACTCCAGGCACAGGAACCTCCCCATCAGCACTAGGATCTCATTTTGACAGAATTCTAACCACCAAACAACTAAGGACCTTCCTATGGAATCTACAGCTGTGTAAGCTAAACCTCACTGTGAGTCTTGAGGGGACCAGAGAGGGGGCTGCTCAACTGGACCCCTGAAATGGCATGAGTCCTGGACCCCCAAACACAGGCACTTACCTCTGCTCCAGCCTTAGATCTCCCTGACCTTACTAAACCCTTTTATCCATATGCATGTGGGCAAAAGGGACTCTTCCTTCCCAGGCGGTTTAACTCAGGCACTGGGGCCTTCCCAGTGCTGCTGTTCGTCTTTGCAAGGTCATTAGATCTGGAGGCACGAGGCTGTCCCTTCACCTTAAGAAGCTGGCAATTGTGACTGTCTTGGTTAGAAGGCCTCTCTATCAACCCTGGGACAGACAGAGCATGATGGTTTCTCACTAGGGTGTGATCCCCTCTGGGAAGTCTTCCCCCACCATCTTGCAGCATATGCCAATAAATCCCAATACATCTTGTTTTCTGGTCTTGGTAAGGACTTTTCTCCTACCTGGGTTGCAGGCCCTCAACACCATCTCACACAGAGTGGAAGATGAGGCTGAGCCAGGGAGCCAGGTAGAGCTCTCCATAGTCTCTGAGTGAGCTTGGGTTTGACTTTCCACTCCTGCCTCAGGCTGGCCCAGTAAAGAAGTGAAGAAGGAGGGATCTCCCGTAGGCCCAATGCTCCCAGCCCAGGACCCTCTCCAGACGGACCATTGGGCTGACAGCCACCTCAGCCCATGTTAGGACAGGTGTCGGGAATGGCCCCTGGGAGGGCTGGGCTTTGGACTTGGAGGACTACTCTTAGGAATGCCCATTCTTGGTTCTTGACAGGTGGACCTTGGGCCCCAGGCCAGGCTGATGAGGACAGCCTCATCGGCCTCAGGAGGTCCCTGCCCACGTCTGCTCACCTGATGTGATTGTCAGTCAGCTGCTTCAGAATCTGCACGTAGGCCTCATCTTTGAGGGGTTCAGCCTTCAGTGCCCCCTCAAAGATCTGATCGGTGAGCTCATTGACGGAGCGCGTCCTCTTGGATGGGTAGTCACCCATGTACTTGAGTACAGGTGGGAGGCCGTTAAGGAAGTTCTTGTGGTGAAAGAGGATACCCTGGCCTAGGAAGCAGGGGACCAGACTCTCTCTCCCCTGGAACTCAAGTCTCTGAGTTACAGAGTAGGTAAGGCCTGCCCACCACCTCTCTTCCCTTCCCCATCATGGCCACCCTTCCCCAAGCCCTACATCCCAAGTGTTCAAGGCAGCCAGAAAACATTGTGCAATCACCCATCTGATCGTGCCTCCCCCTCCTCAGCAGCTCCCCTGTTCATGGGACACAGACTAATCTGGTGCTGTGTGTATATTTGAGTGTGTGTGTGTGTGTGTGTGTGTGTGTGTGTGTGTGTGTGTGTTGCTGGGGATTGACCCCAGAGTCTGGCCTGCTAGGCAAACACTATACCACCCAGTTATATCTCTAGCAACCATAGCTTTTGAACAGGGCCTGGGAACCTTTCCTCAGCATATATCTGCCCTCCAGATGTGCTAAATTATTGTGTGCTCTTGAAATAGCCCTGCTGATCTGCCTCGGGGCCTTTGTGTATGCCAACACCCCCCCCCCCCAACAGGAAAACCTTCTCTATAGGTTGGGTCAGGCCACTTCCTAGGCCAGCACCATGACCACAGATTCTGGCCAGCATGGCATCCTTATGAGGCCAGGGGCTGGCTCTGGCCACTTCTTTGTCTCTGTGCCTGCCCCAGCACAGGACAAAATGCTTATATTTCACTTGAATGACAAGATCCGAGGAGGTGGTGAGTGAGGCTGTCCCTTGCCTACTGTGAATGGCCATGTACAGGGTCTTCCATCTGTCCCTAGGACCCAGCCAGCTCTGTGGAGAAAAGTCTTGCCATGCTTCGCCCTAAGTGCCCTCCCTGCAACCCCCCCCCCACCTCCGCCTCCCCATCCCCAGCAGTGGATATCTATGAAGGCCATGCAGGCTTCCTGGGAGAGTTCCTCACTGCCCAGGATCTTCTTGAGCAGGGCTTGCTTGAGCGGCTCTCGTGTGTGACTCCACAGCCGGTCCTTACCGCGGGCCTTGGACACCATGACACGGCTCAGCGTGTGCTTGGGCGGGGGTCTGTCAGGTGCAGAGATGGTCAGCACCCCACCCCACCACAGGAAGCTGGATAGAGAGGCCCTGGTTGGTGAGAGCCCCTCCCCCACTCGCTCTTTCCAATGCCTTTGCTATGACACCTCCCCTGGGAGCCTCTCTGCACGGCTCCCGGACACCCCCAGCCAGAGCTGAGCACCCAAAGCCACAGCATCCATCTTCCTGCCCAGCCTCCGCTCCAGGTAGCACAGGAACCACCCAGAGGAAGAAAGGATGAGATGAGACCACACGAGGGGGGGGGCTCATTCCGGACAACAGAAACTGTCTATGCTGCCCCTGACCTGGCCCTGCTCATGGGTGGGGGCATCTCAAAGTGGGCCCCAGACCTGCCGCCCCCCAACATCACCTGAAGTAGTCATAGGAGAACTCCTCCAGCGTGTAGGGCTTGGCGCGCACCTCTGGCTCTGCCGTGCGCAGCTGCAGGAGCCGGACAACGTCCTGCCTCTGGTCTGGGGTCATGGTGACCAAGGCCTAGGGGGCATGAGACAGGGAGTTCATGTCAGTTATTCGGCTAGGGCCACTGGGATATGGTAAAGCTGGAGCCTTCCAGAATAGGGCAGAGAGACTTGGTCTCCATGGGGGGCAGACACCAAGCCTTCTCTTCCCACGCCTACAGTTCTTGTGTCTCAAGCATCCTGGACTCAGAACAGCCCAGTCTCATGATACTTGCACGGGAGCTGCCTGGAGAGCTGGGCTGAATCCTTGAGCTGTGGTCCAGAAAAAAAGACCCTCGCCCAGCTGTGGCCCCATTTCCCTTCAGACATAGTGACAACGATCCCCCAACCCTACCCCTAGGCCCCTCCTCAACTGATAAAAGTTTGGTAGATACCCATACATTAAGTCTGTGGTCCCCTAAGGCCCCAGGGCCATCTACGCAGAAGATACAAATCATTAGTGCATTATAATCCTTCCTTCTCATCACCAGATGTGAGAAGGAGAGTAAGGAGCGTCCAGGGGAGACTCACAGGGCAGGTCACATACCACAATCTCCCGTGGTGGCAGGGTGACAGTGGGCATGACGTATACACAGTCGGTGGGGAAGTCCCCGCGCTGCTTGGTCCTCTCATTGATGCCACCGGCCCAGCCTGAGTTCATGACCTGCTCACCAGTGTCATGGTCGAGAATGATGAGGTCTCCCTTGGCGAAGCTGAGGAAGCCCGACTCCTCACCAGCTTTGAAGCAGGGTGATCAGGTCCACATAGGGGTGGAAAATGGAACATTTTCCTTTGGGCTGATGGTCTATAACCAGCCGCTCCTCACAGAAGCACTGAGGCTCTATCCCTGCTGCTACTCGGCATATTCTTTGGGCAAACCCCACACCCAGTTCTAGCCACCAGAGCGGGTCCCCCTCCTCCTCAAAGCTCATCTCCTTCCTCCTCACTTCTGGCCTTGCTCCTCCCTTGTTTTTGTTTTTGTTTTTAATCAGGCCAATGCAATGTAGTTTTGGACACACGGACTTTCTCCTGCCTCTGCGCATGGGTCTTCTCCGCCCTCTGCCTCAGACCCCTGCTCACTGATGCCCTTCCCTGGACCAGACTGCATGGAGAGTCTGACCTCCAAGTTCCCACAGCCTTTGTCACTGTCACTGTGCTATCTCGGGGCCACCACTGTTTCCGCTTCCCTCCCCACCGAGTCTGGGCTCCATATTGCTCAGCAGGGGTGCCACTGTATTCTCAGGTGTGGAGGACCCCCAATGACTTGGAGCCGTTGGTGGGAGGTAAGTTACAGTCCTAGAAGAAGGGGAGGGGGCAGTGTTCCATGGACCGCAGGGAAAGGCAGCTCTGCCCCGGGCCTGGTGTCTAGAAAAGGTGATAATAAGGCCCAGCCACCCGCCGTATGGTGAGAGTCAGGCCGGTTGTACAGCGTGCCCACCACCTCTGAGCACCCACATCACTGGTCACTCACCAGGGTTGGGGTTGTCCTGCAGTGCCACCACATACTTCGACCTCTTCCGGAGTCCCTCCAGAAAGGTGACCACCAGGTCACGGATGTCCTCGGCATTGCTAGATGTGAAGGTGTACTCGTCCCCTTTGATGGTGGCCAGTGTGAAGCTGGGGGCCATCAGTTTTGCTCCCCTACAGGACCAACACGAAGAACAGGGTCCAGCCGGGGTCAGCCCTGCCCAGCCTGAGTGACAAGTAGCACAGCCCAGGTCAGAGCAGCCCAGTGAGAGCAAGATGCGGCACTCCCTGAAGGGGACCAAGGCCAGCCTGTCAGAGTGGCCCAGACACCCGACAGTGCCCTGACCAGGCAAGGCCTGGCCCACTGAGGCAGACATAGTCATGACTACAGTTAGGTCTGGTCCAGAAGTGTCCATTCTGGTCCAGTGCACTGCTCATTGCCTATCTATGTCCTTATTTACCCTTCAAGGCCCAGCCTAGATGCCTCTTCCACCAGGAAGTCCTCCCTGTACTCATTGTATGCATTCCCACTGACCCCAGACAGATGCTCTGGACTGCACTACACCATGGAAAGTGGCTATTCCAGGACCCCACCATCCTCTGCATGCTTCTCAGCTGGCAAAGCTCCCCATTGGTACCACTGATTGTGTCCCAAACCCCAGGTGCTGCACCTCTCTCCCATCACTCTGTGCCCTGGCGGCCATCCCCACCTACTGCTGGACACAGCCATGATCTCTGGGAAGGACAGCTCCAGAAGCACCTGCTCCTGCTCATCCACGAAGTAGACACCCGTCCAGTTGACAGCCACAATGACGTCACTCTTGGGGAGGGGAGGGCCTGGGACAGTGACAGAGGCTCTGAAAGGGTGGCCTCCCTGATCTTGGGCCCAGCTCCTCCCTAATCCTCATGACTACAGGGAGGTGTCTTTGGCAGGAGGGTCCTGAGTCCTGGCTTACAGAGAGGGAGAGTGGGGCTAACCATGGCTGCCTTGCAAGGTAAAAGCCAAGAAGAGGTGGGAAGAGGAGGCTGGCTCCAGAGACGGTCTCAGTCCCCTTCCTCCCTCTGGTCCCTGTCCTGCACCAAGGTGAGACGTGGGGAGAAGTCACACACCTGAACCCCAGGGTTGCCTGTGGCTCTGACACCTGGCAATTCTGGGAAGCCCAGAATCAGCTCAGGGCTCACACGGAGCACATGCCCAGCAATGACCACAGACACACGTAGAGCTGATGGGCCACGGGAACCAGACCAGCCACAGTCACTTCCGCTCAGCCACAACCACCTAACCTCTGTTGGAAACAGCCCAACAGAACAGCCCTACTATAACCTGGCTACCCTTTTCTATGTATAGTGGGGGCCATGAGCATCACCTACTAGTCATTACCAACTGCACACCCCCCCATAGTCCCTCAGCAGTAGGACCTCAGAACACCACGCACCTACAGAAAGATAACCACCCTCCCTCTGCGTGGCTGGGGTCACAGCCAGGGCTGAGAGATGGGCAGATACCTGAGAATTTGTAGGCTTCATAAAACCTGGAGAAGAGCAAGGGCCACTTGAAGCGGGCATAGTTGACCACATCTTCTTTGACCTTCTGGGCATCAGTTCTCCTCTGGGCATAAATTCCCTGCAGGGGACAGAGTGGGATAAAGATCAAAGGGCAGTGGGCAGGCTCTAGAACAAGCTAACCCTGTTCGGGGCTTCTGCTCCCATCAGCCCACAGACACCCCTGCTGAACTGCCTCCTCCTATCCACCCAGCATCGGAGCTCTTACAAGTCTGTTTCTGTGCAGGTCCCAGGCACAAAGGGGCGGGGGGGGGGTTGGGGAGGAGGGGGCAGCAACGTAGCTGCCGCCCTCAGGGAGTTCCCAATGCTGCGGCCCAGCCAAGGGCTCTGGTGAGCCACTGGGAGACCACCGTCAGGCTCAGTGGGAGGCACGTGCTGTGTGGGGAGCCATGAGAACAGAGGGAAGATGTGGCATCATGGCACAGAAAGCCAGGTCCCGAGAGTGGGTTTCTACAAGGCTGGATAAGCAGGTCGAGGAGTGAGCAGAGTCAGAGAATAAGAGAAGGATGGGCCTGGAGGGCAGGTCCATCAGCAAGAGCTGCTGCGATACTCCTGTCACGGAGCAAGCATCAACATTCCGTTTCCTGGAAGAACTCTAGGGTCCTGGAGCAGTATCGAGGGATCCAAATGAACACATGGCCTTGACAATACAGAGACCCAGCCCCAGATAAAAATGCTATGCCAACCACACGTAGTTCACCGACACCCACAGAGTGGCCAATGCGATCTCAGGCCAAGGACAGTAAGCACTGGCTGAGAGTTTGATGCAAAGAACTAAATCTCAAAGTGTTCCGGAAACAACCATGTGCACGTGTGTGGAGAGACAGCCACAGAGCAGAAGGTGGGTAGCCACCAGCAAGTCCAGGGGAAGCAAACATGGCAGCCGAGGGCCCTCAACTTGCAACTTCTCTGTATTGCTTCAGGATCTTTCTCCCCCTCTGAATCCTTGTGTCCGAGTCTTCTCATCCCAGGACGCACATTTGAAGAGTAAGTCAGTAAGAAGTGGTTAACATGGGGTCTCTCCCAGGGCCCTATCCCAACAGGCCATCTCCTCATGGGAAGAGGCAATTAAGTCTCAAGTGCATGTGACCACAGAGGGGATAATAAGGAGCAAGCGTGGGGGACCTCAGGGGAACCCAGACCAACAGCAAGCACCCTGACTTCAGCCCCAAGCCCCACATCAACGAGGAAATGTCTGTGGTTCCCATGTGCACAGTGTGGCTTCTTCCCACCTGCTGGAAAGCATTCACCTTCATGTCTGTCTAGGGCAGAAGAGCCTGGGGCACTGGGACATACACTCAGAGGTGCTGTGATCCAGGGAAAGAGAACTCAGCTGTGGATGCAAGAAGAGCATGTCTGTCCCACTCACGACCGTGTCCCGAAGGCCTGACTACACAGTAAAATGAATACCACCACACCACCCAAAGCAGCCACACACACATGCCTTGCTGGAAATAAATACTGGGGCAGCCAGGGTGGCAGAGATGCTGTCTGGGAGGCAAAGTGGACAGGCTTCCATAACCTGCCAGATGTCAAGGGAGCAAGAAGAGATGGCCAAGGAGAAGAGGTTTTTCTCCTGGGAGATGGAGAGACACAGGAAAGAGACACTCCAGAGGATGGAGGACCAAGCCTGGAGGAGGAAACCCTTGTAGGGGCACTTAGGACCAGGAGGGCCTACAGGGAGCTGACCAGAGAAAGTGAGAGGGTGAGTGGAAGGTACCACAGGACACCAGGGTGAGGGAGAGGGTATCTGTAGGGTATGAGGTATCTGTACGGTATGAGAAACTATATCCATGGGGACCTCCAGTAGCTTAGGCTAGACCTAGTCTGCTCTGGTATGGCCAGGCCTTGGAGGAGAAAGGTGCTTGGATGCCTCACCACAGCCCATGTCCACTACTGCTTTTTCTCTACTTCAGCAGTCCCCTTGGCTCCAGAGGGAACTTCCCATATCAGGTCATGGCCTGGGACTTCAAACAAGGAGCATGGCAGGAGCCTGTTCCCAGAGTTCCCTAGCAGAAAGGTACTGTAGCTTTTAGGAAAAAAGGAGGGTACAGTTCCTAGACAATCCCCATTATCAGCCCTGTGTGGTCACTCAGAAAGCACAGCATTGTAAGCAACTGGAGAGGTCACCCTCAGAATCCATGACCCCAAGGATCCCTTAAGAGGCCAGAGGACCAGCTTTGAGCCTTCTGTGTCCCATGTACCCAGCCCAGAGGGAGTGACAGAAGACACATATGAATGATGTCCAGGGTAGTGGGCGGGGTGAGGGCGGGAGGCCCTAAGACATCAGATGCCAACTGTGATGCCTTGGATGCTCAGTGCTCCTCCTCCTCTGAGCCCCCCCCTCTTCCTACCTTCTTGTGGGCAGCAATGGCCAGCTGTGCCCACTTCTCAAGAGTCTTCAGGGGCGTGATCTCGCGGTCAGGGATGTAAGTGGGCACGAGGCTCAGCAGACGCTCCAGAATCATCTCAGAACCATAGTCCACAAAGTACTGCTGGGAGGCCAGCTCAGCCAGGTCATCCTCCTGAGGAGGGGCCCTCAGTCAGAGCCCTGGGAATGCCCTGCCAGGCCCCCTCCCAGGCGTGCCTCCAGTAGCTTGGGAACCCGGACCCTCAGGACCCTGTGCTCTCCATGTGTCACGCTCTTCTCTGCACAGGGCAGCTGTGAGATCCCGAAGCCCACAACCACACTCTTGCCCCATCCTGGTCCCCTTGGCACCAGCACAGAGTTGGCTTCTGTCCAGGGGCACATAAACCGAGCGAAAGAGAGCACCACCTGTTGGTGATGGCCAGACACTACAGCTCAGCCCTGCATGAAAGCCACTTGGGCTGAAAGTCTCAAAGAAAAGAAACGCCTGTCTCCAAGAGTAGGACTCTGGAGACGGTCTGATGGGGAGCACGGTCACTGTCACCATCTCCGTCACCATCACTGTCTCCCTGGGAAGACTCAATGTGGTAACAACATGGCTCTGCTTCAGAGAGCCGGGGGAGAATCTGGCATGGGCTGGGCCCTTCTCTGCCTAGGCTGGTGCCCAGCAGCAGGGGAGGACTTCCCTGGGGCTCCTGGGGTTTCTGTATAGGAGCAGGGGTGATAGAGGAGGCTCTCAGAAGCCTTGTAGGCAACTTCTATTTCCCAATGAGTGGAGAGTTTAGTAGCCAGCATGGTGGCTTTAAAATACTCTGGATATTAACTTATCAACACGCACACCATCACCACCACCACTACCATTATCACCAATGCCACCTTTGCCACCAACACCAATAAACACCATCAGCAGCATCAGCACTACCATCATCACCAACAAGGAGCAACATCAACACTATGTCTATCTTCATCCTGCCGTCACCAACAGAGCCACAGGTACCGGCAGCATCACCATTATCTTCAAAACCGAGACTCCCAATTCTGTCTTAAGAAGGAGATAAACCTATACACACCCGCAGACCCCGGTTTACATGAGAGGATCTTCTCCTTCAGAGCAGTTCCTAGACTAAGGATCACACCGCTAGTACGTCCACCAGCGAGGACAAGTATCATGGCCTGTGCTGCAGAGTGCATAGACCCCTTCCACTGGGGAATCGGGATCGCTTTCCAAGCGCCCTCTCCACAAAACTCATGTGAAGTTAAGTAGCACTGAATCGAAAAGGAGCCTGGGAAATGTCCAACTGCCATCGGACCATTCTCAGAGACAACAGCCCTTAGCCCGTGGGTAGCACACAGGTAGCCACAGTTTCCTGTGGCTCGTGCACCCCACTCACCTTCTCACACCTGTACTCCCCAAACTTCACTCCTCGCACCACCTGCTGGTAGATGAGGTTGGTGGCCACGTTGTCCTCTGAGGGGTTGTGCCAGGGTGTGAAGACCTCCTTTCTAAAGAAGAGCCTCCACGGAGCGTTGCGCTCCTGTGCGCCCTGCTCCTTGGCATACTGCTCACACTGGGAGATTGCGTCCATGACGTGGTCACTGCCACTGCCCAGGGAGGACACCTGTGAGCGGAGGAGAGAAGACACAGAATCAAAGGACTTCAAAGGTCCATCCTCTGTGTCAACTGCATGAGTGGAGACAGAGGCCTAAGGCCCAGAGGAGGCTGGAATGTGTCCTAAGTCCCCTGGGAGGCTGATCCCAGGCACAAGTTCTCAGCCAGCATGTGGCATGCACAGTGACAGCCTTTCAAGGCTCAATATCAAGCATGTGTACAGGGGAGTCCTTTTTTTTCTCAGAGTGAGGGATGCTGTTAAGCAAACCGTCACTGGAGGGGCCGATTGGTGAGGAAAAAACCAGGCAAACTATGCCCAACCATGAGGTCCTGTCCCTGAGTCTGTCCGGTGGCAGAGGAAACTCCAAAGTCCCAGGCCTAGATCAGCAGAAAAGACTGTGCACCCGAGCCAGAGGAACTCACACAGCTGGGAAAATGTGGAAAGGAAGGACCAGTGGCTGAGTAGACCCTTTACACATCACAGCAGTGAGCGTGACCCTGGGAAGCGGAGTGGCCTGCTCGTCAACCCATCTTTCTCCTTATTTAGCATCAAGAGACGGTGCCTCCCCCTGAGCACCTGTGGTTGGAGCGAGCCTGGACCTCAGACCGTGGGGTACCAGATGCCCAAGAGCTTTACACCATTCCCATAACTCTGGTAACACCTCCAGTTCCCTGGGGGCCTTAAGTGGCCCACGTGCGAACACCGGAGCCAGCAGGTGGCAGCACAGTACTGTGCTAGGCTTGGTCCACCTTACCTTATCAAATAGCGCGATGTAGAGGGAGAAGCCAAAGCGGTCCTTGAGCGAAACCTTGTCAGCCAGGGCGTTGCACAGCTCCTTGGCCGTGGTTGCTGAATCCGTTAGCAGAGTCTTAGTGGTCCCGTCCATGAAGGTCACAGGCAACATGATGGGTTTCTTGGACTTGGTGGCCTGAGGATAACCAAGGGGATCTGTGGCCTCTTCATTCTCTCTATGCTCTGGCTGCCTATGGGGCTGGAGCTGACCCCCACACCCCCAGCATCCCACAGGGACACCACCTGGATCTGTCACAGGTATCCACCCCGAGGGGACATTTAGATGTCTTGAGCCAGGGACCCAAGGCTAGGAGGAGAGAACTGCAGGAGCATGGCCTTGACTAAGTTCCGTGGGCATAAGACAGGCAGAAAGAATCAATGGCACTTCGGGGCTTTCATATTCTCAAGGCGTCCTAGAATCCCACATGAAGCGTGTTTCTGGGGCGCCAGAGAACACGTGCCCACGTGCATGTCACGTGAGTCTTGCCAACCTGCAGCTCCAGCCAGCTGGGTGGCTGTGTCCGAGTCCCATTGACAAAGGTCCTCCTCAGGCGCTCCTCACAGTACGGGGCATAGCCAGGTGGGCCCCCGTGGATGAAGTTCCGTAGGTACTGCAGAGAGGGGACTCCATGAGGCAGTCTCCACCCTAGCCGCCGCAGCAGCCCACAGTCCATCCAGGCACACCTGGGACCTGCTGCTCCAGCAGGCCCACCTGCAGCCCTCTTTTCTAGGTCTGCTCCTGCCACCCCTGGAATCAAGTGCGTGCCCTGCGGCTTGGTGGCAAGGCCATGTGGTCAATCATCTCTCCTGCCTTCTGCAATCTCTATTGCAGCTGCTGCTCTCCTCCAGGGCCCCATTTGGCCTCCCCCACCTCCCTCCACCCTCATGGCACCCAACTAGCACCCAGAACCTGGCACAGAGTGATACTGAAGTGCTTATCCCAAGATCCATGTTCAGGATGCTCAGGACGCATCCCTGTCACACTTGACCTCTGCAGAGTAGGGCTGACAGAGCCAAGTGCTGGTCACCTGGCAAAGGGGAACTGAGAGGAGGGGGCTGGGCAGGGGGTGTGAGACCTTCAGGGACCTAGGAGGGGCTCTGTCCCCACAGTGGGCATTTCCTATTCTGAGAAGTCTTAGAATCTCACGTGAGGAATATTTTGGGGCACTAGACAGCACATGCCACATGCCTGTTCTGTCTGTCACAGCATAGAGCGGCCCTGCACCCTTCCCACCCCAGACCACACCCCTACCTTAACGAACTTCTCCGAGGGGGCGAAGCAGCCCACGCAGAGAGACACGAGGATCCAGCCCCTGGCGTAGCTGCTCTTGGATGGGTTGTGGGTGAGCTGCTTGCTGATCTGGCAGTAGATCTCATCCCTGGTGGGGACAGTGCCTCAGAGTGACACCCAGTCACTCCTCCGCATCACAGATGTTCCCACCATCCAGCCCGAGGCTTGCCAGGAGACAGAGGTGAGCCAAGTGGGAAGGCTGGGCACAGGCTCTTTCGATTCGGGGGTCATCAGGAATAAGGCCTGGCCAAGATCTAGCAAAAGCTCCTGATAGATGCCGGGCGGTGGTGGCGCACGCCTTTAATCCCAGCACTCGGGAGGCAGAGGCCGGCGGATCTCTGTGAGTTCGAGGCCAGCCTGGGCTACCAAGTGAGTTCGAGGAAAGGCGCAAAGCTACACAGAGAAACCCTGTCTCGAAAAACCAAAAAAAAAGCTCCTGATAGGGTTCGCCATCCACAAAGTAACCTGTATCCTAATACAAGTTCAAATAAGAAGTACCAGCCTGGCCCTGCCTAGCCCCCAGCCACCGAGGTAGCCTGAGCAGGGGCCCCCACAGACTGACGCAGCAGAAACAAGCCAGGCACTTGGGAGTGTCTCAGGGCCATGAGCAGAGACTGACTCTCCGGTCACATCTCTCCAGTACTGACTACTAAAGTGGCATGGATCACATTTGTACTGAGCCGAAAACATCTGCTCTTAGCAGCATTTCCTCTATCCTGGGAGCTTTGAGCTCCGAAAGTGCTTACCCAGGACACAGACAGACAGGCAGACAGACAGACAGACACACACACACACACACACACACACATACACACACACACACACAGAGTGATGTGGTGACTACCAGAGGTGTTCACTGCTCCTCTTCTATGAGGACAGTGCCAGGCAGGAGGCAGGATTATCTAATTCAGTAGCGTCTTTTTGAGAGTTCATGAACCAACGAACTTTCAAGTTGTCATCTCTTCATTGTGACAAAATAATACATACACATACACACATTCTGCCCATGACCCAAATCACTTCCTAAAACAAGGGCCATTTTAAATATCCAAAGTAGACAGGCAGCCCTCAGATCGACCATCAGGCCTGTAAGTCAAACTGGCATGGCTCCTTGAGGTCCCACCTTGCCCTGGGAACCCTGTGCTGGAATCTCTGGCCCGACCGACCCCATCCAACCAACAGACAGAAGATGTGCTCCCCACAGTAACCCCGACCTTGGTCTGGGCCAGCTGCACGGAAGGAGAGCCAGCAGCAGCAAGGGGGTTAGAGCAGGAAGCTCACGTGGGGCCGTGATGACCGCAGCTGCCGGTTACGGACAGCTCTTCCGCTCACTGCCTTCCCCCACAGCTCTGCCTTCCCCCAAGCACCGTGCTTACTCCACCTTTACAGATAAGGCGTAGAAAGATGGCAGAGACAGGTTAGGGTCACATGACTAACCAGCAACAGCTAAACTAGCCCTTTTTGCTTTGTCTGTGTCTAAAGTGATGGAGCCATTACCGCCACCAACAGACCCTGCCTAGAGGTGCCCAGCCACAGCAGCCCACTGCCTGTCGGGTACTGACCGCAGTGCGGGCCGCAGGATGCCATTGCCGATGATGAAGTGCAGCTTCTCCAGGTTCGAGGTGGGCCGGTCCTCCAGCATGCTGTTGCCCTGCACTGTGGATTCCCCATCGTGCAGCCTCTTGGTCACCTAGGCCGCGGAGACAGGCTTGGGTAGAACAGGGAGGCTGGGGTGCCGCCCCTGCCAGGTACCCCACAGGGAGCAGCCAGATGTACAGACGGGGTGCTGCCCCTGCCAGGTACCCCACAGGGAGCAGCCAGATGTACAGACGGGGTGCTGCCCCTGCCAGGTACCCCACAGGGAGCAGCCAGATGTACAGACGGGGTGCTGCCCCTGCCGGGTACCCCACAGGAAGCAAGTGCATGCGAGGATGGCCACTGAGCCTGTCCTTACTGCATCCCTAAAGACTAAGAACTAGGCCACGTGCTGGGAGCAGCAGGCTGATGCCATCTGCTTCAAGGATAAATTCTCCTCTGTGACCTCCTTGGCCCCTTGAACCTCAGTTCCCACCCTAGGGAAACCTTTTCAGCCAGGATATGTCCCATCCCTGACTCTGATCGGAACCACCACCTCACAGCCATGGCACCAAAGTACACCCTGGTTTACAACCACCTGGTAACCAAGGCCCCTGGCCCCGACAGCCAGCCTCAGATCTGGTTCTCAGGAGATGTATGTTTCTTCCGGCCTCACACAGCCTCAGAAGCAGCCCCACATTGCACTCGGATGCAGTGAGAGAACCTCCATCATAGACAGAGGGCCATGCAAGGTCCTCACATCTCCTGAGCCCATGTCTGTCTGTCCCAGCTCCCCCAGGCTAGTCAGCCCCTGGTACAAGGCCTTGGTAGCCTCAGAAGGTGAGGGATGGACTGATGGATGGTAGTACCAAAACTGAGAAGACTATCACAGAAATCTGCCCCCAGACTGAGAAGTCCTGGGATGAAATGCATGGTGCCTGTGTTAGCAAGAAGTCGCCTTCTGGTCATGTGTGTGCTTGGCTCCTCCTCATTCTTCCTCCTGCCCAGGAAGCCCCCACCCCTTTTCCATTCATTCCTGTCCAATGATTGCTCCAACGCTGTGCTGTGCAGAAGAGAAAGGCACCGTCCACTCCTCCTCCTGATCCCGCTCCCAGAGCCCCCCGTCTGACTACCCAAAGAAGCCCTGAAGGGCCACCAGGCCCTGAGGTCTGTTCTTACCTCTTCTGTGAGTTTGGACTTCTTCTTCAGAGTCAAGTGCACCAATTTGTGTCTCACACTGCTTTTCTTCTGCCCCTCAGGGAGCTGGGCCTGTGTGACAGAAAGCAAGGATGTGACCTCTGGACAGTGGGGCTATGGGGTGTGTGTGTGTGTGTGTGTTTGTGACAGAAAGCAAGGATGTGACCTCTGGACAGTGGGGCTATGGGGTGTGTGTGTGTGTGTGTGTGTGTGTGTGTGTGTGTGTGTGTGTCTGTGTGTTTCCACACAGATGCTCACCAGGTGCAAGCCACTCTCTACCCTCACCCCCACTGAGATGATGAGCACTTTACAGTTGGCAAACTATTACACATTATTCCTACAAGTAGATGGAGGAGGGCCAGGGACTGGAGCAGGGATGAGGTAGAGACACTTTCTGCCGATTCCCCGAGGCTGGCAACGCAGACATCATCCCCACTAGCCGAAGACAGTTGCCAGCTGGGGGCACCTTGGCCTCACCTCGCCCTCGCCCTGCAGGGCCTGCAGCTCCCTCTTGTATGTCTTCTTGCCTAAGGTCTCATAGATCTTAGTCATCACAGGGATCTTCTCGCTGCCATCACTCATGGCTGTGTGGTATTTGGGCTCTGGGAGGTCCCCCATGAACCGGAGGATGGTGATCCAGACAGCCAGTGCCGCCTGAGGATGGAGCACACATGTAAGACAGCCAGGGAGGACAGAGGCCCTGGCTCAAGCCATAGAAAGGGCCTAGGCTTGGCAAGGAAGCTGGAGACACAGATAGCCACCTGCAGTGTAGACTGACCCCAGGCTGGGTGCTGGGCCAAAGGCTATCAGACTTTGGCCACCACCAAGGGTAGCCTCTATCCACCCCAGCCCAGCCCTGTGAGCAGTGACCCGGCCGCAGGCAGCCTCACCAGCTGGTCACCCTCATCATCATGGTAGAGCAGTGGCTGCTTGAGGGGCCTCCGGGTATAGGAGTGCGTGGTTGTGCCCTGGAAGTAGGTGGCAGCAAATTTGGCGAATTTGTACTCAGAAAGGTCCTCCTCATCCTCATCAGGCAGGGGCAGGGCTGCATCCAGGTCCTCTTCCACCATCTCCCTCCGCCCCCGCTCCAGGTCCTGGGGGTTGGATCCCATCTATTAGGCTGGGCCCTCTAGCCAGCAGGGCCGGAGCAGAGGCAGCTAGACTGCTGTCTCCGCTCCCTCTCTGCAGACCAGCATTTGATGCCTCAGGAAATCCTGCCCCAAAGCCCTAGTACCTCAAAGCCACTAGGTGCCTGGCCCTCCTGGCCTGGCAGGCCACTTGAAGTCCCCAGGAAGCCAAACATCTTGTCCACCATATCTGAGTGGTTGATGGGCTCATGGCGGGCCTTCTCCATCTGTTCCAGCAGCTCCTTCTTCCTCCGAGCCTCCTCCTTCTCCTTCAGCTCCCGCTCTGCATCCTCACGGGCTAGCTGGGCCAGACGCTCCTGAAGGTGGGGTGATGCGGAAGAAGTAAGCCAGCACCCAGCAGCATGGCCTCAGAGAACAGCTGTCCTCAGGGAGACCAAGAGACCAGCAGGAGCAGCCCCGACTCCACCAGGATCCTGACACAGGGGACGATGAGTATGTTCACAGCCCCCATCTGTCCAGCATCCCTGGACCAGAAGAACACCTCCTCTAGCACTCCCCTTTCCATGCCCACCCCTGCCTCCATGCCCTCCCCTGTCTCCATGTCCACCCCTTTCTCCATGCCCTCCCCTGTCTCCATGCCCTCCCCTGTCTCCATGCCCACCCCCGTCTCCATGCCCACCCCTTTCCATGCCCTCCCCTGCCTCCATGCCCTCCCCTGTCTCCATGCCCACCCCCGTCTCCATGCCCACCCCTTTCCATGCCCACCCCTGCCTCCATGCCCTCCCCTGCCTCCATGCCCTCCCCTGTCTCCATGCCCACCCCTGCCTCCATACTCTCCCATCTCCATGCCCTCCCCTGTCTCCATGCCCTCCCCTGTCTCCATGCCCTCCCCTGCCTCCATGCCCACCCCTGCCTCCACATCCTCCCCTGTCTCCAGGCCACAGAAACCAAGAACTCCTGGGCCATGGGGCTGGGAACTGTATGAGAGTTGACCAGAAGATTACTGTGAGCCATGCTTAAAAAGCAAAACAATAATGATAATGATGTATAAAACTAATATTAATGATGTTTTAATGATTTGGGCCATACTTGCCAAATACCAACTTAGCGTGTAATCAATATAAAAAATAACACGAGTACCTTACACCCTCCCCTCTTCAGCCACGTCTTCATAACATTGTGTGCACCTCCCAATTTTAGCCGTGGCTTTTAGACCAGCCACACTTCAGTGTTCGGTGGCACGTGTGGCTGGGAGCCTTGTGTCGGGCTACACGACCCTGGTCACTCCCCCGTCAGGCTTTTGCCCTGGGTGTCATCCCTAACCAGGAAGGTGCTGTGGGCACAGCCCTCTGACTCCAGCCACAGGGCAAACCCCACGTGAGCGTTGAGCTGCTGTGTGCTGAGGGGGCTAGAAGTGTCTCCTAGGCGGGAGGAGGGTAGCAGGGACAGGTGACAGGAGAAGTGTGGAGTCGGAGTGCAGAGCCGCTACCCAGGACAGCTCGGGGGTCCAGGCTCACCTGATGCTTCCGCTCTGCCTCCTCCTTGGCTTTCTTGGCGCTCATCTCCTTCCGGAGCTTCTCCTCCTCCGCCAGCCGCATCTTTTCCGCCTCAAGGCGCCGCCGGTACTGAGGAAAGAGGCAGCCACGCAGACACAGAAACGTGTAACCTTTGTCACAGCCCAGCCTCACCCCACCCCCATCGCCCCTAAGCTCTGAAACGGAGGGCGAATTTCCAAAAAAAGAGACAAGGCAGCTGAGTTGGTCTCCAGATCACACATGGGTGGGGCTCTGTGGATCCCGGAGCCGGACCAGATATGCCTCGTCTCCTTAAAATTCACCAGGGACCTGGGCCTCAGTCTCTGGTCCATCTTGAGATCAGGCAAAGTCAAAAGCCTCTCTTCTGGCTTTGACTTCCTCAGCCAGCACCAGGACAGGGGTGGGGAGATACCTGCGTGGGGCAGCACACACCTACAAGCCACCCACTCTTGGGGCTCAGGAAACCCCTCACCTCGGCCCGGAGGCGCCTGTGTAGCCGGCGGGCGATCATGCCTCGGGCATAGGCCTGCACGGTGATCACTGCCCAGAGGCGGTGGCGGAAGGCCTTGCGCACCAGGTAGGCTCGGCAGCGGGCCTGGAACTTTATTATGCGCTGTCTGGCCAAGCGGTACTGCTGGTGCAGCTTCCGGGAGCGGTGCAGGGCCTGCAGCCGCAGGAAGCCAAGACGCATCTGCAAAGAACAGCAAGCCATGCTCAGACCTGAGCTCCAGCCCAGATGGATGAAGCCAGCAGCAACATCCAGTGCACAAGCCTCCATCAGACTGGCTCCACCAAGGTACCTGTGTCATTCAAACAGGACCCCACAGTGAGGCCTGCCTCCTTCCAGGAACTCCAGTCTTAATTAACCAGTGTCCTTTTTAGCCCACCTCCCTAAATCAAGTCCAGGCTGCAGCCAGATGTCCCAGAGCTGCTTGTGACCAGGCCTCTCCTGGATCTTCCAAAGGTCTCAGTCTCATCATGCTTTAACCCACCAAAATATTCCAAGAGAAAAGCTCAAAAGATAAAATAAAATAATAAAAAGCCACGGGGAGAGCCGCTAGAGCTAGGCCAGGGCTCTGACTGAAGGGAAAGTAGGGGTGGCTGGGGCATCCCTGGATTCAGGTCAAGTCCTGTTACCAAGGTAACACAGCCCTTCCACGGCAGGGCCAGTAGGATCTGGGGAAGGGGGGCTTACCAGCTCATAGTTTCTTCTACAGTAGTGACCCCGCCAGTGCCTCTGGATCAGTGTGGCGGCACTCTTCAGTTTCAGGAAGTTGGACCTGAAGGGGAGGCAGTGATGGGTGACCCCAGAGCAAACAGCTGGTGGCCAGAGTCAGCCAGGGCCCAGGTGTGCCTGGACAGCACACTGAGCCCCTGTCCTGTGATCGCCAAGCTATGTGATCTTGGTTGAGGCACAGAACCTCTCTGTACCACAGCGCTACCAAACTGGAAGAGATGAGGCATCATGCCTATCCTTCCTGCCTGGTAGGCTTAGCACATGAGGCCTTTAAAGCAGAAATTATAAAGATGCTTGTTGAATGAGTGGATATGTGGCCAAATCAATGAGAACGTGAAAGAGAGAGAGCTTTTAATTGTCCGACTCCTTCGCTTTGTAGGTGAGGATGCTGAGACCTGGGAGGCTGCAGCCAGAGCCCCATCACCGCCTGCCTCTGAAGAGCCCGGTGCTGTTCTCCTGCACACAGTAGGCTGCTTCCCAGACACCAGTCACCTCTGGCTTGATGGGGACAGAGGCCACACAGCAGCAGCGTTTGCGGGGAATAAGGAAACACAGGAGAGAAGGGCGGACATGTCGTGGCACAAGCCAGCACTCCAGGGCCAGCATGCTCATGTGGGTGGAGACACGAGGCGGAGAGCCAGCTGGCGGGTGGATGGTGTCGAGAACCGGAGGAAAGGAAGGTGAAGGGGAAGAGGCTGCTAGAGAAGGAGGAAGGGAGGGAGGGAGGGAGGGAAGGAGGGAGGAAGGGAGGGAGGGAGGGACCAGATGAACTGCAGAGGAGGCAGACTGTGGGTTTCTGTCACACCTGAACCGCACTCTAGAATTGGTCTTGCCTATGCGCGGACCATCACAGGTATATGCATGCCCTTAATGTAGAATATGAGCTACACCCTGTAACTTATAAAACATCGATGAACGCTCCTCCTGCCTCCACATGTGCAGGAGGGACCAGCTACCGTGTGGTCTGGTTTATGTGCCATGGCAGAGCTTTGTAAACCTTGTACAAACCTGTGTTTCTGGATGATCTTGTGATCACATGTGCATGCCATGCATGTATGTGATGGCTTCTGTGTGTGCACCATGGGTTTACACGTTTGTTCTTGTGTCCATGTGGGAGCAGAGGCGAGCCAAGCACATTCACAGTGGGGGTGCTAAGGGAGCAGAAGCTGTTGACACAGACCTGTCTTTGAAGCCCCGGATGACCTTCTGGAGGAGGATGACTCTGTCTGTGATGGCCTTGTCCCTCTCCACCTCCAGCAACATGTCGTGGTGGTCCTGAAAGGCAGAGCTCCTGAGCAATGTCTCCCAAGACTACCTGCTCAGTCCAGGTAGGACCTGCCTTCTTTCTGCCATAACTCAGGCTTAGGGCTCTATGTGAACCTAACCCTGCTGGAACCTGTGCAGTGACTTCCTACAGCCACCAGAGATTATGGCTATTCCTCAAAGGCCAGGGGGGAGGGGACCAGAGGAGCCAGAGGCACCTCATTTCACTAGACTGGGGGAAGAGACTCAACAATATCACATCCTGGCTTCTTCTGTTACCATTTCAGCCCTGCACTCTGTAATCTTTTCTCTCCAGGATTTTGGTGGCACGCTCCTTACCAGGACTCTCCTGGTGTCTATCATTTTCCTCTGACCCTCTCCTTCACACGAGTCAGACAACCTTCCTATGACCTTCCAAACATACGCCACAGCATATGCCTCACCCTGGTACTCAAGACCACTCCAGGCCCCACTGACATCTCCAGCCCTTCTCCTCATTCCCAAACCCAGTCCTCCTGCCTGTCGGATGAAAGTTGAAATGTCACTGGTTCATCAATACATATATAGATGGAATGGTCCATGGGTAGGCATAGTGCTAGGTGGTGTGGCGGAGCTACAGAAAGACCAGGCTGTTGTATCCTTCATTGGAAGCCTGGCCTTTGAGTCTCACAAGGGGAAGATAAACATCCATCTAATAATCACAGACACAGGGTGAGACTCAGCCATGGCCTTCTCAGTGAACGGATGAATGGACAGATGGGTGGATGGATGAATGAATGGCTGGGGTGGGACATGCAGGCTCTTGAAGTATTCCTAAAGAGTACAGATGGTTGACCATGGGGGCAATGGGGTCCCTCTGATTCTTCTGGTGCTAGATGACATCATGACTCTGTCTGTTCTCTCTGCCAACACATGCCTGGCACTTGACCATCCCAGGTCAGTAGTCTGTTCCCTGCATCCCTCAGTCTGACTTCAGTCACTCACTTCTCTCTGTGAATTGGGCACGAGACTTCCTATCCCACACTACTAGCAGGCAGACAGTAGGAGGGAGGCCTGACACACAGAACTCACTCTCCAGCCAGCAGTCAGGAACCAGAGGGGACACAAACATGTTTCCCAATGCAGAAACAGGACATGGGGGATGCAGAGGCTGACTCAAAGCCCTCACCGAGGGGAGTTAGCTAGACCTCTCCAACAAGACCCCACTAAAGGCTGCTTCCTCCTCTCTCTTCTCCCAGCTGCCCTGCGTTCAGCCCTGCCCCCACAGAGGAGGGGCCCTGCTGTCACCAGAACAGAGGAAATAGAAATAAGGAAGCCCACACTGTCCCTGTGCAGAGGCTCTCCAGGGCCGTGACTGCTCAGGCCCAGGTCTTGCTCTCTCTCTCACCATTGCCTAGGAGGCTGTGGGAGCCAGGAACCCTAGCTGTACCTGGCTGCTGAGACAGAGCCCTAGATGACAGTGCACAGCTGACCCTCCTGAACCCTGCCTGCAGAAAACCACAAGAAGGGACCTGAAGTCCACTCTAGACCATCCCAGGCCCAGCCTGTCACAGACAGAAGAGTAGGCAGAAATACTCAGAGACTTGTCCTCAGCCCCCAGGCTAAGAACCACAGGCCGGGGTTTGAGTCCCTGCCATGGGTCTGACAAGGCAACCCACCTCTGGTCATCTGACTCTAACCTAGGGCCCACACCTGGCCCCATTAATTATCTCTAATGCTCACACATCCATCAAGATGCCCTGCAACCCCCTCAGAAACATCCCATGTGTGGGGAGGGCTCTGGACATGGCAGAGCCGTGGCAGCCAGGACAGACTGCGCTCACCTTCAGAAAGATCTTGGTTTTGCCGATCTGCCAGTCATCATGTGTGCCCAGCACAGCCTCGGCCATGCGCTGGCATGTCCCTCGGAGGTCACCCTGGGTGGAAGACAAAGATACTGACAGTATAGCCAACAGAAAGGCCCCCAAGTGTCCTTCTCAAGATTGGGGGTCATGTCTGTCCCTGTCTGGCTATGCGATTGACCCAGCCTGACCCTGCCTTCTGCGGACATCTGTTTTCTCCTCAACTAGAGGACAACCTGACAGCTGAGGTCTTCGAATATGTCCTTCCATCTGCCCCGTCTCCGCAGCAGTACCGATGTGACTGGGGTCCTCTCCCCTGTGGGGGTACCCGACCTTGTACCTGCTTGTATGCCGGCTTCACTCCAGGCAGCAGCACCCGGTAGCGCTCCACAAACTCCACAAAGCTGTAGCGGATGGGGTAGCCCGCACGCCGGATGCGGATCGTCTCCATCATGCCTGAATAGCGCAGCTGCCGTACACACAGGTGTCGGTCGAAGAGCTGCCGGGCCGGAACCAAGGGCATCAGGGCAAGGCCAGGACTGGGATGCTAGCCCTGCCCTGCGGCTGATCAGCACAGATGGAGAGACACAGGGCTTCTGGGATCATGGGGAGCAAAGCCGGGCAGGAGCCCAGGACTGTCAGTCAAACCCAGGGGGCAGCATAAGTGAGGGCCTGCTGGAGGGACGACCGTGTGCTCAGGGATCAGATCACAGAAAAGACGTAGGTTTGCGTCCCTTGTGAGACATGAGGTTCCACGGATGCTGAGGGAAGGGTCTTCCAAGACTGGAGGAGAGTGAGCATGTGGGGAGGGATAGAAGCTTGAAAGTGCAAGACCTGCTGTGGGAACGTGGAAGGGGCTGAAGAGCCTAGGCCAGGGCACAGTGCAGGCTGCCATGAGGGTACGCCATATAACTGCCCTCCATGTGGCTTCCACTACAGATCCACGGTTATTTAAACCACGCTCCAGGGGCTGGCCTTAGGAAGTGCCTTTAGGAAGAGGCATGTTTTTTCAAACTGACACATGGTAGTCGATGGCTCCAGGGCAGGACTACAGCTGGGGTTCAGATGGAAAGAAAATTGAGAAAGCGGATCCAGGGGCCTTCTGAGACCAGGCTAGGAGTCTGGGCCTCGTCCCATAAGTGGCAGGAGCCAGGGAGGGTTTGCAGCGGTGGCATATGGGGCAAGATTTGCTTTAAGAATAATGCCAAGGTGGGCAGTGGTGGCGCACGCCTTTTATCCCGACAGGAGACAGAGGCAGGTGGATCCCTGTGAGAGCCTATATCCCAGTTGCTGATGTATATAGCAGGTTCTAGGCCAGGGAGGGTTACATAGAGAGATCATATCTCAAAAGAACACCAATGGTGTCATTATCAGTGTGGTGAAAGGGTGGTGGCAGACAGTGGGAAGCTGGAGACAGAGGCAGGTAAGGAGGCTACTGAAAAGGGGGAGGCCACAGACATCAAAAGGCCTGGCTAGGAAAAGGTCCCGGGGAGCCAGCGCCCAGCCCTGTCATCCTGCCCGCCCTGCTCCAGAGGGGGACCCGAGGTCTGAAGGGGACAGGACTCACCCACTCTGGGAAATGATTTCCTGGCGGGGACAGTGTGTGCGGAAGGCCAGCTTCCGCAGCCCATTTCCTCTCCCTCTGGGCCACTTTCCCCAGCCTTCCCTCCCTCCCTAAGTCCCACACCCAGCTTCCCCTGGCCCTCTCTCCTTTTCTGCATAAACAATACCTCTCTGGGCCTGCACTGGCTAGGGAGCCTGTGGAATGAAGCCCCTCAATATCTTTGAGACCCCATGTGACAATTCTAATTCTTTCCTGACTGCCGCTTCCTTATGGACAGCTTGCTGAAGGGGGCTGTACCCCGCCTATGGAAGGACTAACAAGTGCTGTCACTAAGAGTCAAAAAGAAGGGCCTCCAGGCAAAGGAGTCCAGAGGGACTTCTCGAAGGGGGTGAACGCTGAACTAAAAGCGGGAGAACTTTCCAAGGAGGGGCCGCAGCAGTGAGCCACACTGCTATTTACTAAGCACTTAATAGGCACCCGGCAATCTTCAGACATGATCTCAGGGAAGAGGTGGCTGTGATGGCTCCTGTTTTCTTTCGCAAAGAAACTGAGGCACAGGGCAGTGCATGGCGTATGTGCAACCACTCAGCTGGGAAGTAGCAAAGGCGGGGTTACATGGCTATGGAGTGGAGGAGCCCCTGGAACCCCAGCACCTTGAGACCTTCTTTTACAAGCCACCTGGTCCCGAGAGAGGACAAGACCTTGCACTGCCCACCCACTGCGACCGTCTCGCCCCCACCTCCCGCTGCTTCCCCTCCAAGGCTCACCATGGGCTTCTTGAACTCATTGGGTTTGATGCAGCGGACGAAAAAGGGCTGGCAGGCGCCCAGTGTGCGCATCAGCAGCTCCAGCGACCGCTTGAACTGGCTGCTGAGTGTAGGCGAGCGCTTCCTGGTCTCAGCACCCTGTGGCAGGGGACAGACAGACAGTGATGGGAGGGGCCACGCCTTCCCCCTCCCACCCTCCAGCAGCTGTCCAAAAGGGAGGGAAGCACCAGGGAAGGTCACCAAGGCCAGAGCCTGAGTAGATGGGTAGTTGGTGATTTCCTGTGACACCCCTGGTCCGGGATGGAGCGTGGACCTCAGACACCCACTCCAGAGATCTCGCTCCCTAAGACCTCCAATAGTGTCCCTCTGGGCCCCCCACCATCAGCTGGGAGACTCTGGGCCAGGAGCAGCCCATCTCTGAGTCTATGCCCTCCCTGTATAAATGAGGAGTTTAGACTTGATATCCTCAGGATGCTGGGGTCGTCTTAAATACAGGATTTAAGCAAACCTAAATTCAAACCCCATATATGGCCCAGGCCGACCACTAAAGGATGCTGAGTCTCCATTGGTTCCTAAGTGAATATTCCATCTACCCCTCCGGCAGGATGAGGAGGAGAGTTCAAGCGCAATAAGCAGCCCCCTGGGGTGGTCACTACACCCTCTGGGAGCCTTGGAGGAGCCAGCACAGCTCATGACCGCCCCTGCTCTGCTTGTAGGATTAGCGGCAGGCTGGAGGCAGTGTGGGTGACCTGGATAATCTTCCTGCAAAGATAGGGTGTTGTTCTCCTGGCTGCTGTATGAGCCATGGTGTGTATGTGTGTGTGTGGGTGTGCGTGTGTGCATGTGTTCGTGTGTGTTGTGTGTGTGTGTGTGACTGCAATCCCTGCCTACACGGTGCCTCTCAGGACATTTAAAATAGTAGGGAGCAGGGGGACTAGGGATGACCTGAGGTCAAGCAAACAGGAAGTAAACCTTCTGGAACATGGCAGAACTCAGAGAGAACACAGTACCACCAGATACTGTTTTCCGGGCCATCTTTGTGTGAGAACTCATTAGCAAACTTGATTTCATTGTAAGATTTTGTATTTTTAGAGTTATAATTCAATCACATCCTTTAGCATCAAAACTCTGGGGTACCTGACAGCCTCTTCTGACTCTGAAGACTCCTGCCTACATGTGGTGCATTTACGTACGCTAAGGCACACATATATACATATACAACAACTACTTTAAAATCTGGGGTGCAGAGCACATGTGTGAGGTGTTGTGTGTGTGTGTGGGGGGGGTCAAGGTGCTTAACCAGCACTAAATCCAGGTGCCATGTCATAGCGTCTAATGAACCCCGCAGGAAAGCAAATGTTTTTCGTTCTGAAACATGAAGTATTTTTCATCTTAAGTTCCACTGCAGAACATTCAAAATTTTGCCCAGGGGATTGATTTAGGGATAGCGTGATGTCTGCTCTGGCCCAGCAGGGTTCTTGATTCAGCAACAGCACACACATACTGAGCATGTGGCCCATAAGACGGAGCACACACAATGCACACTATATGCATATGTAGTGTATACATGCACCAAGTACACACATCCACACAAACCATACACACACCACACACACACACACACACACACACACACACACACACACACACACACAACATACAGCATTATTCACACAGGCAACATCTGAGCATGCAGACACCACACAAACACCCACATGCACACATGTAACATGCATACAGCATGCACACCATACAGCAAACATGACTTGCCCACACCGAGCATGTATATACCACACAAATCACTCACAAAATGCATAGCCCACAAGACAATGCATTTAATTCGCACACAGCATGCATAACTATGCAGCACAAATGCACACGTATGACACACACATGCTAAGAATACAATGCTCGGCACACTTGCTGAACATACACCATAGAGCACTCATGGCGTGCATACTCTGAGCATACATGCACCATATGCATCCCTCACAGCACCCACCACACACAGCAAGTATACTATGTAGCACTCATGCATATATATGATGTGCACACACTAAGAGCACATACCACACTTCCCACACAGCACACCCTGCATGCACATGCAGAACATGCACATTGCATGCTCACTATGTGGCACAGGTACACACAGGACATAGATACTGAGAACACATACAACACTGAACAGGGCACACACACCCTTCATAGATACTGAGAACACATACAACACTGAACAGGGCACACACACCCTTCAAGATTCTGTCATCTTGAGGCTGTCCCCTTCTGACAACAGGCTGGGTCTGCCTTGCTCACTGCTATGTCACCAGGGCCTGGGCACACTCACTGCTACGTGTGCACCAGGACACACACCAACACCTTGGTCACCTGTCCTCCATGGCGCATAGACTGTCTCCCTTGCAGCTGTGCAAGCCAAACCCTTAGGAACTCCCCTCATTCCCCTTCTCTCATAAGGGACAAACTTGCAGGTCCTCCCCAGGATCTGATGCCATCACATTCCCCATTAGCTGGGTCCAGCCTCAGCCGAGCTCTCCCATTTCCCCACTTAAACCCCCCGCCCCACCTGTCACCACACCCAGCACTAACAACTCCATTCACACAGCAGCTGGGGCCTGGGTGAGGAAATCAGCCACATCCCTCCTCACTCAAACATCCAAGTTCACACCAAGGAAAGCCCAGGGTCCTGCAAGGATCCATAATAGCCCCAGGATCTACTCCAGTAGCCTCTGGTCCCTACCATCTGTTGGTATCCTTTCTGGCACACTGGCCTCCTGGTTCTGCCTGGGGTACACTTGGGACTTTTGCACATGCACACCCCTCTCCCTGCAAAGTCCCCCTGGGGGAGGGGTAGAGCCTTCACTTTCCTATAAATTTCCAAGTAAGGCCTGTCCTGAGCCTCATGCACAATGACAGGGCCTGCCACTACGCCCTGTCCTTCTCCGTACCCCCCACAGCATGCTTTATTCATTCATTGGCTCTCTCACTGTTCCCCTCTGCTAGAACACAAGAGCGAGAACACAGTTTGGTTTCTTTTTGTTTCTATGTGGTCACTGCTACGTCCTGGGACCTAGGACATGTGTGGCCTATGGAGGGGACTCAGTAGCATTTGTAGATTGAACAAGTGAATGACTGCGTGGGTGAGTGAATGAGCACATGTGGGTGAATGGGTGAATGAGTGTGTGGAGTTTGCTCTCCCTGTCTCGGCCATTGGGGTTCTCATCTGGTTCTGTTTTATTCGGGGACAGCCTCCTTCCTGGTGATTAGACTCCTGGGTCATCTGTGGGTGTTTGGGAATGAGGCAAAGACTGAAGCCCAAAGTCCAAAGGCTATTGTGAAATGGGTACAAAACAGATCTGAGGGAAGACAGAAGTCTTCAGGGTGTCAGGTGTCTGCCGATGAGCAGGCACATGGCAGGAGTGGGCAACTGTCCTGTGGACATGACTGGGGTGAGACATTCATCTGGGTGCACCCCGTATGTGGGAAGGTGGCCTTCCTCCACTTCACTGGTCCCTATGTCAGTAGGTCAGGGCAGGTCGTGAAGCCTGAACTGCCCTGGGGTAGCAGACCCAAGAATCAAAGGGTGAGAACTCAGGGGCTGGGGACTGACCCAAGCTGAGGGCTTAGGTTCCTGTAAGCAAGCACTGCGGTCTTCCACCCTGACAGAAGCGTTATGGCTAAGACACTGTCTTGGGACAATTCCACAAGAGAGCAGTCAAGTCTCCAGAACTTGCAGGCCTTTCTTGGTCTGGGGGCATAACTCAGTTGGTACAGTTCTTGCCTTGCAAGCGTAGAGACCCGAGTTCAAACCCCTCACACCCACAAGCAAAAAGATGAGTTAGGTGGTGCACACTTGTAATCCCAGTGCCAGGGAGACGGGACAGGCAAAACAGAACTGGGACTTGCTGGCCGCCGGCTTAACCTACTTGGTGAGTTCCGTGTCAGCGAGAAACCTTGTCTCAAAAAACAAGGTGTATGGCTTCTTAGGAACACTATCTGAGGTGGCCTTCTGGCCTCCATACATATATACACATACATGCGCGTGCACACACACACACACACACACACACACACACACACACACACTCACAGACTCTTGCCACCTGACCCATTCTAGATGACATATTGTATCACATCAGCATTGGAACCTGACTCAGCACAGTGAAGGGACTTGTCCAAGGTCACATTCAATCACTGCTAGTGTGTCTATATGCATCACAGCCAGGGGGAAAAAATGCTTCGTGTGTGTGTGTGTGTGTGTGTGTGTGTGTGTGTGCGCGCGCGCGCGCGCGCGCGCGTTACCGGTACAGGGACCAGAATCATCCACAGGAGGGAAGGGAGTTCCTATCTAGACAGGTTTGGTACATACTCCTCCCCTTAATGCCCAGGGTGTTGAGTCTATCCTAGAGATCTGGGAAGGCCCAGGAGCAGACCAAATATGAGGTCAGCACTGGGCAGAGAGGAGAGAGGGAACAGGGAAGAGAGAGACAAAGAGGAGGTGGGCTGGTGTAGTAGCTGGGGGCCTCTAACACCTTTGGGATGGGAAGCATCATGGCAGCCAAGACCTGCAGTGGGAACAAGGCAGCTTTCCTAGCTGACCCCACACCCCAGGATGTGTCATTAAGGTGAATGAAGCCCCCTTCTTGACCTCAGTCCTGAATCTGCAAAACAGAAGACCACCTGTGCCCACAATTAAGTATGTCTTTGGAGTCCCCCTGAGTTCTTAGTGTAAGGACATGGAAGGACATATAATAACAGGGGTGAGGCAGAGAAGGCTTAGGAGCCTCCTTCAGCCTTCTTGTGGACCTCAGTTTCCCCCTTAAGAAACCGAGACTACTATAGCACACACAACTCAAATACCAAAACCACTCCAAAAACCACTCCACAAAAAAAACCCACACTCCACAAAAGACAAAAAAAATCCAGCCCTCTCTCCCTTGGAGTCAGCCCCATAAGGCTGAGCTCTCCCGCCACGGTCATCCTGGGCCCCAGGCTGGGGCTTTTACCTTCACGGAAGCCGCTGCCTGGCCGACAGTGCCCGATGAATAACCACAGAGAAACTATAAGGGGAACCACAGGCAGGTGAGGCAGAAGAGACGTGGGCGGAAGGCCACTGAGATGGGATGGGGTGGGCCTGGGCTAGAGGTCAAGGTTCTGGCCACCCTCCCAAGCAGCTCAGACACCTGCACCGGCACCAGAGAACGGTGCCTCTGCCTCCCTGCTCCCCTCCCCTGGACCTTAGGAAGCAGGGACCCAGAACGGAATGGAATGAAAGGCAAACAGCCAGCGCAGCAATAAACTCCAAGTGACACCGGCTGGGCTTCACAGGGGGCAGAGCAGGCGGTCCCTTGTATCAGCTCAGGGTCTGGAGTGGCCAACATGCCACACCCATCCTATGTCTCCCCTTGTGTCTGTCTAGCTGGGGGACCTCCATGGTAAAGCCAGTCCCAAGTCCCAAGTGACCTCCCACATAGCCCTTCTCTGAGCCTCATGCCCCAGTCACATCCTGGGTCAGTAGAGCAGGACTAGACAGCAGCATCTGACAGGCCTTCCCTTCGAGAGCCCCAGCTAAGCCCTGTCCCTGGTTCCTACGCTGAAGTTCAAGGGGCTCCATGGACAAATAAGACTCGGGTGGGGTCTAGATTCAGGCCTGGCTTCCAAGGCCCCTTCTCCCCACAGGGACATCCAACAGCCTTACCATGGCGACGTCAGCCTGGAAAATCTGTTTTATGAACTTGTTCCGGGAAGAGTGGACCAGCTGGATGATGTCCCCATGCAGGGTGTCCCGGTTCTTCTCCAGGAAGCCTGCCAGTGGCAGAGAGCAGTCATAACTCCTCCAGCAAGGGCTCCCCAAACCCGCAACATCTGAGCCAGAAGGACCTTGGGCATTCGCCTAACTTACCCACATCCATTCCACAGTGCGGGGCCCTGGGCCTGGAGGGGACACTGACTTACCCAAGATCACAGAGAAAATGAGGAGCAATCCCTCAAACACATATCCCCACCCGCAGCCTATATAACAAGTACAGGAGGTCTCTGTCTCAAGGAGAAAGCGAGGCTCCTTTCCCAACTGGGCCATCCCTAAGCCACTATCAGCCCTTTTAAACTAAGATGCCAGGGCACACGACCCCCTGAAAGAGACCACATCTAGATGCTATAAGCCACCAGTAAGGCAACTGATGACCACCACCTCCAAACTAGTCAGGACAGTGAATTTTACAGTGTCATCCCCGCCTGCGTTCTGGGACAGGCACTCACTACCTTCTCCATATGACAAATGGATGTCCGTGAAGCCATGGGAGAGTTCACACTCAAACCCAAGACCCTGGTGCCAACCCAGGAAGGCTCCCCACACCCAGAGGGCACTGCCATTCTCAGCAACAGAGGATCTAGGGTGGTGCAGGAGATGAGGTATCCACAGGCTAGAGATGCCTGAGGGGTGGAACATTGCTAAATACAGGACTTGGGCCACCACCCCTGAGGGCAGATCCTGGGCCTGCTCATGACATGGTGATGGACACGTGAGAGTCTCTTATTAGCGATATGCCAACTTCATTATGTGACATGAAGGTTCCTTTCAAGATTTTGGTGTCCCTGTCTGAGAGGAGAAAGGTCATAGCACGCATATAAGCACTGATTTCTGGGCCGCTTCATGAGGGAGCCTGCCACACGGCTCTAGACCGCTCCGAATGCTGGGGGCTTTGGGCCCTGGGTGGGACTGTTCAGGACAATGAGCAGGATGTTAGTGTATTACACCCACAGCGGATGCCAACTTAGGGCTGGCCTTTCACACCAGGGTGGGTTGGAGGTTCAGCAAGGCTCTCTGCAGGAAAGCTGCAAAGCTGCAGGAATTGCAGAACCGCAGGCCAAGTGAGCTGGGTTTTCACCCTGCTACCAGCTTTTCTTTCTTTCTTTTTTTCTATTTCATATTTCATTTTTCAAGACAAGGTTTCTCTGTGTAACAGCCCTGGCTGTCCTGGAACTCACTCTGTAGACCAGGCTGGCCTTGAACTCACAGAGATCCACCTGCTTCTGCCTCCCAAGTGCTGGGATTAAAGGTGTGTACCACCACTGCCTGCTTCTAGCTTTTTTTTTTTTTTTTTAAAACAGACTGTCAATCTGGCTGGTCCAGAATTCACAGAGATCCCCCATCTCTACCTTCGGAGTGTACCACCATACTCATCAAGATGTATCTTTCTGTATGTATATGACATGTGTGGGTGCGTGCCACAGAGGGCATTGGATCCCTTAGAGCTGGAATTACATGTAATTGTGAGTCACCTAACTTGTTTACTGGGAACTGAGCTCAGGTCCTCCGGGAGAGCACTTAACTACTGGGCCATCTCTCTACCCCCTGACTTTCAGCTTCAAATGAACCAGCTGCATGTCCTTGGGGGAAGGGAAGATGTCTGAGCACTCCCTTCAATGTGCTGGTCTTGTTGCTGGAAGTTTCTAGGCTTCTCTTCGAGTCTACTAGGCTGTATCAGGTCATAGAAGAACAGTCCAGTTCCCTTCTGAGCTTCAGTCTCCCCATTATATGAAAGAGCACTGAGCCCTCTCATAAGGCAAAACACTGTATACATAATAAATAAATCTTTAAAAAAAAAAAAAGAAAGAAAAGAAAGAAAGTAAAAACAAGGCCAGAATTCAGGAGGCAGGGCAGGTGGGTCTCTGTGTTCCTGGTCTACCTAGTGAGTTCCAGGCCAGCTAGGGCTGCATAGTGAGAGCTTGTCTTTTTTTTTTTTTAATTTATTTATTTATTATGTATACAGAAGAGGGCGCCAGATCTCATTACAGATGGTTGTGAGCCACCATGTGGTTGCTGGGAATTGAACTCAGGACCTTGGGAAGAGCAGTCAGTGCTCTTAACCTCTGAGCCATCTCTCCAGCCCTTTTTTTTTTTTTTTTTTTTTTTTTTGGTTTTTCGAGACAGAGTTTCTCTGTGTAGCTTTGTGCCTTTCCTGGAACTCGCTTGGTAGCCCAGGCTGGCCTCGAACTCACAGAGATCCGCCTGGCTCTGCCTTCCGAGTGCTGGGATTAAAGGCATTTTTTTTTGTTTGTTTTTCTTAAGGCAAAAATAAAGAAAAAAGCAAAGCACGGGATGGCATGCTTCCTGTGGCCTCTTCTTGTCTCCTCTGAACTCTGCACCATGTGGTCTCACTCCTAGCCTAGAGAGAGAGAAGGTTGGGGCACAGGCAGAAAGACACCCCACCATCACCTGTACCTTGAGTCTCATAATAAACAATGCCGGCAAAGTGGTTGATTCCAAACTGGGTATCGTGGCTGTTCTTGGGCGGCACGTAGTTGGCATTGAGCCTGTGCTGTGAGTTCAGTTTATGCAGCATGGTGGCATCCGTGCCCTGAGGGAGCAGAGTGGCCGTGGCTAAGCCGCTGCCTTCCAGTGGCTCCCTCCCCATGTCCTCCCAGCCCTCCGCTCTCTTTCTCAGTAGCTGCCCCCGTCACACAGCCTCGATGCCCCTCTGAAGTGGGTGAACTGGAACCACACATCACTGAATGCACACTCCAGTCTATGGCAGCTCTTCTCATGACTAAAATCCGTGGACAGCTAAGGCTGGAGGATGGCTAGAGGCCAGGAGTTCAAGGCCAGCCTGATCAATATAGCAAGAGTCGAATCTCAGTTTCTTTCCCTGAGGACAATCCTGTGTTCCCTTCCCCTAATCAAGCCATAGTCCATCATCTACCCTGAACCATTTGTGTGTTTGGATGTTGAGAGTTTGGTCCAGGGTCCAGTAGAATGCAAGTAATCCCTGATCACCATGTCAACACCCTGGAACCAGCCCAAGGCACCCGGGCAGGCTCATGTTGCTTGCCCTAGGCTGCAGATGGGGAAGCTGAGGTTTGGTGTGCCCACCTTGGGGAACTTGCTCTCCTCGTCGATGAGGGAGATGACATTCATCGGCCGGTTGGCAATCATGTCGAGCGCGTCCTGGTTGTCAGTGAACTCAATATGCAGCCAATCAATGCTCTCGAGATCATACTCTTCTTGCTCCAGCTTGAATACGTGCCGCACGAAGAACTGCTGCAGGTGCTCATTGGCAAAGTTAATGCAGAGCTGCTCGAAGCTGCGAAGGGCAGAGGACCATGGACACGTGGTACCCAACGTCTGCCCAGTCACCCAGACCCGGCTCTGCCCCTACCTGCAGCGTGACCTCAGGCATAAGGCTCCCATCAGGTGGGCTGGGGTGGGAATGCTAAGTCCAAGCCTTATGCAGAAGATGACTCTGGGGACTGGCAAGGGTAAAGGACATGCCCTAGGTCACTGAGTGCCAGAAGAGAGGTAGACCAGAAGCCAGGCTCAGGGCTCTTTCCTTGAGTGATCAGGCCCCACATAGGGTCTACCAATAAGGGGGGAAAGATCAGAACACTAGGAAGGTGGATCTTAGAGAGATACCAGAATCAAAGAGAGGCCAAGGCTGACAAGATCCAGCAAGGAGAGGGGAACCCTGATGCCAGCCCAGCTGAACAGCAGCCTCGACTCTCATATTCAATATGGTAGTCTGGGGGACACTGTGATATCCTGCATTACAGTGACTGTGGCCATAAGCTCAGAGACCAGAGACCACCTCCCAAGAACCCAGGACAGTGTAAGTTTCTTCAGTATCCAACTGGGCTGGCCTCAGCTGAGCTGGGGCTGGGCATGAAAGAGATCTCCAGGATGACTGAAAGCAAGTTTCCCAAGCCTGAGGGTTGTTTTTGGAGGGAGGCGAATGCAGCCATAAAGAGACATAGCATTTCCCAGGCGTGGGGTCCATCACACTACCTGTTCACAGTGAAGTTCTCAAACCCGAAGATGTCCAGGAGGCCGATGGACCGGCGAGAGTTCTTCACTTCCTGGGAGGGAGGCTTGTAGATTGCGGCGTTGATCTTGTCCACAATCCACACGAAGAGCCTCCCGTAGATGCCCTGAAAGGCACTCGTCAACCATGGGGCAAGTCAGACCCTCCTGGGAGGCAGTTCCCACTTCTAGACCCTTTGTGTCCCTGCTCCAGCCTTGTCCATGCTATTAACACCCTTCACTCGGCCGTCCCTTCTATTGCATGAGCATCCCTGCCTCAGCAACTACTTATTTGCTCCCTTAAAAACTCCCCTGACCCTGAAACTGGAAGGAATCACCTTGGGGTCCAGCAACTTCACCTGAACATCTGCCCATCTTCTGAACACCTTGAGGGTCCAGAGTCCGGCACAGGGCTGGTACAGATTAGGGACTTTGTGATTGGCAAGTACATGGGTATGGCGACATGAGGGTTGGGAATCTTCTACCCAGCCAGACCTCATGAGTCCTAAGAGGACTGGTCCTGGCTGAGGACAGCTGATCAAAGCAGGCCTGGGGGGACAAAGCAGGGTCCCCTGGGGAGTGCAGAGCCAACTCCTATGGGATGCTTGGCCTCTGGGCTCAGAAGATGACAGAAGGAACTTGGACTTCAGAGAGCCAGAGACTCTAGCCTGGCCTCTAGCCCAGGGACTGCCGAAGCAAGGCCCAGCTTGGAAACACCTGCGCCTGTCCATCAACAGCTCAAACTGTGGGGCAAAGAGAACAGGCAGCCACTCCACTCACCCACCTTGACAAAGGCGTCTCGCACATCCAGGGCCTGCTCCCTGCTGAGTGGGGTGGACACTGTCTCCCCACGGGTGATGAGGGTGCGGCTGGTGAGGCAGTTCATCAGATCTGGGGGGTTCACCTAGAGCAGACACCCAGGTGTTGGCCCAACCTCACCTTGACTGTCTTTCATCCCAGCTGGCTTCCTTCCCCATCTCTTCCCAGGTATTGTGGGGCCCCGGCCCAGACCTCTCAGTGCCACCCACTGTAGGAACCGCACAAAGCTTGTCCCTAACTGAACAGAACTTTCCTGTCCAAGGTCTCCACAGCCGACTCCTACCCCAGCCCGACTGAGTCAGAAGTTGGCCTCAGAGGGACAGACAGAGTGGCAGAGGCTGGCACTGACCTCGAGCAGAGAAGCGGCCGTGGCCAGTGATGGGGAGAAGAGGACCTCACAGGCATCCAAGTTTTCAAATGTACGGGCTGCCAGGAGAAAGGGGCACAGTGTCGGGAAGGGAGGCAGAGGGGCAGGGGGACTCTGAGGAGGAGCAGGCTGCCATGTCTATGCTCAGGGACCTGCCCTGTCTACAGAGCATCATCCCCAGCAAAAAATGTTCTCATGACAGCCTGGGGCACCACGAGGGTAGTACTAGCCTGAGATTGCCTTAGGACATTCATTCACTGGATGAACTTCCCAGAGCTTCAGTTCTGCCCAGGACCCATGCTGGGCACTATGGAAAAGGCAGAGTGGACCCCAGTGCCTTCTTCCAATGGGCCACCTTCCACTCTGGTATGCAGTGGTGCCAAATAAGTGTGCACGCTCTGCTTTGTCTTGCCCCTTACAGACAACTGTTTGGTCATTCACACCACAGTATGAACTCAAAGATTTACCCTCTCTGGAGGACACTTAGCCTTAAGAAAGAAACCAAGTGTGGAAGAGGTCTCAAAGGGTTCCTGTCACGTCAGAACACCTCACCCACCAGCTCTGTGGTGGGACTGCCGCACAGTGTACCACCCCTGAGGCTGACATCCTCTCAGCCTGCATCTCATATACCTGTCATGGCAGACAGCACTACCAGCACCCCTGGAAGCTAGGTGCCATGCTACCTGAACGGGGTGTGGCACTGTGGTGCATGGCACCATGGGGCCTCACCTTCGTACTGCAGATTGCCCATGTGTAGGATGGCAGCCAGAAGCTTCGAGATTTCCCAGTTCTCCGTGTCTGTGAACATGAGCACTTTCATGGCTGAGCGGATGTTGGCATACTCCTGACTGTCCACCCGGCCCTCACAGGTGATGCAGTTACCCTGGGGGTGGGGCATAAAAGGAGGACAGAAGGGTGCTGGGGAGGTCAGGAGGGCCATGGCTCCAGGATATCTAGAATACTCCTGAGGGGCTTCTCCAGGGCACCCTGCCTCGAGGAAGAACTGGGCACTGACACCAGATATACTCCATCACCCACTTCACAGCTCACAGCGCCAACACCTCACCAGGTCCACACAGCCCCAGGGTGCCCAATCTTAGGGGAGCTCCTATCAACTGTAACCACGTGTGAACCACAGAGGGGAACTATAGACACAACCTGTTCATTGGGGTGTGTGTGTGTGTGTGTGTGTGTGTGTGTGTGTGTGTGTGTGCCAGCCAGCTAGTTACAGAAGTATACTGAAATCCTGCCACACCCACAACACCTTTAAATCCTGGGCAGGCTCTCTCCAGGGAGGTAGAGTGGAGTTCTCAGCCCAGCCTGCTGTGTGCACAGCCCCTAGAGCAGAGGTTCTCAACCTTCCTAATGCTGCGACGCTTTAACACAATTCCTCATGCTGTGATGACCCCCAGCCATAACATTATTTTCATTACTACTTCGTAACCGTAATTTTGCTACTGGAGGCCCAGGCCTCAGCAACCAGCTCCCACAATCCTAGAAGGCCCAGCCTATGTGTATGAGCAGGTCCATGCATGTAGATCTGTGGCTCTTGTGTGCTGTGTCCCCATATCCCGTGTTGACCTCGAGAAATGCATCTGGTAAGAAGTCACTAGGGACACGTGCCCAACTGAGGGAGGGCTTTAAGCACAAACAAGCCTGGGTGGGCTGGGACAGGCAGGGACAAGGGAAGGCTTGGAGCTGGGACAGAGTCACACTGGTGAGTCTGGTCTTGTCTACATGACTGAGACAGGTGTTTACCCCCAGGTGTCACCTGGGCCTCACCATGGCCAAGTAGTTATAGTCAGCAGCCTGGCCTAGGCCCAGCTTCCTCTTCTGCTCCTCATTCATGCCCTCCAGCATACAGTAGAACACATGGTAGTTCCTCTCGTCAGTGGCCTGGAAGTGGACACCAGGGTTGGGATCAGAGAACACACATGGGCAGGAGGAATTTCATAGGGGACCTCGGACACTTTGGGAAGCAGATATAAGTGCAGCATGGCGAAGGGTGACACAGACCATGGGGACAGTGGTGCCCACCCACCCAACGCAGGGACGACCCACACTAGGAGGCAGGGCTCACCTGGCGGCAGACTCGCGATTTCTCCAGCAGGTACTGCTCTATTTTGGCCCCCTCGATGGCACCCCGCTTGTTAAAGTGGATGTCAATGTACTTGCCGAAGCGGCTGGAGTTGTCATTGCGGATGGTCTTGGCGTTCCCAAACGCTGCAGGGTGGTAGAGAATACGGGTGAGAATGGGTGAGAATACGGTGCCAGCACCCGGCTCACCCTCCAAGCCTGGCCCTACCTTCCAGGATGGGAGTGGCCTCCAGCACCTGCTGCTCGATCCATGAGTGCTGTCCGCTGATGGCCGCCAGGAACTGCAGGATCAGCTTTGTGCTCTCTGTCTTGCCTGCTCCGGACTCCCCGCTGCAGAGGGTGGGAGTGGCGGGATGGGCCTCCGCCCTGGCTCTCCCATCCAGCTGATGTGTCTCACTCTAGGCTGAGGACGGTCTGGCTCTCAGGGAGCACAGGGCTCCGCCACACCCCCATCCCTACTGGTCATCGAGCATGACCCATGTGAACTGCTCAACTGAAGCTTTGGCCTCTTGCTTAGGAGACAGATTTCAGCTGCCATAGTGTAATAGGACCCTTCAGGGAACAGTGTTGCCCTCAGAAGCTGGCATCAGCCTTTGTAGTGTTAAGAGGAATGTAAGATTTGGGAATGTAGGGGCGACTTTATACACTGTGATACAGCGCAGAGGGCACAGCCAGCTCCTGGGGACCACCGTGGCGTTCTAATGGCATTCTAACGATGGGACAATCGCTAGTGTCGTAACAGGAGGGCAGAGAGCTGGAGCTCTCGCCCCGGGAGGGGCTGGCTGGGCCACCCACCTGATGATGCAGCACTGGTCCCGGCTGTTGCGTTTCATGTTGAAGTAGCAGTTGTCCGCGATGGCAAAGATGTGCGGGGGCATCTCGCCTATCTTCTTGTTGGTGTATTGGCGGATGTGCTCTGGCGAGTAGATGGAGAGCAGCTGGTAGGGGTTCACAGCTACCAAGATGGAACCCGTGTATGTCTGCAACAGGCAAGGGACAGGAGTTTACACGGTCAGGTGGCGAGGGTGGGGTGGAGGGGTGTCTCCGCCCTGTGATGGAGGGAGGAGGGGACGGCAGGAGGTCCCTAAGCTGGGATTACATGATCTTATCTGCTCAAAGGATGTGAAGATGAAAGAGACAGTGTATTTTCAGATTCAAAGCACAAAGCAGCGACAACTCAAATACTGGCTCCCTCCTTCGGCCCCGATCTCTGCACCAAAGGCTTTTAAAGCAAGTTTCAAAAACTGCATGGTGTTCAGAGGGGAGACTGGGATGGTAAGGAAGTCACAAGTGGGGCCTAGTCAAGTCATAAAGAGCAGAAGGGCTGAGGCTGGACTGTGGTCCAGAAGGGGCTGGGATTTGGGGCTGGGGCAGGGACTTTTTCTGCAGCTCCCCGAGGGCAGAGGTAGCTACCGAGCCCATGGATGGAGCTCGGGGACCTGAGGCTGTTTCCATTCTGTTCCTGTATGGGAGCATGAACAATACTTCCTGCTGTGCCCTGGGGTCCCATCACACAGGAGAATCCCCAGGGCAGGGGGAGGCAATGGAGGTGGAGTTACTCCTCCCTACTCCCAGCTCACCCCAAGCTAGGAAAGGTCAGGCCCTGCCTGTTGTTTGTTGGTGACAGATGTTTGATGTCTGGAGCCTAGACAGGCTGAGGACAGATGTCTCTACACGGGGCAGGTGGCAGCCTCGCCTGTCTCCCCAACCTCTGCCGCCCTTCCAGGACTCAGCGAGGGAGACCAGAGCAGCCACCATCCCCCAGCAGCTCAGCCCAGCGTGGCATGCAGGGAAAGCAGTGGTGGTACCCAGCCCAGGCCAGGGGAGCTGCACAGAGAAGCGCTGACCAAGCCTCGAGACCCCAGTTCCAGAAGCTCCCTTCCCCTTCAGGCACCTCCTCCAAGCCCCGCAGCCAGGAGCACCCAAGATTCACTTTCATGGCTTGGCTTAGTACCAGGAACCCGAGTTAGAAGAGAAGTGAAGGAGGCCAAGAGGAGCAGCGCAGCCCAGCCCAGCCAGCATCCCAGCCTCCCAGGGGCTGCTGCTGCCCCACACTCACCCGCCCTCCACAGTTGGTCTGTTACAAAGGAAGGAACAGGTAGAGGCAACCAGTCAATAGGAAAGAAGCCACAGAGACGTCTCCAGGAGCCCAGGCCTAGGCTAAGCGATGGGGTGAGGACCCTGTGACCACCCCCCCCACGCCCTGTTACAGCTCCATCCCACACAGCTATGGAACACAGCTGACTCTTGTCTCCAGATGGGGAGCCCGTCCACGCCTGAGAGCCAGCCTCAAGGAGCATCCTTTGGCCAGCCTCAGTCTGGTCATCTGTGAAAGGGGATGGCTCGCTGTCTCCTTCCAGAGCTGCTGTGGAGACTAAAGGACCTAGGCAGCATCCTTGCTGGGTACCAGGGGCCTAAGTGCCACTTTAATCTCTTCTTAATTCTTGCTCAAGATCGTGACATATGTCACCAACACAGCAAGAGGCTGTCCCCACAAAGCCACTCCCCAGCCCTCACCATCAGAGCTCCCAGGAGCCCCTCCATCCTTCAGCGGGAGGTATGGGCTGGCCAGCCGCAGGGATAGAGGCCCAAAGGCCATGACATTTGGGGAGATCTGCTGGAGAAAGGTCATTCTGGCAGCCATAGATGACAGACGTCATTTACCCTTTTGGACCTAATGACCCAGCCTACAGAGTCACCCCGAGAAGCTCAGTGGCAGGGGAAGTGACAGAAAGGATTGTGGAGATGTCACAGCGTCCCAGTACTCCTGCGGCTGTGGATGAAGCCTGTCCTCTACCATTGCTCCAGGCTCTTTCCTTTCCGCTTGCGACCCAAGGGCCTCATGGGCTCAAGATTCTTCAGTGTCCCACCCACCGGAGGTCACCGCATGATGGCCATGAGGACTCCCAAACCAGCACCCCTCCAACCCTGCTCTCAGCCGGCCCAACTCAGCCTCCAGTACCATCATGCCCTTCACCCAGATGGACCCGCCACTCCTCCCTGTCACCAGGCCACTGTCTCAGCTGCGCTCCCTGGTCCAGGCTCCCAGATCCTTCTTGGTCTCCTGTGGTGCGTCTCCACCTGGCTCCTGTTCCCACATTTGCTCCATCTCTCCTCCACCTGCAGCCTACAGCTTCGCTAGGTTGTAACCAGATTGTTCTCTGCTGGGACCCATCCATCCCTGCTTCCTACACCCTCAGAACACGGTAAACATCTCTCTGTTACTCTTCGTCTTGGAGATGAGGAAGTCCTCCACTGAACCTGTGGCCCAAAGCCCTTCACTGTCCTGCTGGACCAGGCTGAAACCCATTGCACCCCACATGTTCCCTACAGTACATTTTATTGGATGCTTGGTGCTCTGGTTCAAGGTCTTTATCTCCCCAATGTCCCACAGAATACAGGACACACTCAGCAGTGCCCGTTAAGTGATGAGGTGATTGGTATTAATGGTTTGAGTGGGCAGCATCGGATTATCTCCAGGGACTAGCAGGGAAGGGGGCTAGAGAACATCCTGTTAGCACTCAGGACCACGCCAGCCACATTACCAAAAATGAAGCCTAGGATAAAAATGGTGGGCAAGACAGACTACTGTGAATAGATATACTCCTGTCTGTGGAGAAGAGATTCACACATAGGTGTGCACACATGTGAAGGTATTTACACATGTGCGCACACATATGTATGCCTATCCCACACTTGAATGTATACATAAGCAAGCACTCATGGTCAAACACATATGCATGCCTGTGTGTACACACAGATGTGCACACACACATATACCATCTGAGTACATACAGGCACACATAGTCTTTCCCCTGTGGGAACAGTGAGATGGGCCATTGCAATCAGTCAGAAGGAATACTCCAACGGTATACATGTGGTTGAGACTATACCATACAGAGCCAGTGAGATTGTTCAGGAGTTAAAAGCACTCACTGTGCAAGCCTGATGCCCCGAGTTTGAGCCCAGGAACCCAGTGTAAAAACTGAATGCAGAGACACACGCATCTGGAAGCCCGGCACTCCACAGGAGAGTGGCCCGGAATCTCACAAGCCAGCTAACCTGCAGTGTACTGCACAGCAGAGCAGCAAGAGAACCCCTGCCTCAAAATGAAGTGGGAGGAGAGAACCAGCCCCCCAAAATGTCCTCAGCCTCCCACATGTGGCTGCTGTGGTACATATGCACCTGCACACAAACGATAAATAGTTCACTTTACAGTAGTCAAAACAAAGCCGTTTCTTCAGTGGGAAGGATGTCCCTAGAAGGGAGTCAATGCCAAGAAGATCCTCCGGGGGGGCGGGGGGGAACAAGTCTTCGAAGCTCCAGATGGGAGGTATGGCCACTGCTTTCTAGATAGTCCTAGCTTGTCATTTTTAATGAATAAATATCTTAAACTTTCCGTTTTAATTTCTAATATCACAAATATCATAATATGACCCAAATGAACAAAAGTCTTTGGCCCCCTCAATAATTTTAAAAGGTTTCGGGTTCTTATGATGAAATCATGGTAGCTTCTGTTCGCTAAGTGTCTCCAGGGCAAGTGTCTTGCCTGGATAAATTGCTCTGGGACCCCAATGCATTTGTTTCTCTGTGGGACCACCTCTCTGTGGCCCACTAAGAACCAGTAATGTTCCCACAGGGAGAGGTGAGCTGGATGGTCCTAATTAGGGTCTCTGGTCCTTCTTTTCCCTTCCTCAGGACACATGCTACTTAGGCAGCCCCTACCCCCCATCTTGAGGCTTCGGGGCCAGCCCCCATCTCACACCAAAGCACAGCAGGGTAACAGCCTTGGGAGGGGGGCAGGGGCAACTGACAAGATGCTGAGCCTGTCCTTGGGCAGCCCTGGCCCCTAGTTTCCAAGCCTATGAGCGCTGTAAACCTGTAGTATAACAGCTCCTGCCCCAACCTCAGTCCTAAAGAGCCCAGAGCCTGGGCCCGGGAGGAGGAGCCTCAGATGGAGCACCCCACGGGAAAGCTGACAAAGTCCCAGGAGTCTGGGCCTCTGGGTCTAGCACAGGGGCAGCGATGGGCGGTACTCACGTAGATGAGGTGGTCTCTGTAGCGAATGAGCAGGTTGCGCAGAATGCCTGCCTCATTGAGATCCCCCAGGCGGATCATGTCCTCCACACCATGTACCGAGGTGGGGTGCATCGGCTTGATGTGAGTGGCATTTTGAGGGGAAATCCAGTGTTCCTGCAGGCAACATAGCCCTTCATGTCAGCTGCCGCTCCTGGGCCTAGGCTGTGCAGAGGGATGGGAGCCCTGGGTCTGTGAAAGGGTCCTGATCGGCTCTGACTGGCTTGAGTCTGGGGGTTTTACTGGTCTCTACCCATCAAGGCAGCTCTCCTCCTCTTGAAGAATCTATCCACAGACATACAAGAAGGGCAAGGCAGAGACTTTGTCCCCACCAGTGGTTACCATTAAGGGGATCACCTGTTGTTATCAATAACCCCCAGACACTTTGAAGGCTAGAGTGAAAGCAAAGGACTGGATTTAAAGGGCTTGACTTCAAGGCCAAGCTCCAGTCAACAAATACATAAAAATAAGTTTAGCGAGTTCAACAGGGCTGTTGTAGGCAGGGTGTTGAGGACCACCTCTCCAGAGAGGTAGTGTTCAAGCTGAGACCTGAATGAAGAGAAAGCTTCTGTAAGAAGTGTGGAGAGAAGGTCAGACCTAGGGGCCGGCAAAACCAGCCCAGCCCAGGAGGTGTGGGCGTGGCCTGTGAGGGTTGCGCATGGGCAGTGGCAAAGGGTCCCACCAGGGTGTCTTTCACAGGCCAAGCTGTCTGGAGCTGTGGGGAGAGGAGATTTTCAGGACCCAAGAGCTGAGGTGGGAATTGATATAGTTCCCCGTTCCTCTTTCCTGCACTATTCCCTGCAGCCACCAGATGGCAGATGAGGGCATCTAGGAGACTCATGAATTCTTTCCTCTGGCGAATAGAGCCTTGGTTTAATGAGATTGCTGGGTTTAAGAACCTTCCTGCAGCCGAGCGCTGTGGTGCACACCTTTAATCCCAGCACTCACAAGGCAGAGACAGGTAGATTTCTGAGTTCAAGTCCAGCCTGGTCTACAAAGCGAGTTCCAGGACAGCTAGGGCTACACAGAGAAACCCTGTCTCAAAAATCCAAAAAAAAAAAAAAAAAAAAAAAAAAAAAGAACCTTCTCACATCCCCAGACTCTGACCTGTGCTCTAGGCTATGGTCCTAGCCCACTCACACTCACTTTCCATCACCTTGAGCCAGGAAGAAACATGGTTTCTGGGGTTAGAAGGAACCTCTCTGCTACCAGCCCTCACAGCCTATAGGTCTGCTAATAGATGTAACACACCAGTCACCACCCTGCACACTAGCTGTTCTTAGATGTCACTGGCCCCGATCGAAGTCCTAAAATCTATCTTCAGAACTCAGCTGCCCCCGACAGATCCAGTCACATGATCTTGCCCTTCTGGCCCTCCAGAGGCTGCCATGGCAGCAGCCACACCCTGGTCCACATCTTTTCTCTTTTCTGGCAGCTCAGCCCTGCCTCTCGGAGTGAAGAGAGAGTTAGCTTACCCGCCTGCTCAGCGGGGTCAGGGCAGGGCCAGCCAGAGGCCTGCTCCAGCTTCTCTAGCACTCCATGGCACTTCGGCAGGAAAACTTAATCCAACCCAGGCCCTCACACAGCCGTTCCCAATGCACAAGGGGCCCAGGAGTGACGTCAAGGACCTGTCTACACTTTCAGCACCGTGTGGAACATTCCTCTCTCCCAAACAGTCTGATATAAGCTGATCCATTTGGAAAATTCCTTTGCCCGTCCCTAGCCCCTGAGTGGGACCAGAGGGACCTGGGCAGCTCTCCACCTGCCCTTCACCAAACCCTTTGGCCCACAACTCCTTCCAAAATAGGTCAGTTAGATAGTTCAGCAGGGCTACTGTGTGGGCCAGGTGCTGAGGACCACTTCGCCAAGGAGACAGCGCTCACGTTGAGACCTGAATAAGAAAGTTTCTGTGAGAAGTGAGGAGAGAAGGCCAGACCCGGGGTCAGCAAAACCTTCTCTCCCCAGGTTGTGTGGGCCTGGCAGGTGAGGGGTCAGCAGGGGCAGTGTCGATAGGCATCTGGCCCCACCAGGGTGTCTTTCACAGGCCTGGCTGGTGAATGGGATGGAGCTGGGGGAGGGGAGACAGACTGAGGTCAAGCCCTTAGAGTAAGGTTCCTCACGTCACCTTCCTGGGCCTCCAGGACCTCATCTGCAAACAGAAAGCAAGGACAATACTGTGCTGGGGGAGGGGAAAGCTATCTCGCCTGGAGAGTCCTGTGAGGTGTGCAGGTCACTGGGGCCTGGGGTACACTCAGCCAGACATGGGTCGGACACCCTGAGCCACTAGGTTACAAAGACTATGTGTGTTCTTGTCACGACCCACAACGGAGAAGTGGGGCCTGGGGACACAGTGACAAGACTCAACGTAAAATAACTGGCCAGGTTAAGAAGCTGAAGAGCTCTACCTCCTGTGTGATAGGGCACCCTGCTGAGGGCAGTGGCTTTCTGGTCAAGGTCCGCGGTACACAGCAGGGGTCAAAGTGTAAGAAGGCTGGGAGTGGAGACCTGGTTCTGAAGGAGACAGCGACAGAGACAGGAAAGAAAAGGCAGTGTCTGAAGACTGACGGGGACAGAAAAGGCACAGAAGACAGAGAAAAGAGAGAGAGAGGGAGATAGTGGGCGGGGGGCGGGGGCGCACAGAGAAATACCATGGACAATTCTGAAGGCGGGGGGGTGGGGTGGGGGGGGCGGGGGCGCACAGAGAAATACCATGGACAATTCTGAAGGCGGTGGGGGGGGGCACACATCTGGGAAGAGCTGTCTGGGAATAAGCTGAGGGGACAGGTGTTCTCCTGTAGGAGGTGGGGTCCCCCAGCAGGCACAGGAAATGGTTTCACAGAGGTGGGAAAGCCAGAGCTTCCGTGTGTTCTGCAAGTGTTCTCCAGAGAGCCTGCTCTGAGCACTCCGTTGAGCTCTGCACAAGTCATGTGACTGGCCTGGTCCCTACTGTCAGCTACTGGGTCTGTGAGAGGACAGGGGTAGAGGACGAAGGCCTAGAGTATCAAAGGAAGGAAATAGGAATAAAGGACCCCAGGCCTCAGTTTCCCTAACTTGTCTCCATCCCATGTTCCTAGCCAGTCACGCCCCTCCCCCTCCAGCAGTCCCCACCCTTAGGGCCTTGGTGGGGGTGTGGGGGTGTGCAGGATGGGAGGGGACCTTCGGGATCCAGTGACACAGAGTTACGGGATACCATCTGACATGCAACCTGACCCAGGTGAAACTCTACCCTCAGGTAGAGTCCCTGTCCCCATGCTCAGGGCTGGGGAGCATCACCTGCCTGTCGGCTGCCACCCCACCCTGCACACAGCTCCCTGGGACGCAGCCTCATGGAGGATTCCCAGAGCCTCAGAAGGAAGGGAAGTGCACTCTGGCCTCAAGTCCAGGGCACAGCCTCTCTCCTACAACCTGAGTCCTGTAGCTGCTGCTGAGACGCTGGCGGCAAGAACACACGCAGTAGAGATCCTAGATTCTAATCCCAGATCCATGGATCATGAACTTTTTGACTCACAGTCGTCATCTGAGGGGGTCACAGTTATTGTCTGTCCTGCCTTTCACAGACGCCATGAGAATCCAAAGACAGAACTTAGGTCAAGAGCTCTGGGGGGTGGCCCTGCAGGGCCCTAGGGACATCAGTGGTTCCTTGCTCCAGGCTCACAGCTCCTGGGCCTACCTCCCTTTGTCCCAGCAGGACCTTCTTCAAGTCACTAGTCCTTCTTTGCTCTCCCCAGACTAGGAGACTGAGACAGGAGTCGAGGCTAGGCTGTCCCCAGAGCCAGTCACTGCATTGGACACAATCCTGATTATGGCAAGGGGAAGTTTCCCGGGTCCTTAATGTCTCCACTACACTACATTCTCGGGCTCTGCACTGCATCTGCATGTCCCCAGTGCACACACATGTGAGCACACAGAGACACACATGTGCACACACATAGGCACACTCATGCACATGCACTCACATGCAAAGGCACATCACCTGCTGTGAACTAACTTCTGCTCTGACACCCCACGGCTGCCCTCCGGGCCCTCACAGAGACCACCTGCCCTCCTTGTAGCAGGCCCCTTTCCTCTGATCTTTACCTCCTTCCTCAAACCTGCATCATTACGACCTACCAAGCTTGCACTTCCGGGGCCCTTTCCATGAGACGTGATAGGCTGATAGGTTAGACTGACTTCTTAAGGGCAATATGGGTGATGAAGTCCACAAGCCAGCAGAGCAAAGCCCGGTGTTTCTAGATGGACGCCAACTGTGCTGAGGTGCTTGGCACGTGAAGGCTCACATGAGGGTCTCATCTTATTAAAGGGGAAACTGAGGCTTGAAAGGAAGGACCTTTTCTGACTCCAGAGCACCACTGAGCCATGCCAAGGAGTACCCCAACATAGCACACATAGCCTTCACCCCTATGTTCCAGAATGGTCTGAAGGCTTTGGAAATGTGCAAACAGGGAGCAAAAGAGAACCTCTTTCGCTGGAGCAGAGGGGGAAGGGTTGTGTAGGGGTGGGATGGGATGGGGTGGGGTGGGGTCAGGTGGGGTGGGGTGGGCATCGGTCACTGCAGCCTTCCCAGGTAGGGCTGGGGGAAAGAGGGTCACTCACATTGCCTTCATCGTCCACCACCTGGATCTGCCCAGAGTCACAGAGCTTCACCACGGCCCCGATGGGTACGTCAAACTCCTGGCCTGACTTCAGGTCCATCCACACGTAGTCCCCCTGTGGGCAGGAGATGCTGCTGAGCCCAGAGAGCCGGTGTGCGCTCAGTAGCCTCTCCCACCACCACTGAGGCTTGGGGCCAGAAGAGAGGGAGGGGGAGCCCCTGCTTTCTGGGAGCCTCGAGCTGGAGTTCACAGTGTCATCAACGCCTCTTCCAGGTCCCCTCAGGTGATGGGCTCAGACTCAGGAAGAGGAGCAGCCTCCTGAGGGCAACCTCAGCCCAGGCCTGTCTAAGGCTGTGCTGCCCATGGCTTCTGGACCTACAGACACCTGGCAGACTAGGGACTGAGGCAGGAACACCAAATCACATCCTTTCTGCCCTAAAAGGCACAGGGGCCACCAGGCTGTAGTAAACACTGCAGATTCCTTCAAATCATCCTAGTAGTTGGTTTCTGCAGGTCCACCACTCTCTACTGAGCCTGGGGTAAGAGGCCACATCGATCCCTGGCTTGTGAGGAGAGCCCAGACTTAAAGATGGTGCGGGAGGGACATTTCCATGTCCCCTGCAGTATCCAGGCCAAAGCCTGGCTCTTAACTCAGGTACCTGAATCAAAACCCAGATTCAGCCGGGCGGTGGTGGCACACGCCTTTAATCCCAGCACTCGGGCGACAGAGCCAGGCGGATCTCTGTGAGTTCGAGGCCAGCCTGGTCTATAGAGCGAGATCCAGGACAGGAACCAAAACTACACAGAGAAACCCTGTCTCGAAAAACAAAACAACAAACAAACAAACAAACAAAGACCCAGATTCAGAGAAATGAACTGAGAACAACTATATCCCATGCCAATGTATTCAACAAACATCTACTGAGCATCTCCTGCAGACAAAGTCCTGGTTGATTTAGAGGGAGCAGTGACCAATACAGAATTTCTCTTCTGGTTGAAAACATTAGACCAGTAGTGGCTGAGCAAAGCTCTTCCCAGGATCCCCCTGGACACTAGAGAGTGCAGAAGGAAGAAACCTGAAGTGACGGAGAGTGACAAGCAGTGACAGGGGAGTGACCACTCCAACTTGGCAGCCAAGGAGCCACACAGAGGCAGAGACCACTACGCTGAGATCTGAAGGGCAAAAAGCAGCCATGCATGGAAAGAACGGTGGCATGGCCCGTGAAAAGGCCCTGGGGCAGGAGGGAACATTAAGGAGGGGGTTACAGGGAGGAGAGAAGTGGGTGGGGTCCAGGACACAAAGCTCCTCGGTGGCCTTGAGGTAAAAACATGCTTGTACTCTAATCTTACCAAAATGTGTTCCCAAGTTGTCCTGGAGGGTGGGAGAACTTAGCATCGCGACAAGCATATAATTTCACATCAAGTGTGTTTGGAAATGTAATAATAGCCTGGTAAACTGGCTCACTGAAGACCCATGGGCATGGCCCAGGGGGAACAGCGCAGGGCCTGGATTCAGGAGCCAGGGTCCTAGTCTCTGCTCACTGACCCCTGACCCTCAGTTTCCTTGCCCCTCAGTAAGGGGGAAGGCTTGGATGTATAGTTATTTCAGCTTCCTTCTCCCATCAGAAACACAATGGGGCCTGGCTTGCTCACGTGAATGGGAGTTAGCACAAGCCAGTCAGTCCCAGGCCCTGCTTGATCCCAGAAAAGAAAAATGCCCAGGCTGAGAGGTCAGGAGAGTTCGCGTTCACTGAGCATCCGTAGGGAATCTGGGGCTCCCCACTGCTTCCCAGTGCCTGCCTTTTTAACCTTCACAACTGCTCAGCACCTCACCTCCAGCCCCTGGGTCCCCTGAGCCTGTCCACACAGCTGCACAGCAGTGGCTTTTCCCTGGCCTAGGCTTCCTCAGCCCTGCTGGTTGTGTTGATTCTGTACCTGTGAGAGGTGTGTGTGCAGGCTGCCTGTCCTCTGGGGACAGAGCAGAAGCAACTAGAAGGTGCTGTCCAAAGAGGAGCAAGCCAGGCTGCCCTGAGATGAGTCATGACAGGAACAGGTACCAGGTCCACAGGGCCTTGTGAACCACACACAAGGGTTGGGTTTTCTCTTAAGTATGACATGGAACCACTCACACCCAGAAAATGGCACAGTCGTCACTTTCTTTCTTGAGACAGTGTCTCATGTAGCCCAGGCTGTCCTCAAATTTGATATATGGCCAAGGATGACCTCTCTACTGTTGGAGTGCTGAATTATGGGCGAGCCATATAATGCCTGATTTATGCAGTTGTGCTCGAACCCAGGGCTTTGTGCATTCTAGACAAGCTCTTACCCCTGAGCTTCATCCCCTCTGGCAGCTGTGTGGATAATGGCGTCATCTGCTGACCTCACAGCCCAGCACCACACTATCTTAGGCAGGGCTGGGCCAGCCTCTCACTCACGGCTCCCCAGAGCCTGACTCAGAAAAAGCTTCAGTGAGAGAGAAGCCAGGCGAGTGTGAGTGGATGTGAGCATGTGTGTGGTGTGAGTGTAAGCGAGGACATGTGACTGTGTGAGGGAATGGCAGAGTGTATATGTGGGGTGAGGGTAGAGAGAGTGAACACAGAACAGAATCTTGAACTAGTATTGTGGTTCGGAGGCAGAGTACTCATCCGGGACACACAGGCTATAGACTCTATCCCCCAACACCACAAAGGAGCAAGACAGGCAGGAAGAGGAAGGAGGGAGGGAGGGAAGGAAGGAGGGAGGGAAGGAGGGGAGGAGGGAGGGAAGGAGGGAGGGAAGGAAAGAGAGAGGGAAGGAGGGAAGGAGGGAGGGAAGGAAGGATGGAGGGAGGGAGGGAAGGAGGGAAGGAAGGAGGGAGGAAGGGAAGGAGGGGAGGAGGGAGGGAAGGAGGAAGAGAGAGAAGGAGGGAGGGGAGGAAGGAGGGAGGGAGGGAAGGAGGGGAGGAGGGAAGAAAACAGATGATTCACATCTGCTGGCCCGGGTGCCAGAGGACTGCTCTATGGAAGTCCTAGAACCTTCCAGAAAGTTAAATGCTCCTCTGAAATTAACTGTTCTATCAGTCTTCATGATACACTCACGTGAAGAGAGTTCCATAGGCCCTGTTTCCTCCAAGAGGTTAAAATGTCCCTGCTGTCACCCAGGCAGGACCTGAGAAACCCCAAGTCCAGGGCTCTTTCCCCACATTTCCCAGGTACAGCTCTAAGCAAGACAGGCTAGGGCTCCTGGCTGAGTGACTCCAGCCTTAAAGACAAGCTGGAAACCTAGACTGAAGACCGCCGAGAGCCAGGTCTCTGACTCACTGGTGTCTCCTGGCCTAGTACAGCGCCTGGCGCACAAAATATTTTTCCCACTAGAAGAACATTGAATAATCAAGTTAAGATACCTCCTGTGAGCCAGAAATAGAGGCTCAGAGCGGGAAACTGAGGCACTCAGGACACACAGAAAGCAGAAATGACTAGACTCTTCTAAATTCAGGCTGTCCCCAGGAGGGCAGTGACAACCATTTCTGCCCCAGGCCAGAACTTCAAATGTCAAGTTGGAGGTTTCAGGGGGAATTCTGAGGCCAGACCGTCTCTAAGAGCGACAGTGCTCTGGTCAGAAAAAGGCCTAAGGCAGCTGGGACACCAGGGTACTTAGGCTATAGGTGAAGAAGAAAGGGACCTTGGAGCATTCCCTCCTCAGATTGCTCATTGACAAGGCTGTAGACACAAGAGAAGGAAGCCACGATAAGACCTGGCTCCAAGTCCCAACCCACTAGGCCCGTTTCCTGTGGCCAGACTAGGCCATCATACTGCCCCAAAACATGCTAGGAAAGGTACCCCTCTAGGGACCTCACCTTGCAGCAAATATCCCATTGTGACATGCAAATGTTTCAGAGGGGGCTGTGGAACTCATGCCAAGTCTCAGCTTTTCCCTTGTCAAGTGACTGGACCAGTGTCTTCCAGGCCCAGGCCCTCACCCGCTATGCAGACCCAGCCACACCGACTTTCTATGGCTCCATCTAATATTCTCAAGCATACTCCCAATCCCCCGTTCCTTTCAGGCATTTAGCTACAGTGAACACAGAAGTCAAGTGATGTGGGTTCCAATTTCAGTCCTGCCACCGGGGCTGTGTGACTTGGCGGTAGCACTCAACCTTGCCGGACCTCGCTTTTCAGCCGTCTTGGAATAGAAGGAGACAGGGTCTCTGAAAACCAGAAGCCCACAAAAAATGCCATCTGTGCCTGCCTGTCTGCCCTACTTCTTCTAGTCTTGGGGTCAGTATCACATCAATGCCAACCCACAGGTTCTCAGCCCCCTCCTGCCTCTTCCCTCCTCTGGGACAGGTCTTAGGTCTCTGTGGAATGACAGGAGCCTGAGTTAGAACATGGACCCTCACTAGTGTTCCTAATCACCCCAAGCCATTTCTTAGATGGGAAGGTGACCAATAATATACTGCCGCCGGCATCTAGAAGTGGGAACTGTAACAAGTTACTAGTCTGCGGTGGAAGAGGGGACCCTAGGATGCTCCTCTATGTGCCTGGGAGTGCTCCCTGAGCTGGACACCAGTAAAAGCTGGGAATCTATTCTTCACTTGGTCCAGCTAGCCTGCCCCTCCCCCATGGCATCCCTGGTTTTCCAGGTGGCAAATTCTCCAGACCCTGGGAGGTGTGGCTTCAGCCAAGTTCACACCAGAGTCCCTAATCCCATGCAGCATCCTAGGGATGCAGTCTCCCGTGCACCTCCAGCTCCTGCATCCCGCTTGGCTTCTGACCGACCCGGAGATGGAGGCCCAGGCAAGCGAGCCTTCCCCTCCCGGCCCTAGGCTCACCGGCATAACCGCGAAGGTTTTGAGCGCTTGGTTCAAGCTTCGCACCAGAGCCCACTTGCCAGGCGGCGCGGCGGGAGCCTCGCCCGGGTCAGCAGGGTTGCCGGGGGACTCCATGGTGCGCAGGGTCTAGTAGTCTCACGAAGCGATGCGGGCTCCTAATTCACCTAATCCCGCGCGCCACCGGCTCGGGAACCCTAAACCCGGCCATCTGCCACGGGCCCATGGCAACCGCGGCTTAGGTGACGCCCGTGGGCCTGGTGGGGAGGGGGCACCGAGCTGCTGCGACCCCTCCCATGGAGGGACCT